AATACTGCAAGAATGTTTTTAGTTGGATATATACTGAACTCTCTTTGCAAAATAATGAAAATCAATGAAAGTAATGTTGATTTTTATAGAGGAAAATTGTGCTAAAGAATAAAGGCATTTATGTAGCAACACATACGATAAATGTTTGCTTTTCTGTCTATAATGAATGGATATTTCGAGCATCTATACAGAGGATAGCATCGGGATCGTAATGTGAGAATAATTGAAAACTGGTTAGAAATGTGAGTAAAATGCAAGTTCAGTAGAGTATTTGTCCTGTTAGCTTGTTTGAATGAATAGTTTCGGTGGTCGAATTTAAAACAAAAGTGCACGGTAAATTGTTTAATCTACTATAATTAATAAAGAAATGAGTAATCTACATTGGCTGAGAGGAAAAAGTTTCATATGAATCTCCAATAGTTTCTGAATAGCATGAATCTCACTAATTGTTTTAGAGTCAAGAGTTGTGTAGCTGATTACATATAAAATCAGTACATGCCATTTTTGTGTATAGATAATAACAAAATACATCAATGCAAAAAATATTTCATATCAAATGATTAACACAGGTTTAAGAATCAAAAACAGAAAATTTCGTCTCTTCACTTAATTGGCTCATAACTTCGATTACAATTATATATGTTAACTAGCAGAGTTTTTTCCCGGTAGCTACACCTTTATATATCATATTAGTCAAAATGCGCATGCTGTATATAAGTATGAGAAAAAAGTATCTGTTCTGCAGCCGATCATTTCTACCTATAATACTAACATCTCTTGCGAGTTAGCTGAAGTAAATTAAGATAAATGGTCTCTAGAAAAATGTTTCTTTTAATATTTAGCGTACCATTATGTTATGAATATACTGCTTTTATTGATCCGTAATTTTTTAATAATTAAGATTACTGTTGTTAGATTTACTTTAAATATTAAGAATTATAAGAATAAATCAACAATCCGAGTGCCAACGGCAGATGCAATGGTGCGTATAGATTCACAAAGTTAAGCTTGCAAGAAAAAATCTCATGGAATGTTTTTTGTTGTATTCGCCAGTGCTTTAAAAAGATCCAAGTGTATTTAATAGAATGGATTTGACGGAAGCTTGAGTCATTTTCAAAGAAAAACTAAAACGATGGTTCTAAGAATATGTTTTTACAAAAACTACAGAAAAAATTAATGTTTATTTGGTCAAAGAACTTTACCAAAAGAAATAGTTTAAATCTACCAGGAAGTTGGAGACTGTGAGGTTCAACCAAATGATCCATTGAGTTTTTCCATAATTCAGAGTTATTTATCAGAAAACTTAAAAATAATCCATTTTCAGCTAGGGAACTATAAACGATCTATATTGTCAATTTTTTCCAATAGCTTTTTACCTGCTGTTGTCGTCTAACTTGATATGAGGTTTTGTATGAAATAAAAAGTTGAGTATTTGTGAAGAATAGTCGATGTTTTCAAATGAAAATCAGCATATTTATTGATGAAATACGGACACCAGCATTCATGCTATCGCATCAGCTATTTTATGTTCACTAGTTCATTATAAGATAAAAATGAGAGAATAGCAAGAAGTAAAACAAAAGTATATTCATATCGGAGAGATTTTCAATGCAAAGAGACTGAAAATTAGTGTTGAGTATTCAGAATAAGAAGATATTTACATTAGAGAGAGGTATTTCTAGCGAAAAAAACTCCGTCAGTCTGACACATTAGGCCATTCATAATTAGAAAGAGTTCATTTCTGAGAGATTTTATTGTGTGTATGTTTATTTCGAATTCAACTAAGATTTTCAGTTATCCTTTACATAGATGCGTATGAGTCTTTTTTATCCAAAAAATATCTTGAGAATGCCATAGTCTATAATCTTTTTCAGTTTCTGGTTCACATGTTACTGACTTAAATGGAATATAACCACGCTTTATAAAGAATTCTTGAACTAAATTAGCTCTTGAAGGTATTTCTTTAATATTGGCCCATTCCATCATAACGAATGGTATATTTATTTGACTGAACATCTGTTCACCTGTGCCACATAAATGATGTTCAGATGTTTCTATATCAATTTTAATAATAGCTTCTCGAATATCTCGTTTTCTGACAACAGGCAATAAATCGTCGAAACGTATTGTTTGAACAACAAGAGAGTTATTCTCATTATTCTGTACTTCAGCGTTCAATCGTTGTGAACCTATATTATTCGCAATATTTGTTCGCAATGATAAATAAACGTTTGATTTATTATATAGTNTTTCGTTTAACCATGCACGAACAACTTTTAAAAAAATGTGTGTATACACCCTCTTGCTGGAAAATAATCTTATTATTAAGTGTTGTTCGTGCATTGTTAAATGAAAAATTCGATGGCGGATGGATTGGTATAGGTGGTTCAATATCTTGGCTCCGACATTCTCCTGATTTAACTCCGCTTGATTTTTTTGTGGGCCTATGTAAAAACAAATGTATACAGAACAACAGTTAATGATATTCATAATTTAAAGAGCAGAATTGAAAGAGAAATCAAAGCTTTAAAAAAAGAGACATTAAACAACGTTTTCAATGGTCTTCTCAAAAGGTTAAAATTTTGTAGTGATGTGAATGGTGACACTAGAGAACAGTATATGTAAAACATTTTATTGTGAAATAACAGTTGGAACATTTCTCTTTCATTGAGCAAATAAATTGTCCGATTTGGTCAAGAGATGGTGAAGATATTCAATTTTATTTATGATAAATGACTTTCCGGACACTCGGTATCATGTTAGGATTTATATAGATAATTGTTTTAGATTAACTACCCAGTCCGAAGCCAATTAAACGCGTGTTTTTGTTCTGAATCAGATGATCTCCCCAACGTGGGCATTCACAAGCTTCCTTTATTTTTCGAAAAAAAACCTCAAATTTCATAAAACATTAACATGTGCGCTTTTTATTCTTATAGACACAGTTTTTTTCAACTCTTGTCTGACTGGGTATCCATCTATTTTAAAGAAATATTATAGCACAGGCAAAGCCCCTATCAATGAACTGTTAGTACTACATTAGAAAAGGAAAAAAAAACAGGATCTTCATTTATTCCAAAAACAAAACCTTGTTTTCTTGAAAATCCAATAGTAAATTTCTGTGTTAGTCACTCTATGAAAATTCAGTGAAGAATTCTGATTCTGCGAGAATTTTTGATGCGTTTACTACTAGAAAAAAAATCAGAAACCGCTTTATATAAGTATCCAACATTTCAAAATCTGTTTCTTTCGTTATCACGAGTATTTTAACATAAGATATTTTAGGCGTCTCAAAAGCGTGGAAGTCATAAAGTCTTTATGTCTCTGAAACCTCAAGTCTTATAGAAAGAGCGTTCGTTACAATAAGAGCCCTGAAGTATTCTGGCACGTCAAATTTACAGTGTCGAAATCCGTCCGTATATGGAATCATCCAGTATTTATGTCTCAGATAATGACAAATTCTATGAATTTCTAGCAGCTAAATTACTGCAACCAACTGGAGTTCTAGGATCTTTTATTTAATTGCCGTACGAGTTTTGTTTTCGAGCTTCTATGTTCCCCAAACCATTTTTGATATCATATCTCTCTAAAATTAGAATGATCATACTGAAAAATATAGGGTTCTTCATGTTGGTACCATTTTCTCAAGCTTTCATTTGACGAATGCTTTCTTTGGAAATTTTACTGATTGAAAGAAATAAGATTGATTCTATACTAGCAATGAGCAGTCTTAAGAATAATCGAAAGTCGTCTATAATTGTATACAAACAGATTTTTAACGAATTGAAAAAGAATTACGGATACTTTTCTTTCACTACTTAGTGACTATTTTCTCATGAAATATTGCAGAGTTAAGAGCATGCAGCATGCATACGCCACGCCACAAAACGCAATAATGAAACATGAATTCCCATGGATTTAAGAAAATAGGACATAAATTATTTCCAGGACAAAAAAGTAGTATTTATTCGTCTATTTACTGAATCTAAATGTAGAAGAGAGAATACATTTATCAGTGGGATAAGACTTGCTGTTTAATCTTTAGTTTTAGAAATGCAAATAAAAAGAAAGAAAAGAGGTTTTAAACAAAATAAAACCTGCTATAGAAGCGAAATCAGACAAAAATCGTTGCCCCACTGATTGATAGAACTAGCGCTTTACCAATCTTTGTGTTTTGGAAGTCACGAACCGTTGTGTATTGCCGCAAAATGACTGAATATTTATGAATTCGAGTGAGGGTAGCACAGTTATATTGATTTCGATGCAAAATGTAACGTTACTGCATCGAAGCGGTTTACACTTGGCATAGAATGGTATGTCTCCCCCTCCCCCCAACCCAACAACTGCCCCGTTTAAATTCTAGTTAATTAAGTGCTAACAGAAGCAGCTAAAACTAATAATTATGATTAAGTGACCCGATCACACTTGGTATTTTAATAATTCAGTAGGATATATGACGCCCATCTTTTGTTAATCTTAAAGAATAAGTAAAAATACTTAAAATTTTTAAACGTTACGCGATTTAATAGTAGTCAGATTTTGCAGTATGTTGACTGGGTTCTCTGATAATTTGGAAAATTTGACCGTTTTTTTTTAGATATAATAGGAAACCAAAATAGAATTCTGGCATACGTTTCCAACGTTTCTGATTTCCAGAAACTCAAAAATTCCCAAAAAACAAAATGTCAAAACCTGTAGATGGCTGACGATATGCTTTAAGTTTTCGAAAACGTTTTCAAAACAAGAAGGGTTTCTGAGAATCCTGTTGAAGATTTCCTATCCAAATTCTGAAAAAAACGATAACGTGATTCAAAAGCTTAGCTTACTTTCGCAAACCTTTGCGGATGCTTTTGTCGATGTTCGAAAGGGTTCGCGACAGGATTTCGGTTTCCGGGGAAATGCTTTTTCTTTTCAGTGTACTTACTTCTTGTATTCTCTTAGATTATATAAAGTGTAAAAGATCGATCAAATCATCCACCAAAATAAAAATTAATATATCGATGATTATTCTTTTTTTGGGTGCTCGTTTTTCTGTATTTTCCATGTACGACTGTTCAAAAACTTGATGAAATAATATAGAGCTCTCAAATGTTCTAATAAAAAATGACTTCCGGGTTCCAAAAATTGGGATAATAACGTATATGACGTGCATCATCAGAAATAACAAATATCATTGTGTTCTTGTGTACATCTGTTCGTTGATTCGACCATTGTGCTAGATCACAGTAAAGTTTAGTTTATCGGCCAGTAAGCTTCTGAGTAAACCATGTTTTACATCACCAAACTATAGCATGTTGTTTAGTGTTTTCTAATGTTATAATTCACATTTTCTTAATTATTTTCAATCTAACGTTCGTAGAATAAAAATTTCAACAATCAAATGATTGACAAAGACAATAAAATGAGTTCGTCATACTTAATACTAAAATCTGCAATAGGTAGACGAGTCGGAATTCGAAACAGGTGTTTTTGATTTCTAAAGCTCTCTGAAAAATCTGGAAAACTGTATTATAAACCAGTCAATCATATGAGTGACAGTGTTTCTCTCCGAGCTAAGAAAATCTACCCAATAACTATTAGTTGTCCTCAGACACCATTTTCACACTAATTACTAAAAGAAAACGCCGGTTATAATCTCGCTTTAAACTTATACGTACTGTTTTATCTGAAAAGATACGCGGCAAAGCAAAAAATAAGACTTCGAGTAAGATTAAGCGCAAGAAAATGCAATGCGAAATAGATTGATTGAATAAAATGACTCCAGAAAAAGAGATAAAGACAAGAGTTTAGTACTGCACAACTTGATAGTTATAGAAATGAAGTACATGACTCCACTTATATACCGGAGTACTAAAGTAGTGCTTTTGTTCGTTTTGATTTAAAGTGAAAAACGCGAAATAAACAAAAAAGGTGATTGCTCATGTGACATTGGAAAGAAAAGCTTTTCGTACGCGTGTACTCTAAGATTGACTCACACTTATGACAAAAAAATGTAAAAGAAAAGGTTTCAAGTTTTATATTTATCGTAGACTTCTTATTCAATCCGAAAAGGAGTTGCGCTGATGGCTGGAAGAATGAAAGAGAGAAAGAGAGAAAGACAAATAGATTAAATTTCAGTCGGAATAAAGCTGCCAAATTAAGTTTCTCCTTGTATGAAAATATCACAGTCGATTATCATGGTCATGAGTACCAAACAAACCTGAGAAGAACATGAGTATTATTTTACATAGAAGAAAGAAATGTATTTAGTGAGAGTGAGTAGTAAATGCGTGACGAGTTATAGTCATCATAAAAAGCATGGGTAGATACCGATACAATATCGAACAAAGTACTTCTTCACTCGGACTAATTATTATTTTCCTCAATTGAGGGATGGATTGCCACGCTAGATAACTTACACATGACTATTGATATGTCAATAAAGAAGGATGTTTAATGCTTGTTGATTGATTAACAATAACTGTTCTAGACTAAGTACGTCTTTTGTGGATACATACGCATTGTCGTAACTTATATCACTGAAAACAGTCATAGGCTTTAACACTTTACAACAAAAGCTTTTCTATTTTCGGGCATATACTCTACAGACACTTCATCCTTTAAAAGAGCAAACAAATCACTTTCAAACTTTGAAATGTAGTGAGATTTCCCGAAGAAGTATGTAACTTTTGCTCTCCCTTAGAGTGTTCGAACAAGTATTGATTAGTTCTCCAGTTATGATAATGTAATATTTAGAGAACCGTGTATTTTATGCCGGATTTTTGTACATTTAAACGAGCAGATGGTGATCTAAACGTAAAAAAAACTTTCTATCAATGAAATCATTACTACTCAAAATACTGTGAATGGCATGTTGACTCCATTGAATGTTCTGCTCTTTCTCGAACCATGATCAACTTAAAGATATCGTGTAAAATGCATAATTTTCTTTGCAGCCTTTGATTATTGTTACAGTCGCTAAAGAATGTCGAGATTTTATTTGTGGAAGATGGCAAAATCCTATATCGTCTACCTAATATATTGAAATAGTACTGGTCACCTTTCAGAATAATACGTATCACGCCGATGAAATACCTTTGCTTTTTGAATTATCTTGGGCAAATTTTACTGATGCCGGTCGAAGTGTATCTCAAAGTATGGATATCTTTATTGGACAAATTTTGGCAAGATCTGTTGAAAGTTTCACTATCATGGCCAACAGTCGCAGTAGTGTCAAACTTGAAACTTGAATTCAGTTGAAAATAGAAGATTTCAACTTTCAACTCATAGCGATATATGTATGAGTCACGATTCTTCAGAGTGCTATTGGTTTAAAAGTTGAAAGTTGAAATTTTCAATTGAATTCAAGTTTCAAGTTTGACATATATGAACAGTCGCGATCGAAAATGATAGATATATGTATATTCAAGATTCGCTCCACAGAGGAGAGGACTATTTGAAGAGTGATTGCCCATGTAGCCGATAATGTAAAATAATGGATATTATTCTCCATTATCGGCAACATGGGTGGTTACAAGCAAAATTTCTGTTAATAAATTGACAAGAACAAAAGCGATGTAATGAGTCTTATCGTCTAGTTCGTGCTTAACAGATGCTCTATTGGAAAGACGAATGCCCAAATTTTACTAAAAGTTGCGGTTTAATTGTATATATATATATGTGAAGCAAGACAAGAAACAACCGTATCCACATCCACACTCTTAGATAATTCGTATTGTTACCTTTTTAATTTCATGATATATTTAACATCGCGCTGCAAAAATGGATTTAGAGCGTAACTAACGAATAAAGTCTTTTCCATATTATTATGATCTGACTTCAGTTGAGTAGCTGCATTTATATGCAGTTCTGTTCTGTAGCAGAAGATTTTATTTATTTATTAATGATTAAGTGCATCAAATTTATTATGCGAAATATCACACACTTGTAATTTTTCTGAGCATTCAAACTGTGATTGCGAAAATTCATTGTGATCAAGTCTAAGAACTTGCAGAGCAGGCATGCTATCCAATTCTTTGAATATAGTGCCACTCACATGATTATATTGCATTTCCAGTGTTGTCAGATTTCTAAGGGTCACAATTGATTCGGGAAATATTTCGCTAAGATTGTTGGAGCCCAAAAACAAATGTTGCAAGTTAACTAATTGGTGTATGGCAGGACTAACAGCACCAGTCATTTTATTTTTATGAGCATAAATTTCTTGTAATTTTGTCATAGAGTAAAGGCTCTCTGGAATTGTTCCCGAGAGTTCATTATTATCAATACGTAAAATGGTCAAATTCTGAAGTTTGCCAATACAATCTGGTATCTGGCCAGTCAATTGATTGTCATGTAGATCTAACCATTGAAGATTTGAACAATCGCAAATCGCCTGAGGAATAAATCCTATAATAAATATAAACACATATGATCATTCTTATATTTGTATCGTACTAAAATTGAAGCGACACATTCATGGAGTTAGCAATGTATCAAAAGAGCATACATTGACTAGAACCGTAATGATATCTAGTTTTTGCTATACTAGCAGAACTTATAATCAAATATGCTTTTGTTATCTATTTTCGAACGTCACATTTTATATTCTTAAAATAATCATCAATTCTGAGGTAATTATCATTGCTAGCTTCATTTTCATTACCTGCCTTATTGACAGATGTTAAACCAGATATGAGCGGCTTTATTATTACAACTTGCAGTGTAAGCGCTTTTTTTTTGATTTTTTTCTGGTAGTTAAACTGATAGATGTCAAAAATCATTTTTAACTAAAAATTGATAACAAATAAAAGTCAATTATCAACCATATTTAAGCAAAACTCAAAAATTCGCAAACTTTAGATAACTGATCAAAACTAGCGGTTCAATGGAAACTTACATCATTGAGTTTTCTTTGGCGATCCAAATTTAAATAAATGCGCACATATGCTATCGAGGTAACCTTCTATTGTCTTTGTCGTTATATATGACTTGACCTCACGTGTACATGTATGCACTAGTTTTCTTCTCTCCTGTTTCTTTTTTTGCTCTCTCTCTATCTGACTTCACTGGTTATGCTCGTTCTTATATGTTGGTATGAAAGTTTTCTTTTTATAAAAAGGTTAATAAAGAAATAACTAAAGTTCTACAGCTACCAACATATCTGAAAGCTTTCCCCTTACTTATACAGCAGTGTTCAGACTTCCAAAAAAGGAAATTTTGGAAGTTTTGGAAATTTCAAGTACTTGTGTTCTAAATTGTTTGGTACTTCCCAAAATTATACAATTTCCGAAATTTCTGAAATTTCCAAAATTCTGTACAAAGCGAAATTTCCGAAATTTCTAAACTTTCAAATATTTTTCAAAAAATTTTCATTTGCTTTGCTATGTAGTAATCGAGTTGATTGAAGCTTCGGAAATTTCTGTAATTTCCTTTTTCGGAAATCTGAACATACCTCACTTTTGAAGGATAAGCACTCCTTCAAAAGTATCACTGCTACTGGTTCATAGAATCCATTTTTTAAAAGTGATATATTTTCTTTAAAACAGACACTTCACAATTAAATCTCATTGAAGAGAGGATTTTTTGTAGGCTAAGCTACTGTATTCATTCTCTGTTCATGAACAGATCTTTACAGTCAAAGTGAGTTACTTTTCCGAAAAAAATTTTTTTTCTGACATTGATTGATTCAACTAAGAAAACAAATCCATGAAAAATTATTGCTTCAAAAGAATAATATACTTGGCATAGATTTACTGAAGTTTTATACTCTATCAATTTCACTCAAATATATTTTTTAAGGAAGCATGCCACCGTTACCTTGTAATTTGTTCGCTTTTAACCATATATTTTCCAACTTTGAGCAGTCGCCTATATTTGATATTAGGCTGCCATTAATACTATTGAAACTAAGATATAATGTTTTTAAGTGCGTTAGGTGACATAATGTTGTAGGAAGTGGCCCATGCAGTTCATTATCGTAAAGTTGAATTTCTATGACATGATTTTGATCATCACACAATACACCGTGCCATTGGCAGTGGGGAACGGTCGATGACAGCCAATTGTCTTGACTGATCCAATCTGCGCCTGATGTTGAATGGTAAAAATCGATAAGTACATCACGTTCACTAGCAGTTTCTATTGCGATCGGTGTTGTGAGTAAGAAAATAGAAAGCAGAAAAATCGCAATCATGCTGATGCAGTATTTGGTATCGTTTTTTCTTCATTGTCACTGTTCTATATAGGTTTGCGATTGTTTCGATCCAGATGGTATTATTCTCAGAAACCACTTTACATTAAATGCACATCGAACTTACGAGTCGAGATTATTGTTGCTAATCTTATATGCTTATAGCCTGCAATCCTGTAGCAAATAAGTGCGAATATACACGCTAAACTCAATGACACACCATTATTTGACCAAGCTATAGGTGTGAATATAAAGAATATGGTTTACGAAGCACAAAAATAGGGTGAGCATAAGGGGGTGGATATGTGTCTTCTTTTCTTTTGACACACCCACACCCACCATCCATCCATTCTTAAATAAAAGTACCACTATTAATTTCATTCTAGAGACGTTCATAAGACAGGATACAAATCCTGTCCTACTGGCTACCTGGGCTCTAGCGGGCGACAGGACAGGACAACAGAACCGTCCTGTCCTGTGCACATCTCTAGTTCATTTGAGAGCAGTCATTCTGCTCCGCAATGTTCAACATCGCGAAATAGGATGTATTATCTGCTCTAGTAGATCAATGCCGATAGGCTAAAATAAAGAATTAGCATTTTGTTTTGTCTAAGCATACGTCAGATGTGAAAAGTATAGTGAAACATGAAGATGTCATAGCTATAATTTGAATTTATACTTGTTCCAATTTAATAAAATTTTCTTTTGTATCGATCATATGAATTTCGAGAAAATCTTCCTATCATGTGTAACGATAAATGTAAACATCTAAAGTATCTGATATATTATTTTTTATCTTTTATTTGATAATAGAGAAATTTAAATGAACTATTGTATTAGTTAAAAAGTATTGTAAAACAATGTATATTCATTCTAGTCGAATTATGTTCTTTTCAATTGAGTATATAAGGTCAATTACGAGAAGTCAATAAAAAGATTTAATGGTAAAATGCAAGTAGCAATTTTAGAAATATACTGAAGTTGTTTCTTGATAACTTCACAAGATTGAAACATGTTAATTAAGATTCAAAAGATCGAAATAGAAACATCTTCAGATAGTGAATACTATCAGAAAGCTAAGAAGAAATTCAATGATAGGGAACGTTTCATAATCGTAAAACTATAATGTAGCGCAATATTTACAATAATCTATAGATGAATTATTAGACTTGTTTATTGATACAGTAGGACTACTATGAGAACACGAAGCAAAACGTGTGTACTTCGTGCTACTAATTTTCATACTAATTCAAAGATGTTGATATTTTCCCCATTATCTCCTTTTTCATTATGCAAATAGATAAGTTAAGCCAACTAAATTTTAATAATTATGATTGTTAAAATGTGATTCTCTAATGATCAATATGTTCTTCTCTCTTTTTTGATGATATATTGATTTTATTCAGTAACTGTTCAAGCTCTCAACTCTGATGATTTTTTTCAACAATCAAATATAAAAATATTTGTAAACATATCACAGTCGAAATTAGCATCTACTAATAGAAAATGCTAGATTAAAAGAGATGTTGATGATCAGGAAAGAAATCTTCATGTAGAACTTTGCTGACCATTGAAATTATCTTCGTCAATGTCAATTTCGATGGATTGTTCTGAAAACGATGCTTCTCCTTCTCGGTGGATTTGTTGAGGTTGTGCTTTTTGTTCTGCTTCTTTTTTTAATTAATAATTGTTGGATATGCATCAACGTCTGTGGCATACCACCAAAATCGACCATGACTTTGATAAACATTGAGCTATACTACCAGACATATTCATTTCTGATCGTAGTTTTTGAAAACTATTTGATTTAATATCTGGTTGAAATCGATCGATCATATAGCTTTGCAATTCAAGAGAAACTCTATGATCGTATCATTTCACCAGCGCATTCGGACAAAAAGCAGTTACATATAGGTATACGTTGAACATCTGCGCGTTCATTTAATTAGAGCCAAGCTCGTATCTTGTAGCCAGATGGCGATAAATAAAACGAAGGCGAATGTATTGGTAGTCGTTTTTCTGCTTGAGTATTCACTAGCAATTCATTTCTTCATCTTTTACCCTGTTTCAGTATTCCGTGACAGTTACAATTCGTGCTTAGAAAATGTTTCATCGAATGTAGAAAGAATTATTGAAATATATCCGTATTTTAGAAAGTTATTGCAGTTGACTTGTAGGTTTCAAGTCACATTTTGAAGCCTTCGGAGCAGGACTGTCCATCGTCACTTAGAATATGCCGTGACTAGCTGTAAAAAAAACTACCACGCTACCGCCACAGTAGTATTGAAAAACAATTTGATTTTAAAGACTGCGGTTGGTTAAAACTAGAACCGCTGCTGTTAATCAATCAGATTTGCTAAGTCTTAGTCTCAAATATATGAAAACTGGGATTATATAAATTCATGAATTTTCGAAATCTCTTCTTAAAATAATGTCGTAACTCCATGGACATCTCTGTTTTGTAGTTAGCCGACAAGGATACTCTTGAGGTTTTGTTGGTATCATAATATCTTATACATTATTGAGAAGTAATTTTATTTAAATATCAACTATTATCACAACAATGCACATATTTAATGGAAACAAAAAACCTTGACAATACAATGATCGTATTTTATTGCAAAGGCGCAGGAATAGTAATTGCCATTGTTTCTACGTCACATACTTGAAATTCACCCCATGGAGAAAGTTTACTTGAATTAAAAGCAATATATCGAAAAGAATGAAAACCAGTATTAAATTCAGTAGAATTGAAGACAATCTTATATTGCTGTATATTCGATGTCAAGTTTTGGTTTCTGATCGTGATTCCATTAAATGATCGATAAGCTATCCACCAGACACTATCGAATGATAAATTTAGATCAAGACTATTTTGTAATTCTTGTCCATGCGCGACAGTAATTGAAAACGACAGATTTGTTGGAATGTAGAGAAAGTCAATAGCAAAGAATTCACCTCGATGCACATCATTTCTTCCAGGTCGCCAACAAGTTTTCGGATCATTATCAACTGCATTCAAAGTCGTGTGAGATAAGAAAAACGAAACGTTCGTTCCTTTTGGTAGATTATTTCGTGAACCTCTTTCAAAATCTTTTGAAATACTAAATGGAATCCGTTCGATATCCATCGGAAGAATATTGGTAAAAAATATAAATTTATCTTTACCACCAGACGACTTAATGTAGTTCGGGAAACGACGATTTTGTCGACGGGAAAATTCCAAATGGCTTACATCTTTTGATTGATTATAACGAAGATTACGTTCGAGAATACGTATAGCTAAAATCGAACTTTGATATTGATAGTTGAAGAAACTTGATGTCGATGAAAAGGATACACCAGCATTACTTGCAGGCAAATGACGAATGTCCATATTGAATTGTGATGGAATATCATTGAGCCAAATAGAAAAAAATACATCGCTGAAATGCATCAAATCTATTGAAGCGAGTAATTTTATTATTCCTTTGTATTTATGATGTCTAAAACTTTTACTTACTACTGTTATTTTTCAAATGCATTTGTAAATATTGGAGATGGCGTTGAGCGTATTCGCGTAAGAAAATGCTTCCACAACCAATCCATGAAAAACCACTATGCAAATCGATTTCTCTGTCGAAATAGGTCCACATTAAATTTGTATAGAAAGTATATGGATCGGTAGCAGAATGTAACACATATGGATCAGCTCTAAAATCAGCTACGAGACTTTTCAAATAGGATGATGCATCCCAATCATCATCAACATAGAAACAAGCCATTGTTTTTGCTTCAACGCATGCACGATATTTGGCTTCATCTTTGAGATTCTCTTTTGAATTAATTATACGAACAGACTCTAATGAATGATTATAGTTTTGAAATAGAGATTTTTCAAGATTAATCTGTGGATTATTATTCCAAATGATAATTTCTTTGAACAGATTAGAATGAAGTAAATAATCTACAACGATTTTGGTACCGTCTGATCGTTTCCAATGAAGTACAATAGCAGTTAAATCATAGTTTTGTCGGAGTTCAACTTCACGATTTTCGGCCTGAATAAGTTCGAAATCGTTGAAACCAATGTTAATTTGATTACCATAATTATATCGAATATTTGTGCTCACAGATTCGGTTTCAATAAAAGGTGAAGTAAATTCAAATTTTGATAAATAAAGACGTATTTGTATTATAAATACTAAGAACATTGAGAAGGTCAATACAATAGTGTATTGGGTTCGCATCGTTGGTTGATACTTAAATATAGATGTGCATCTCATAGTACCCAACGTCAGAATAACTGCTTTTCCTGGATAATCAGATAGCAGTAAAGTATCTGAAGGCGATATGTCACAATAATTTTGATCAAGACTAAATTAATCTGAATAAGAAGAATATTACTTTGTTGGCCTATGACTTAAAAATTTCTTACTTATTCTTCAATTCTCCTCGTACAAATAGTGCAAAATTCAATATCAGTTCCGCAGCTTTCTATTACTACCCATTATATAGGTCGACGAAAACATAATTTTATATCGTTGTACTTGTATGCTAAGATGCAATAAACTATCTTAGAATATTTTAATCTGTATAGCCACATTTACTTCTTTTAGCCCTTTCAGTGCCTTTTTTTATTTCGTATTCATTGAGATCAAGATCTCAAGCATTCGAATATAGAGTTATACTATGCATGAAGAATCATTGAATATTATATTTTAGGTAATGAGGATGTTTGAGTGGAGGATTTAAGCTCGGTGAAATTTGTTGGCTTGCTATTGGTTGATTACGCACTAAAGGAACTANCATATGGAGCAGCGCTAAAATCAGCTACGAGACTTTTCAAATAGGATGATGCATCCCAATCATCATCCACATAGAAACAAGCCATTGTTTTTGCTTCAACGCATGCACGATATTTAGCTTGATCTTTGAGATTCTCTTTTGAATTAATTATACGAATAGACTCTAATGAATGATTATAGTTTTGAAATAGAGATTTTTCAAGATTAATTTGTGGATTATTATTCCAAATGATAATTTCTTTGAACAGATTAGAATGAAGTAAATAATCTACAACGATTTTGGTACTGTCTGATCGCTTCCAATGAAGTACAATTGCAGTTAAATCATACTTTTGTTGGAGTTCAACTTCACGATTTTTGGCCTGAATAAGTTCGAAATCACTGAAACCGATATTGATTTGGTCTCCATAATTATATCCTATATTTTTGTTCATAGATTCTTCGAGCATAGATTGCGACATTTGTTTGATATTTGGAAAATAAGGGCGTAATTGAACTAGAAATGGTAGTGATAATAAGCAGGACAATAATATTGTAGATATTCCTTGCATTTAGGAAGTGTAATTAGGAATAAATTCAGATACGATATTGATTGAAACACAGTAGTTTTATTTTTGAAATAAAGTAGATCACAATCTGAATAATATCACTTATTGATCTGCCATTCACTAATCATTTGGTTGTTTTTCAAATTTAATTCTAAAAAGTACTATGTTTAATTCTTACACATATAACAACGGTCTTCTAAGTGAACGTATGTTTTTTTCAATCAGAATTCGACGTTTGAAGAATGCTTGTAAAGTCGTAATATGAGAGAAATAAAAGAACTAAAACGTCGGAGCATACGTGACATTTTTAATGTAGCTAAGTTTTCGAATGAAGTTCGCTTTTGGCGGGGAAAATTTATATGTTACAGATATCAGTTGCTTCAATTATACGATCATCTTTATATCTGCGCAAAAATTGAATTCAGAAACCGAACGTTGATTAACATGCAAAAGTATCCTATATAAATCACTCTGCTTATAAGAACCTTCGATTTTCTCACTGTATTAATATAATTGAGAAAGAAACGTTGATACGATCATTTTAAAATGTTTATTAACCGTCTTAATAGTGCTGCTCGTTCCTTGCTTGTCTTTCACTAGACTAACAAAAAAACCTAATATATTAGAAATCCAGCTTGATGTAAACAATCGATAGAAAAACGTAAGTAAAATATTATCGGTTTGGTTCGACTCGCTCGAATTCGAATACATTTACGTTGCCTATTGCAGAATGAATAATTCCGATGAAAAGAATATGTCAAGCAGTGAATGAAAAGGCTACGATAGTAGAATCGACGTACACTATGTAAAAGATAAAAGTGATACTATCATACAAATATTGCACGATGAAGTTAATATTTGACCTTCACGAATTCGAGATTCGGCAGAAATGAGAAAGAATCAAACGAAAAACTATATATCGCAGAGACTGAGGGATTACAATAACCTTTGAAGAACTTGAAATATTTTTCGCTTTCACGCATTACCTGTCTATTCATCTAGTCAAAGAGAAATACGAGAAAATTTCCATCATCTGAATAAATATAATGATCTCTTAAGAGTAATATAGAAAGTAAATATATCTTTATATGTTAATCACTGTTATTCAATCAGAGTGGTTGGTTCAGTATCGAATGACAAAAGAACGCAATTTATTTTTGTTACATCACTATTGGGCCTGTTTCTTTAAAAATACTGTTGACTTTAATTGCGTTCATCCTCCTTGTTTTTTGTGTTCTGTTCGATGCTATAGACTCGTTATCGCCTCCAATATACCTTAAAAATCAGAAATAGTAAAAATTCGTTGTAATTTATCTGATCATCGTTAGTATTTTGCGTTCATTATAGCCTGTAGATCGATTCGAAATATTCAGAAGCTTTTGGAACAGAATTCAAAACGAATGGTTCATGAATTCGTATATTCAGTTGAAATATATTTAAATAAACGATACGATTATTATTATGTGTCTTTATTTAAAATACGGTGGTGCGATGAAAAATTCTTAAGAATTTTTTAAATAAACTTTAATTGCACAGATCTAATGGAATTTGCTGCTTATATAATCAAAAGACGACGTTTGTGAAAGGTAAATTGCAGGAGAAAATTTATATGAAAAAGACAGCCTCTCAAGAATATGTAATATATTACTTGGAAATTCGATATCATTACAGATGAAAATCAGAACAATAAAATTATAATATTTTAGTGACAATCGACCTCTCGACATTTATTTGCTTTAGAAGCAACCATAGTATCAAATGATTGCAACTGTTTATTGAGACAACAATTAAAAGCCTATCGAATTACATCTTAAACTAGTTTAACTGAACAAGGAGCCAAATCTTCAGGCAAGTTTATAAGTTTAGATAGATTGTAAATTGGCAACAACTGTTGATTACACCAATATATTTATCTGTTATATAATCTGATAAATTTACTCTCGTTAAACCGTTTTCTTTTAAAAAGCCGTATCGAAGCTCTGCTCAATACAATAGTAAATATTTTTTGATTGTGTCATAATAATCTATAATCAAAGGCTAATATTTGAACGCCAACGTGGTTCATGTATTGCGTGTAAAGGATCAGAATGAAATGTGACATGATGTTGTCGACAGTGCTGTCATAGATGATATCACAACCGGTACATTTACTTACCCGTGATACCATCAAACAAGGTAGTCACAGGCTATACGATAGTGTAGTTGATGTCGTATCTAAATTGTCTGATGATGTTCTTTCGTCATAACTAAGTTAATACAGCCTTGAAAATACTGTTCACGTGACACGACAACAAAATTATATACTCATCAGATGTTGTCTCCGTCTGATTTCCGAATTTTATTTTTTTTTATATGGAAATTTTGATATATATTTTAAAAAATCATAATTGTTTAAATATTCATACTAGGTACACACGATTTAGTACGTCTTATTGACATATCTTAGTTCTATCCAGATGCAAAAGCGATGTTCATATTTGGCAATATACTACAAGAAGCAAAGCATTTAAGGTAGATGTTCGATTCACCACATGCAATTATTGATGATGGTACCTGAAAGATAAAATAAAATGAAAATTCAGATTTTTCTTTACCTGAGTGGTTCATCATTAACATTAGCACTGTGATCAAGTTCCTGTTTGATTTCGACATGTGATGAAATATAATACGATTTCATGACCCTGTTTCAAAATTCGTTTGAATGCAACAAATCAGCTGCCGCAAAAATTTAATCATTACGCAAGTTAACATTTCTTTAAGAGAACTCCAAAAGAAAGCAATCAACGGCGCCAAGAATAGCGTATTTTAGTTAGAATGAAAGAGTCGAAAAAAGGTAAACTTTGAAAAATTCATGGCTTTAACTCAACCGATTGTATGAAAAAATAACTATTGTTGTGTCTCGATTTAAATTGAACAAATATATACATTGTATTTTTTGTAAGAGTTAATTTATTAAGTAACATTGCAAAGAAAGATCTCGGCTGTGGTTAGAAAAATATCAGAACTACTTAGCTACAATGTTCCATTTTAGAAAAGAGTCAACCAATCAATAGGACGACTGCTAACTGATCATTATAACTATACGTTGAGGGCTGAGAGTACCCGACTCAAGATGTTATCGCTAGTCTCAGGACTAAAACTAGAAAGTTATTCTATGTCATACTAATAAAAGATAAGCAGGAGAGAAGATGAGTCATAAATGACTCATTGATGACACATGTACGATAAATTCGAAGAGAGTAGTAACAGAAGAATATTGTTAAAGGGCAGAGATATCCCATTGAAATCATTGACTAACGTTGCACCTAGCACAACTATTTCGACAGTAAGCACAAAAAAATGTAGAATAAGGAAATAAAATTTCATTTTTTTGATACATTTACTGTTGAAAGTACCACGAATAGCAATTACTTTTTTTTATCAAGCCGAAACAACTAAGGAGCTTATTTAAGTTGAAGCACACATTAAGATAGGGCGACGATGCTAAATTTATTTCGAGAAAGATTATGTAATGCTTTGTAAGAATACCCTCAAATATTGTCAAATTTACCTCGATTTGAGAAATAAACAGGTAGGGCATTTTAAACTACTCTTCTAAGAATGAATACTTATTTTGCTGCATACGAGCCAAGTCGTTTTTCATTTTTATTATTAGAAGTAGCTAAAAGCATCGAGACCGGTTACATAAACGAATAAATAAATCTTTGATTAGAAAACATGACTATCAACATACAATTTTTTCATGAGCTATTTGTTTTATCAATACAATGTACCCATTTGCATCAATTTTTTTCTGTTATATTTTTCGATTGATGGCTTGGTTGTTTACTAATTACAATAGATTCGAAAGATTATTTTTGGAAAAACATTTCATTCACTATGTAGAAAGAAAAACTCATTCATTTAATTGACGACTGTTTTTTATCTTTTTATCATTGATAATTAGTATGATTAATGTTTTGCAATGAAGGGCGAAATTCCTGCATACTTGTTTTTTTAATCTAAATATCTGTATATTCAGCATGCGAAAGGCAATTAACGAAAAGCAACTACAATTTTGTATAATGGTGATGTATACAGCGAAAGTCTGCGACACGAAATCTCATGGATGGACAATTTTTCATTGTCACTTGATTGTAGCTCTCATTGCCGACGATGCATTTGAGGAGTTGCTAATGCGAGATGAGGTAATTGCTTATGCAATTGTAGTTGTTCTTGATGACGTGGCAGTGCCGGCGTGTGAAAATGTGCTCGTTGATGAGGTGCTTTGTTTTGATCAACAAACATCGGCGTGTGAAAATGTGCTCGTTGATGAGGTGCTTTGTTTTGATCAACAAACATCGGCGATGGTGGAGGGCGATGATGGGCAGAAGGTGGTGCTAAGAGCATACCATTCGTCGGTTCTTGATATTTCTTGTCAATAAATGCAAACATCTTTCGTTTGACATTATTAAAATGTCTTTTTGTTGAGAAACTCATACCATCGGGACCATCACGAGGACTACGATCAGCATGAGCCGAATGCTTTTTCTTGCGATCAACATTTTTGGCAAAGGCATCCATAGCAATTGAAGAAATATCAATTGTAACTAATACAATTGAGAGGGGTACGCTTGTTTATTGTATAAAATACTTGCAACTGCTTTTTGTTTTTATAGGATGCGTTGTCCCAATCGAACATGTGTATCGAGCCGTGACATATTTGATGTGCTTTTTGGTTTACTACCTACTATTACATTGAATCATACTTTCGCTCACATATGACAGTTTGCATTCTCCATTACAGAGAAAGTCATGAAGCAGAATAGAAGAAAACCAATTGCAATATTTTCCAATTAGAATCGCTTACGTCATTCCGAGTGACTTAAATATTCAATATGATTGCCGAGGTTAACATGGTGGAAGGTAAAACAAAGAGGCTAAAACTCTATTGCAGATGATTACAGACAAAAAATTATCTTGTCGTTTCGATTTCACAATAAACTGTATTGGCTCGTGATAGCTTAAGCAACCTACGTAAAACAAAAGACTCGAATGTGGACGCAATTACATAAAACGTCACGAGTGAATAAAAACAAATTTACTTTTTCGGCTAACGAAGAATTGCGTCTCTCAAAAGAAATGATTGCATTCTCTTTCTTGTTTTAATATTCTAGCGAAATATGATGTGATGATAGTTTTCTAATTTTGTCAGTACAAGTATAAGATCGCTGCAAATCTGCAGGACACTAGTTTTCTACTATCTACAAGATCACGTTGCATTTTATTTATGATAACAGCCATTTAGTTCACATAATAACTATAATACAATAAACAATAACAAAAAAAAATAATAATAAAAAATTCTTTTATCAAAAAGAAAGTAACGCTTGACATCAGTATCACTTCTCCATTAATCCTATTGTACTTATATCTGTGGATTTGTTTGTTTTGTCTTGTCGTTAATTTTCCGTGTCAATCTCATCATCTAAATGAACCAAAACAAAAACGTAAAAAATTCGTTTAAACGCCTAACATTCAATAAAGTTTTGTTATTTGAAAATTTTCCCGAGATAAACAAAGAGGTGCTCGAAATGTCAGTGAAAATCTTTTGTGCGTATCGCATCACAGGATATTGACTGTTGTTAATCAATACAATACCTTTATCATGATTGCTTGAATTTTTTTTCTTTTTATTACGTTTATTTCGTTTCTTCTTATTCGTTTTGGTTACAATGGGAGAAGTTGACAGTGATGCTTGATCCTGCCCCTTGATTTGTTCTGATCGTTTTTTATTCGTCATCTTTTTCAGTGATGTGAGTAAACGAAATTTATCTGGATTACGTTGCTTTTCAACACGAAATTGTGTGTAATCAAGAAAAGCTAATGTAAAACGACGACTTTGTATTGTAACAACATAATCGTCACCATATAAAAGTGAACGCGGTGTATCATCGGTTTCTGTGCTTGCACTAGCTTCTTCCATTTCAGCTAATGATGTCATTAGATTTTTAGCTGCACTACGAAGGTATTCCATATCACCTTGATCATCGATGGGCTCATCAAGAAATAAGTCCTCATTATCAAAATCCGATAGTATATCATGAAAATCATCTTCACTATCTATTGTTTCATCATCACTATTTACAGATAAATCCTTGTTTGTTCCTTCGACGATCGATTCAGTTTCAGTATTGGATAAAATTGATTCGTGCTTTGAAATCGTTGATGAACAAGGTTTCTCTTTAACTGGTAACGTTAGTTCTAGAAGTGATCGATATCGAAGTGTTCGTATTGAAGTTAATTAATACAAACCTGCTTTTTGATCGACCGGTGGAGGCGATAGAACAGGTGAAGATGGTTGACGTTTTATAGATGGCTTCATGTCTTCTATAAGAGATACTAGTTCGGTTTTATTGATTTGATTTAATGTAGAATCAGGCCGGGTCATAGCAACGTTTCGTTCAAATTCCATATTTCGTCTTTGTAAGTAATCTTTCAAATGCTTGTCGGAATATATATTAATATAAATTGGTGTCAACCGGATACGGCTATCAAATGTGCTATTGATTGATTGGGTGAGATCTAAAATTTAAAGCAACTATGATTCTTTACATCATATAGATTCAACTGAAAAAGCTAGAGGAAATTCATTGAATAGAATCGTTCTACCATATGTTGTATTATGAATTCGGTGATGCATTGACTAATCTACATAGATTTCAGAAGTGATCATTTTATTTTTTGCGATAAAAAGCTGCCGTGGTACTTTTTCATCGAAGTCGCTTAAATTGTTTTTTTTTATAGTCAAAGAAAAAATCAAAATTGTGCTTTCTTTCTATATGTTGATTCGTTTCGTTTGGTTGCTTTTTTGCATCAACAATCCCTCACTCATTTTTTCTTCCGCGTGAAGAAAGAAACGCATGTTCGCCATGTTGTTTGCCTTATTTGGAAAACAAAACAATTCTCTCTAGTATGGATTGTTTTGAATATCTTAATATAATTTGAATGTGTTACGACTGAAGTACTACTTCTAAATAAGGAAATCATCTCTGATTGAAGGTGATTTTTTTTCCATAAACTTACCATCATAAGAATAGAAATGCACAAAAGAACAATACAAATAAGTCTTTACATGAAAAACTCGTTTCCCGTTGAACATTTTGATAATATCATCCTCTGAAAACTCTTTATCATATTCGACTAATAATGTTTCTGGAAGATACAATTGAATACAATTAATCATTAGCCCATTGCATTCAGGATGACTTCGAACATTCAAAGAAATTCTAGAAAAATCTTTAAAAAGTCAAAAAGAAAAACAATTTGTTTTTAAAATCAAATATTATGACATTTTTTTTTACCAATATCTTCATTATATTCAACAATAGTTGTTTGTTTATCATTTTCATAATATTGAAAGTTCGCTGCCTTATACGGCATTGAAACAATATCAATATAGGAAAGAATATGGTTTGTGTCAATCGGTATGTTTGAAAAGCATACATGACGTTTGTCAATTATTGGTTGAAGACGACGTGGTGTAAAAGTAAACGATTGAAATTTTATTGGTCCATGCTGATTGACACGTTCCGCAACTGTGATACATGAAAGAATTATTTCATTTGATTAAATTAGTTTTCTTACTGTCTGAATTTTGATAAAATACTTGTGCAACGCCTAAATGTTGATAAATTTTATGTGTCTGAATGGGACCTCCATTGGATTTGACTTGATTACTAAAAATCACCTCGATGAAATGAGTTTGAATATCGTTTTGTGGATTCCAACATATCTGAACACCTTGGTCAGCTAGAATAAATAAATTAAATTTAGAAATTTTGCATAAAATACAATTGTCTATTCACCATTATCCAATAGAGAGCCTTAAGGGTTAATTCCTATGGAATTCTGATCATTTTTCTGCAAGTTTAGCTTATAGAATGATTGTGTGGATATTCTGAAAACTTCAATGAAGAAAAAAACAGCATGTTCTTCCATCGAAATATTAAATTAATCATCAATCAATGCTAAAGACGAGTTTTTTTCCGGATGTTCACTAGACTGCAGGATCATGAAAAACATGATATAACTTGTTATAGTGACAATCGTAAGATCACTATCGGCATACTGTTTTAATATTCTAGGCTAAGGAAATGTTCTCTTTCTTATTTCTACTTAAGATAATAATTATTTACTTGAGAATAGAGAAAAAAGTCGACTAGACTATTTCGATAAAACAGTACTCGAAGTAAATCTCTAATGAAACATACACTTAAAAGATACGTTTCTGTCTTATCTATAGGGTATTCCAAAAGCCCATCGCCATAAATATATTTACAACTCTTCAACAGTTATATAATTTAATGGATTGTGTATTGTGTGAATTTCAATTCAGAAAGAAAATATACTCGTGACGATAAACTCAACAATCTTTTAAAGTATAGTTTAATAAAAACCAACATACGGATCGAAGAACTTGTCTGTTGTTTTGGAAGAGTTTTCAAAGTAACAAGTACTCGACTATTATTTGTTTTCCATGATGAATCTCCGTTAATTTGCAGGTTGGTTACTGATCGCAAATTATTGACGGTAGCTGATAATGATGATGTATGATTATGAATTCCGGTTGAATTGACATTCAATGGTTGTGTTTTCAATGAATTATAACCTACTAAGTGTTTCTAAATAAATCGAATTTGAATTTGAAGAAAAAAATGAAAAAAGTATTTTTTTTACACACTTTAGATTGGCAATAAACTCGAAAGGCTTTAGTTAAAATATCTAAATCAAGATTGATTAATGATCCTAGTATAGTTTTATGGTGTTTCTCTGTTAGTCTGTGTGGATATGGGCAGTTCATTGAATGACGACATACATTTGTATAAAAATAATCGTAACATAAATGAAGATTTGAACATAAAATATCACCGTGTTGGCACATATCATCATTATTGCGACATATTTCAAACTACAGAAATAAAACACTAAACAAACAAAAGCCTCGATAAATAAATACGAACTGGCATAAAAAATTCGATGCGATTTTTGTCTCGACTGATTTTAAATATTTCCATATAATTTTTAATACTAGCAAGGACATATTTCGGATTTGAACATAGATGTTGTTCAAGACAATAATTACATAGAAATGGTACTTCGAATAGGCATGTTTGCTTTTCGTTACACAGTCTTAATATAGTATTTACGAGTTCTATATCCATTTTGTAACTTAGCATCAAAAGACAGGTGAAAAAGTTTTATGTTTTACCATTCCGTTCTGTTATATTCGACTCTTATAACTAGTTAAGTGAGTATATCTTATCAGCCAATAAGTTTTTGTCGTTGAAAAATGTCGCTATTGAACAATGTAGAGTTGGATTTTATTTTACTAGTAGCAAAATATCACACCAAAGAACAGATGACGAAAATAAACAAGTGAAATAATGAAATGTATTTTATATGACAATTTGTTTTTTTGAAGTTATCAAAAGAAAGATTTAATCTTTCCCATTAAGATAAGTTTAGAATAACGCATGGGGGAAACCCATTTGAAAATCGTACGACTGCAAGGGTATATCGAAAGATAAATTTTCATGTTTTGGGCGTGACTTGATGAAATACTTTTTCTACATTTTTTCAATGATAATCATGACACACAGTTTGTTTAAATTAGCCAATGCGCTATTCGATACGATAATGTACATATGCATTTTACTTGTACTCATCGTTAGAAAACCGGAGGGTCATATTAAATAAACCCACTTGAGGCTTTCCTGATTATTTTTGTGATTTCTGGCACGAGAAATATTATCTGTTAAAAATGCTATCTATCATAATTCTTGTTTTTTTCTATGTTAACCAATCTGCTCTGAAAAATTAATATTAAAAATGAACGCAATAACAACTTCTTATTCAGAGGCTATCAGTTCACTCGAAATAAAAAAAAGCAATATTGATGTTGTGAAGTAATTAAAGAAAATTTAATCATGAGAATGTGTAGAGTTCCGTTAAAGAAATATTTCATCAAAAGGATCTCTCGAGATTGCATACAACTCTAAAAGAAGCAGTCAACGAAAACTAGCGCGTCGAGAGAATCTACTCGTTATTCATGAATAATGCAATTAGATCTCGCTGAACTGTAATATACAATGAAACAAATAAAAGAGCGTAAAAATATTTAGCACGTGATTGCGTTTACGTCAGCATGTACGATGACATTTTATAGATCGAAGAGATGTGCGTGTTTGAATGTTATTGTCGATTCTCTTATTTGCAATTTCGGCTTTGTACGCAATGTAAACTCGAATCAGCAACTCATTCCACACTAATTTAGTTTTTTAATGCCGAAAGCTCAGTTTCCGACCTCTATTAAATTATTTAACAAAATACTACATTAAAAGCAAGAGTAATAACACAGAAAAGACATTGAGAATGAGAAATGTCTTTAAACTGATAGCTGAAAGACCAAACGAAGGTCTTGACATTCAGAGAATTCAATAATTCAAAGAAAAGAACTAAACAAATTCGTCATGTTTAGAATGAATCATCCGTTTTGAATGTGGCAAGTTGCCATGAAAACTCTACTAGCATATCTTTGATTGAGATTCATAATAAAATATGGCTCGCAGTCAGGAAATGTCGAAAATGAATTTAAAAGTTCGTTGATGATTTTACATAGCATCAAAAAATTGCCTCGATCCAATATTTTATTTTAGTTCTAAGCATTTTATTAGAAAAGAAGCAGCCATTATTAAACTCTTTGTTCATTGTAGCGCTTGTTTATTAAATATAAAATAGCAAAGTGAAAATCAACGAAATATATATTGTAAATCACATTTATTTTTGAAAGTTAACGCTGTAAGAACCAGTCGATGGATCCTGCTGAAGTTTGAAATTATTCGTGGATAGACCGAATGGTTTAAGTACCATATTTCCTAATTCTTTTAATTTACCTAAAAGACCAGAAAAAAAGTTTTCTTTTATTGGTAGATCAAAATCATTTGCATAACATACCTAACATTTCTTCTTTCATTTTTTCGTTACGTTCTTTTATTCGATCGGGCAAAATCTTAAGAAGAATAGAAGTGAAATTCTTCATTACCCAAAGAAAAAAAAATAAATCATACATAGACTTCTTTTCGTGCATGAGCATTAGTTGGTTCAAGTTCAAGAACCTTCTGATAGTCTTGTAAAGCTTCTTCTAATTTATCAATAGCTTTATAGGAGTCAGCACGACGCAAAATGGGCTTTACATAAGTTGGATCATATTTTATCGATGCTGTACAAGATTGAACAGCAGCTTCATATTTCTCCTAGAAATTAGTAAAACAAAATATGATGATTTTTATTTATTCTAATTAAAAAATATTTTTCCCATACCATTTTCATTAAACATGCTGCACGATTTGAGTAGACCACAGCACGGTCTCGAGTATTTTTCATTGGACATAGACATAATGCATTGCTGTATTTTTCTAATGCTTGATCATATTCACCACGACCGAATAGATTATTACCTTCATCTTTCGATGTTTTAGATTCTTGGTAACGTGTCTAGTATGAAAAGAATCATCTATTATACATAGATCAATTCCTTCTAGAAGATGTTCAAAGCAATTTTACATTAAATTTCCGTCTAATTTAATTCTAAATCATCTCGAATATTTTTAAAACTCAATAATCAACACGGTTAAAATAACTAAATGAAATTACTTCTTTTTCTTCATCTGTTAAAAGTGCATCACGCTCAATGAGGAGGTCTTCATCAATAAAATATGGATCTTCTGAAAGAAAAATATTCAATAAAGCCCGATGAACATTGAGAAACAAGAAAAATATTCTAACCTGGTGATTTCTTTGTTACTGTTTCGTTTGTGGATAAATCTGCATTGAGACGTTCATGCAGGAGTTTTGCTTCAGTATTCGTTTGTGTGGAAGGCGATTGATTTTGTTGAAATTCAGTATCGTGTGCATCGAAAAATTCATTAGTATCTACATCCTCGTTATCATCCTCACTAGAATCAGTCCAGTGATGCGGTTCACGCATGCCTTGAGTGGTTTGCCATTGTTCGGGATCGTCGTCTTCTTTCTTTATGTTTGCAGTCGCCATCTAGAGTAGTGAAATAAAGTATGTTATATAAAACCTTTTCACTTCTGTTCTTCATTTTTATTAAATCTATATAACATGAGAGACCTCAGTAAGCAAAAGAATAGTTGAGAACAAAAACAGGACATATTACTCGTTTAGGTTATTTTTTTTTTCTTTTATAAATTAAATCACGCGCGAAAATTCATAGATACACATGAACAACAAACAAGAAAAACTAGTTCACTCTTTATGATGTTGGTAAATTAGCCGGTGAACATTTGAATGCAAAATCAGCTGGAAATAATTCTGACGCTTTTCCTAACATGATTTTATATATAAGTCTGATTGTACTTTCCATAACACCAGCAGCAACTTGAATATCTAAAGAAAAATATCACATTTTGTATGGTTATATTCTATGTATTAAAATCATCTGCTTACCTTTCATTGGTTTTTTCTCGCCAGCAGCAGCACAGGCCATATAAATTGATGCGCCTGCAATTGAATCTGGCGCACGACTTTGTATATCGCAAAGTTCTTTGGCACGTTCAGCAATAAAAACAGCTGTTTTTTGTATAAGATTCTCTTGGCGAAGGTCAAGTTGATTACAAAAACGAGGCTGTTTTGAAAATAGGAATTATTGGAAAAGAAGCAATTCAAAATAAAAAACATACCACCAAGTTTTTGATATCAATTGATTCAGGTCGATTGGAATTCGGTAAACTATTAACAATTTGCTTAAAACATCGGCCGATGTCTTTCTTCGATGCACTGGTGGAAATAGCACAAATTTCTGAAGAAAAATGGAAATTCTTAGAAAACCGCCAAGGATGTTCGTGCATATTTTTGCTCTACCTTTAATTGTACGTTGTGCACCTTCTTGTCGGCAAGCTATATAAATGCATGTTGCAACAATAGCATCTTGTGAACGACCTCGAACACATTTATTTTCATAGCATTGTTTAAAAAGTGAAAATGCTCGATTAATGATGCGACTCGATAAGTTAATACGTCCAGCCATTTGACGGATGGCATCATAACCACTCCGTAAAGCTTTGTCGGCAGTCGACATCTTAATATTGAATTAAACAAAAGCAATACAGTATATGTATTCTTCATTGAATAGATACCTGACGTGGCCCATTGTTATACTTTTGTTTGCCAAACTCATCGAGTGCTCCTGCCCCTGTTCCTAATGACATAACAGTTTCAAGAGTATCGCCATCGAACAGTGGATTTTCTGCAGCTCCGACACGACTCATATCTTTCGAATCCTTATCATTTGAAAATGTACGCCATTCAGAACCAACATCCACCATTCTAAAACGACAACATCATAATATGATTACAAGGGCAATCAGTGAATAGGTATATCTTAATCTTTGTGTACAATTCTATGAATAGAAAATTCGATTTTAGGAAATATCTGCGCTAAAAACGTTTTTAAATCCGTACAGAAGTTAGATTGAATGTTTACTGAATATTAGTAAAGATGTTGAACAGTTCATAAGAAAAACTGATGATCGTAATTTGTATCCAAATAATTCAGATCTTAGTGAAATTAAACTATCGTACTGGATCGGTTATCCTGATAGCAACTTTTAGTCATACAACCATAAGTTCTGTCTATAAGCTACATAAAATAACTTCATAAAAAAGACAGTCAATATATTTCGAAATCTCTAGCGATGTATTGTTATTAAGCTAAAAATGTTATGCATGCGTCATTGGAAGTAAAATTCCTCGGAAAAAATCAATAGTCTAAAGAGGACGTACATCACATGAGCATGAAGGACACAACTGTTGTTAAACATAAAACCTATGATTCACACACACACTTATTTTATTTCCGTTCTTGAACAAAGCTCGCGCTTTGGTTCAAACATCGTTTTTGTTTGGACAAACTGCTCGCTATTGTGTATTTAGCAAGTGTGCTAATACGACAGGGTGAGAATTAGAGCCCATCGAGTCTGAAAATTTTACTGATCGGATGCCAATTGCCAGAAAAGTTTGATCGCTAGAGTAATATTTTATCAGTTTTTTTAATTTTCGTTCGGTATATTCAAATAACCTCAAGTTTATTTATAAAAAAAAGTAGAAGATTTTGTTGCTCGATTAGAAAAATTCATTGGACGCTTTAAGAATACCTTTAAATTCTGGACCTCGGAAAATGTGATCCGGCTGGTATGGGCCCAAAAATGATTGAACCCGCTGAACTCTAGCGAAGATATTAAACGTATATTTGACTTAGTGATAGTTTCAATCAACATTAATTTTAAGGTCTCAATATCTAACAAATCTGTCATACCGATCACCAACCACCAAACCACATTCTGGGCACACCATATCACCCGCACGGTAATCTTCAACCAGTGTTGCGTCCGGATGGAACCGACATTCTAATTGTTTAACGTATCTAATCAAAAGTAAAAGAAGAAAATAAGTAATCAATGGAAATTCTTGCTTCTTCGTTGCTTGAATCCCTACCGTGACATATTTGACTATTACTACTTGTATTAAGTATATTCTCCGAATTAAATATATCTAGAATATAAAAAGATAATTAAACAAGAGAAAGAAGTTTTCCATCATGTCAATCTTTATATTTTTTTCATCATCATCCAATAGAGTTATTCATGCTTTTTTCTTGCAAAATGTACAAAAAAAACCAACAAACAACCAAAATACTGCCTTTTCTCTTCTAACAATTTTAAACACGATTTGAAATGATCAAAGAAAAAGAATGACAAAGACGGATAATATGCATATATGTATATGTATATATATATAGTTTTTAGTGACAATAGATAAGCGCAAAAGAACATAATAATCAACAAAAACAAGAGGAAAAAAAAGATAATGAAATAAGGAATGAATAAAATCAAACCAACATACATATTTCATAAATAGACATACCTTAGCCGGCTAGTCTACACACGAAAGAAGAAGGAAAAAAAAACAAATAGGACTTATCACACAATATATGTGCAGTTAGAACACGAGTCTTTTCTTTTTTTATTCAGATTATATCACAAAATTCACCACCAGGATTTCTTTTTTCTTTGCTTTCCTAGAGATAAGGTGCTAATCCAAATTCTTATCTTGGTATTTTTGTTTTCTAAGAGAATATATTTCGGTTATTATTGTGATTATTATTATTGTTGGTATTATTATTATTATTATTGTTTCGATTTTGATAATAATCTCGACGATTATTATTTGGTGGGCCTCGTCGAAAATTATGCTCCCTACTGTTCTCACGAGAAGATGAAATTTGATGTTCATGATTATTATTATTATTATTATTATTATTATTATGATTATTATTATGATTATTAATAATATTATTATTTGAAAGGTTCGGTCGTGTTTGTTGTTGACCAATAGCAGAAACAAAACGAACAGATGGCTGTTTTGAATTTACTGCTTGTTGTTGAATCGAATTAGCTATTGAATTCGACATATTCGGTGGTGGCGTGGTAAACGTAGTCGATTGTGTTTGAAAAATATTAGGATCTAAATGAGAATATAAATATAAGGATTGTCTAGGATTGATTAAAGGTGACTTACTAGCTGTTGGTGGTGGCGGTATACCAAGTGTGAGAGCATTCGCTATAAGTTGAGATAATGGAAATGGTGTTGGAGGTGGCGGTAAGTTGAAATTTAATGAAAGATTTGGCAACATATTTACCATTGAATTCGGTGGTGGACCTAGAAAAAAATTTGATATAGATCGCTCGGATAAATTAGTCTGATTCAGATAGAGAGTAAACTGAAATGTAACTTTTCGGCAGTGCCGTTGAAAAATCATTTTAGTCCATGATAGAACTTTATCGCTATATACTATATTGATATTTTTCCATTTCTCTTTACGAACGTCTAGATATATATGCAATATCACTTGGGTACAAATATGTTCACAGTCTCAGCAACTGCTCGTTCCGACTCAAGATATTAAAACTCAATCTTTACTTTCTAATGTACGCTTACCATTAGTTGTCTCGTTGTTAGCTGTTCGTGTAGCATTAAGTAGTGCTGAAAGCAAAGTCGGTGGTGGAGGAAGATTAGGTGTTGATGCAGCAGTTGTATTTGTTATTGTCGATGTTGCTGTTGCTAATGTGGTGGGCAAATTCAGCAAAGTATTTGACGCTATGGTCGTTGAAAGATTATTTGCTGTAGCTGATGTTAAATTGCCTTTTGCTTGCGCAAGAATTTGTGCAACTTCAGGCGATACATCTCCAAATGAAAATGACGAAAGACTCGGTGTGACTGTGTTGTTGTTGTTGTTGTTGGGTGTTGTTGTTGTAGTTGTTGTTGTTGTTGTTGCTGCTGTTGTTGTTGATGTTGCCATTGAATTATTTATTGAAATTATAGGTATATTGGTTGCTGCTGTTGCTGCTGTTGTTGTTGTCGTATTATTGCTGTTTACTGATGTTACTGTACTCGATAGAGACGATGAAGCATCCTATGTGCATACATATATATATAGTTATGTAGATATATTTATATTTATGAATTTATTTTTCAAAACAAAAAACAAAATCAATATTTGAATATTTAATAAATACGATATTTCATTCTTATTGATTTTTATTCTTACATCTTCAAGTGGGATCAATTTTGGTTCAGTTCGTTCAGTATGGCTTTGTCCAATAAGATCACCATCGGGTTCCCCTGGACTATCAGGTAAAAATGAACGTATAAAAAGCGCCTGTAACACAGTTTTTTCACGTTCTTCTTGAACAAATCGTTCCTGTGAAATGACTGGTGGAATTTGTATTGTATCAGGTAGTAAAATTTTTATGAATGCCGGCAATGGCGTTAAAATTTGTTTATCATCATTATCCATCGCATTCATGTCTTGTATACCTCGTCGTTTACGTAAGTCTCGTTCCATGACTTTTTCAAGTTGTGCTATAGATATATTAGCTGCACATGTACGTGCATATACATGCATAGCGGATAGTTCGGAATCATCTACTTCAAAAAATGATGTGTGCACAAGTGTTTGACTTTTTTCGTCAGCCCAAATCACTTTCTTTTTGTTTACTTTTTTTACGCCTGGTTCACTTAAATTACTTTTTATAACTGTATCTAAAATACGCAGAAAATGTTTTAAATTAAATATAGGAATGAAAAATTAGTGAGTTGTTTTTTACTTGTTTCATCTGGTTTTGGACTGATTACTGGTGGATTCTCGGGTATGTTGTTGGACGAATCATCATCGATAGGCATAGGTGGTGAAGGCTGAAATGTATTCAAAAATAAAAAATTTAATTGGATTTAATCATAGCTGTTTGAATCAGAAAAAGGAATCATAAGGTTACTGTTAACTAATTTGTGGCATTTTATTCAGCATAGACGGGATAGGTATTGCAGGACAATCGTGTGAATTTCCTTAGTGGAAATCTGCATTGGCTTCTATGTATTTCAATATGACTGTGGTTACAAGATCTGATGTCTAGTTTTCTAACCGGAAACGTTTTAATCATATCTATTGATAATGAATCGAACGCAAGAAACCTTGATCCTAAAAAGTGGTCAGTGAAACGTGGTCAACCTTGATGCAAAGGATTTCGAAGATCAACGTACATTTTTTCATTCAATCGTGAAAATATCCGCAGTAGTAGAAGAAAAATAAATTATTATAGCATTTCTCTTTCGGAATCATAGTCTGGTCTCGACTACAAATACAAAGTTTATATCAGACACTTGCCATTTGTTTGATTTATGAGCACAGTTTTGGATATGTCTAACATGGGATTTGTGATAAAAATCAACCTATAATTTTGGCTCTTAACCGTGAACTTTTCACTAATGACTTGTCAGCACTCTAATCAAGGACTGTACGATTACAATCATTGGTGAAGCAAAGGCCACATCAGATAATCTTTTCCATTGAAGATATTTTTAAAATCTTATTTTTCAATACTGTAATTGATATCAATGTATCAACTTAGAAAAAAAAGTTCATAGACACTTTTTTTCTGTAACGCCCAAGAACAAAACACAAACCCGGCGCATTAAATCCAATTAGCCTCGGGTTTATCAAACTCTATCGCGCCTAAAAATATCCAACGGAAAATTCAAATATACGTAGGTATTTGTTATACGATCAAGAGACTTTGCGCGTCTACTGCTCTCAGCCTTGCCCTCTGTCATTCAATTCTCTTTTCTTTTCACATGAACATATACTGAAAAATTCTCACCTTTGAGTTTCCGATATTATTTATTCGCATATCAGTATCAGCTAGAGTACTCTGTAATTCATTCGATTTTAATCGTTTTCGTTCTATATATTGACTTAAAGAAAATTTTCTTTTTCCTTGTTGCGCATTAAGTTCATCACTCGTTTGTCGATTCATTGACGCATTGATTTTTGTTGGTTGAACTGCCGTAGATGTAGGAGGTGGTGAACTTTCATTCGTTTCCGATGGTGGCGATGGTGCACTTGTATTCGACCTGAAATAAACAGAAAATTAAAATCAATAAAATGCGCACAAGAGAAAAATCAACAACAACAACAGAGGTAACAGAAAAAAAAGTAAAACGACACGCAGAACGATCGATCGACAAAATCCGTCTCTGTAGAATGATGTATGCAGCACCATGATTATCAGCATATAGCACATAATATATTGATCATTTTGTTTTAATTCATTTTATTTCGTCATTTAATATATATATATATATAAATTACATCATGAAAAAAGAAACCATCCATCTGACAGCAAGATATACCTACGATGTTTTTTCTTTCTTGGTTATTAGAAAAACTAATCTATGTATCTTGGTATTGATCCCTGCAAATTAGAAGTTATAAGTACACCATTAAAAACAAATAAATCAAAAAAAAACAACAACACAGTATTACAAATTGATTTAAAAAGCAATGACAGTGTAAAAATAAAAACAATTTTTCGCGAAAAAATAAAAATCAACACGGACTTTGTCGATCGATAAAATTTGAATTTAACCTAAAACAAAGAGCTGAATAACCTACCTTCCTATTTTAGGTATACGAAATGTTGGCGTAGTTCGATTCACTAAATTAGTTTTATTCAAACCATCACTATCGTCAATTTCAATTGATGATTTCATTTTTTTCGTATCTACTTGTGGTTGAGTTACAAGACGACGATGTGTCGGTTTTCTATTTGTTGTAGGTCCTATATTCTCTTCTGTTTTCCGTTTGATATTATCCGTATTATTACTATTATTATTTGTATTTGTTCCTGATACGGCTGTCAATGTTGCGGTTGTTGCCATTTTGCTATCATTGAACGGGAATGTATTATTATTTGATGAGAGCAATGTTCGTTCGGTTTTATTCAATCTTTGAGATGTCAATTGATGTTTATCGATGGAAGTCGACAATCGAGAAATAGACGAAGATTCTATTGTTAGACAAAACAAATCATCGATAAGAAATTCAAATATTTTTATTTCTATATATATATATATATATGTGTATACATACGAGATGATGCGGGTTGGTCAATATCAGGATGAGTATCTATCGTTTGAAACAATCCTTTGGTTGTACAAAGTTCGTATAAATGACGAGCACTTTCACGAATATCTACAAGAAATGAAATAGTGTTAAGATATGATTGAATAGATAGAATAATGGTCTAGCCGAGATCAATTAAGAAAAGAGCGCCAAATATCTCAAGTCCAATGTCGTCGAAATTCAACAGCTGTTTTCTTCCGATAACAAAAACAGCATATGTCGTGCAGAGAATTTGCACACATGTAGCATGTTTTCACTCAAAAACGTACTGTATCAAAGCTTATGTTCTGTACGATTGATAGTTTTGAATATGCCGTTATCATTCATACATATGAATCGTCTTCAGAAAACTTAATATCCTCAACCAATTGACATAGTATTGCGACTTGACATCTATTTCATGAATCACACAAATCATTTCCCGAAGAAGAACACATCAACGAAAGAGTTCATCGATTGGAAAACTTTCCATTCGATAATCTCCATTGTGAGTAGACAGAAACACATGACGAATCAAAGTACGCTATTTTACGTCTTGCAATGAAAAACTTCGATCACTTTCGATTTTGTTGTCGCATGGTACGATACTTTTGAAGCCACATAGTCGAATTAAGAAAAGAAAAGCCTTTTTCGATTTATTCTCTCTCTAAATCGCGATCAATAGTATACGTGGAAAACAAATTCGATCATTTGTTTGAATTATGATATTTTTCTTTCGATATTTATACCAAAAACACTGACCCTTTTCTTTCCCTGACTCAGCCGATGTGAGTTCGGCTATTTTGAGCTGTAGCTCGTCGATATCATTCTGTGAAACATTATCGATATTGAATGGCAAATTGCCTATGATATTTAACGTATCGAGTAGAAATGCATGATTATGATCAACGCTAAAATGTGAAAGCCATTTGATCAAAATTTGAAGGCCATCACATTTTAAAAACCTAGAAATATGAAATATTGGATATATATGATTGTTTATTTTGTATTCTCTATTTTATTCAAATAGAAAAGAAAATTAATTTTTTTTTTAAATTTTACATACGTTTTTAATACATCTTCAGATTTTGTGTGATTTAGAATTTGTAAATATATTGCTTTATTCACTAGTTTTTCAGTTAATTTCATCAGTCTAAAAATTTCAGTTTACATTTTTTTTTCAACATCAGATAATAATCAATGAAAAACAACAAAAGGACAATAACGTAGAATGAATACAACATACGTAATAAATTGTCGTACAACTCGATCGTTTTTCAATCCACCATTACTCTCTAATAAATAGACGATTGTGTTGAGTAAAACACTTGGATCAACAGGAGCCTAAGATCCATTAATAAAAAAGAAATTGTTCACGCATCAAAGTTTTTCTTTTTTTTCGCTCTATTACCATTTATCTGACGTATTGACTAGTAGATATAAAACAATCTAGAAATAGGCAAGGTTATTTTTACTTGATGTAGGTAGAACTACGCACACAGAGTAAAGTATTCACCAAGCATTGAGAAAAAAAAATAACGCGCATAGAAATAACAACTATACGTTACTTACTCTCCTACTTGTTCCGTCGACGAAGAATGATGAGAAACGAAAGAAGAAAAAAAAATGGGGTAGTTTTGTTGCATCCGCTCGCTTAACCGGACGAGTAGGCAAGAAGAAAAATCGACTCTCCTCCTTTTTTCTTATTATTGTGTCTTACTGCAGAGTATATGTGCTCGCCTACGCAACGCATAGAGAAAGATTGTCGTATTATTTTCTCTTGTATTTCATCATACACGAGAAGAAAAAGAAAGATTCGGCGTTTGACATTATCTTTTTTTCTACCATATTCGACCATAATAAACTCCTTGTTGGTCGCCAAACACGCGTTAAATATAGAAAATTTTGACATGAATTCTATTGTGAAGTACTGAGTAATAATATTGTCTTTATAAAGCATTATTTATTGGAAGCATCTACATGACAAGAGTTTTTACTTGATAACAGAAGGTCACTGTAGACTATTCTAAATCAATAACGACATTTCGATACGAAGAAGAGCAGCTATACACGGATCAAACTATATATATATATGTAAGAGATCATATATTTCGTTATATATAATCACTAAAAATATTGACTTCATCATTTGAAAGTCATTATAAGAAAGAAACATGATTCTTTTTTGTTATTAAGAAAAAAAAATCAAATACACAAAAAGAAACAGAATTGGATAAAACAATTTACAAACTGATCATTGTTCGCCAAGTCATTCAATCATATCTTTTTCGATTACCTAAAAACATATAAATGTTTCTTTATCATACAACATTTTGAATAAACCATTTATTGACAAGTCGCCATATATACATAATAGATTTCTTTTTTTTTAAATAAATATTGTATCTTTATATATATATATATATGTAAACCAAATAAGATCTCCAACAATCATTTAATTATCTTGTATTTGAATAGAAACGATATATATATGTGTCTGTTAATGACACATACAATCATTTCTGTACCAATGAATCGATTAATGTAAATCGAGCAAGAAAAACAAATGGCACAGCGTCCATAAGAGTTATATCATTCTTGATTAATTCTATTATCATTATGTTGGTTGCCATCGATTTTAGTTTTCCTTTTACTTCGTCCGATGGTGCATTTGAAATGTTGTTTTTCTGCTTTTTTTATTCTAAGTAAATAGCCTCCGAATACTCATTCCGATTATATACACACACGAGAGAGCTGATGAGGAGGAAAAACAGTGTTTCGATAGGGGATTATGATAAATCTTAACTATGAATTAATAGTGAAACATCGGAATGATATTGCTCGTATTATACTAAAGATGAAAACAAAGAGCTCGTTGACGTCGTGTCTCGCCTATGAAAGCTTGCATAGATAAGAAGTGATTGACATATTCAATAACGTCGATATGCTTTATTCAAATAGACAGAACTTTATCATGGAATTATGATTCGATAAACGCTGAAAGAATAGCTATAAGAATATTTAAGAAATGAAAAAAAAAATGTCAGTCAATCAAGAGCGCTCTCTAAATATCAAACATAGTTAAATACATAAAAACTAAATATTCTACCATTGAATTTTGGGGGAAAAAAGAATGTAAATCTACTATTTAAAGATGACATTCATTTCAACAAATTTCTTGGAAAGTATTCTTCATTTTTCTATGTAAATTTTCCTAAAAAGAAATAAAAAGTTCTAATAATTGAATCGGCAGATATTGCAAAGTCAAATTATTTTGACTGTTTTCAATAGTAGTTTTTCGTCCAAGCATCGGCATTAACTGCCATTTGAACTTCATCTAGAATAAATATCAAAATGCAGATTATGAATAAATGGCAAGACCTATTATCTACATTGCATATAAGCCTTGGAGGCGATCGAAAGGGCGTGGCTATATTTTCGACAAAACGCAACTAATATCTCATAGTTTATTAATAATGGATATCACTCTTCTCCGTTAAAATCCTTTTCTTGTGCTCAATAATATAATTGGAAAAACTCAGTCCCGCGTTCTTTTCCCGGAGTATTACCGTCAAGAAGTAATGTGCCTGCAAATTTTCCCGGATTCTATACAAACTGTTAACATTTCAAACGATAAGTGCGTTCCAATACTTTCTACAAAAACTAAATCCTAAATCCTAGTTGACAGAGAAAAAATATTGAATTCTTCTAGATTAATACAGTTCTAAAATTTATGAAAAGGAAGTATCTAGTGATTTTTATGGAACGCATTTTTTTTATAATAATAAATTCGAAACTTTTTCTTCAACCTCACCAAACGTTGACCACGTGCTAATTATATTTTCTCATCTAAAGCACCCAGTGAATAATAGAAATTGTTACAAATCTAAATTCTACATATAAACCCAAACTAAAAAAGTTGACTTCAGAGAGTACAGCTAAAAAGGAAATTTCTCAAAATATTTAGACAATTCATACAGAGTGCTATCGTTGATTAACTTTCAATAAACAAGCTTTATCTTATACCACTAAACTTCAATCTTACTTAAAGAAATTTCACAATTTTAGATATTTGGGTGAATCAATTTTCCATTCGAAACTTTATTGGATACGTATGCCTGTTAGTTGATTTTCTTTTCAAGGACATTTCTTTCCAAACGGATTGTCGATATAAATAATCTTCTAATTATTTGACGAATATGAATGAGTAAGAACATGTTTCTGTTATTTATTATCTAAAAAAAGAAATCAAGTGTGTTTATCAGTATCGAAAACCAATTCAATATTTGGTGAGATGCGCGATCTATTTTTCTTATTATTATCTGCACCATTTTGTTTCGATGTTCTAATTGTTTATCTTTGTGAAGGATGAGAATAATCTAAGAAAAAAAAAATTTTTTCCAAATGAAATTTTTTCTCGGCAAAATAAAAAGATTTATTCTCTAATAAGCTGTTTTTCTATGTTAGTTAATTACTAGAAAAGTTTTCACAATGCATAAGTATGTTACATGTTTAGATGAGTCACCGAGGTGTTTGGCCAATCAGATGATTTCTGATATGTTGATTATTATATTATTCTGATTCTTTCTTTTCTTGTCAAAAGAGGACGTTATACATATTTTCTTTCTTTCTGATTTATTGTTCTTGAGAAAAGTTAAACTTCATTTTTTAAATGTTTTTTCAATAGAAGTAATTTATGTTGATTCTCTTTTCTATTTTTACTTTTATGTATTCCCTTATTTTTTATTTGTTTGCTTCCATTCTTGAGTAGTTTAGTGTGTCGATCGATTGATGAGAAAAATGATCGTTTCTTTCCTTCTTCGGCGCATTCTTTACTCGTCAACTATTCAATTGGTTCGCCGGGTCTAGGTAGTGTTAATTAGCATATGTCGTCGATTTGTTATCGTTTTCTTTACGTTTCTTGATTTCATCCGCATCGTGATTGCTGACGCTTTACTAATATGTATATTTGTTAAGACATGATTCTTTTCTCCACTCGAATACTGTTACTATGATGAATATGTAAATACTTTTCAGCGACTTCTTTTCCTTTTATTTTTCTTTACTTTTCATTTCTTTTTAAGAAGAAATTATTTGCTTGAAATTCTTTGTTTTTTCTATTTGCGATTGATCTCACCTTTATTACATGCTTAATATAGTTTTTTTCTTTGTCTTCTCATCATCTCCTGCATTATATTAACTGATTAGTACTTCCATTTCCGAGCACGAATACATTCTGGCGTATGTCATTCGACAATAACAACAGTGACGACTAAGGATGACGATGAGAAGTGTGGAGTAAAAAGAAACACTACCATTCTTGAGTTTTGTCAACAACAATATTCTAACATACAATTAATCTCATTATCTTTAGCATCGTCAATTATTTTTTTTATCTTACGTTCTTCTTTTTTTGGTTCGCTATTACACACATTCACACCTGTATTGCATCTTAAATATCTGCCGATGGGAATGAAGCATTGGCTCTCAGGTCAATAACAAGAGTGTTCATTTTTAATCATAATAGCGATTTGTGTGCTCTGACGTGAATATGAGTATGTATGCGAGCGTGTGCATATATGTATGTAAGTAAGAACGAGCGAAGGATGGGATGAAAGTGACACTTGAGAAGTTCGACTAGCTTGTGAGCTGACTGTCTTGATTAAATCAAAATAAAGCAGCCGACATATACACATTCGTATATTTATATAGACATAGAGAATAATAGACTAAGAGACGATGAAGAAGAAGAGAAAAACAAAATAGATTCGAACATCACGTCTATAAACGATGCCAATCGGTCGTATTCTTTTTTGAGAGAACAAACAATAACCACCATCACTACCAACAGAAAAGAATAGTAATTGAACAAGCAACTCAATCCGGTTAACATTTCATCTTTTACATATATATTTATACATTCGCATCATCTCCTTTTGCAGGCACGCATGATTCCATTTACTTTTTAACAGCAATAGACCTGATACATAAGATTGAGAGAAAGCGTTCGCGTGCGCTACTAGAGGAAGATTTGCATCAATACATTGTTTTACTTGTTTTCATCTCTATTGTTAGTCGTTATTGAAGCGTTGTATTGCACTCTCGTTCACTTTCTATTACTATTACTGTTATAATCTATCTTAGCTCTTTTCCGTTTTCTGTTATTCTTCTTCACTTCATTTATGTCTTTGATGAACAACAGAATAATCAAGTAAAAAAAAGAAGAAAGCAGGAAACGAGTGAAAAAAAAGAAAGCTTTTTCTGCCTCTAGACAATATTTGCACGTCATCTACCTAGTTTATTCTCAAGTGAATATACACCTTAACATAATCAGTTATTTTGCGATGAATACGAGTAACTTCTATATATATATATATATAGCAATTCCTTATTCCGATCGCATATGAATTGTCGTTAAAAACAGCAGGCGAATATATATATTTTTTTTCCTCATTTTTTCTCTGATCGATCAAAAACCACCTACTCCTAATCAGATAATACTTGACGTAATTAAATTGTGCTTGTCCTTTGATAAAGACCATATGTCAATCTCCAATTTCTTGTCAGTAGTCCTTTATCCTAAATGCTAATCGTTCTTCACTGCCGGCACACATATATACAATTATTTTAGAATAAGCATGTGTTGTTCGTATCTCTAACTCGTATTGTCCTACGGGTATATATATTTATGTGCATCACGAACGACAACTTTTGATCCTTTTTTTCCTTTTTCTTTTTTTTCTCATTCTCATTCTTATGTTGACTGATGGTATTAGTAGTCGTGGCCTTTGTGTGTTTCTAGCGATAGCGATTAATTAGGTATCTTTTGTCTATCTAGATCGTGTGTGTAAATTGGACACTTGTAGTCGGCTAGTGCGAGAGAGGGAGAGTAACACACATTCGCTTTACACGCTGTAGAGGACGACTAGTATGTTTTTCCTTTCCTGTATATACATGTATATATATATATATATACATTTATTATAGATAGATATATATATGTAACCTTATCATGCGTCGGCAGCAGTCATACTGCCGACAATACTCGGGCACACCAGGTCACGACAACGACGACGATTATTTTCTTCCCTTCTCTTCATCGCGTTGTCGATTCTCTTTTTTCTGATGCGACGCGCACTACTGCTTTTCTATCGTCGACTAATAGAAAATGATTAGAGCATGTTCGTTGTTCATCCACCCTGTTGTGCTATTCTAAGATAACATATTTGCAATATTTTATCTCGATATGTCATTATTAAGCTTTTTCTCGTGTTATTATTATTTTTGTATCCTCTTCGCTCTCTCATGCACGTGTTACTGCAGTAACAATAATCAATCCATCAAGTGCTTTGAGTTACTCTATAGGAGGAATTGATAGATTTGCATGTTCGTTGTTTATTCCTATGCAAAGCATTGGATACACACATCGTGGCAATATGTTGTTTATTATACTACTTTCTTCGATTAATATAGTCAAACAAAAAGAAAAAAAATTTTCAATGACAAAATCGACATTTTTTTCTTCTACTTCTACTTCATTCAGATCCTTCAATTTTGATTTTAGTTTATGTTGTTTTTAATGTTGACATTATTATTTTCTTCTGTGTATTATTACGATTATTTTTCTTTTTCTTTTTCTGGATGTTTATTCAACATCGCCATCGTGCGCAACTGAATAGTTAAAATTTTCAAAATTCACTCACATACGAATCTCAAAGTTGCTTGTAATAATATACATCAATCATCAAAACAACACGACGATTATTTATTAAATCCTAATAGTAGTAAAAAAAAGAAGAAACTTAATAGCGGTACCGGTTCCGCTATATCTAATACCGGTGGACAAGAAAAGCTCACTGGAACAATGTATTCTGGGCGTAGTGGTCCACAGGTATGAGATCAAATGTGGTTTATATTTGTTTCCATTGAATCATTTATTTAACACACCTATCTAGGGATCTTCACAGGTAGATTTTAGTATTATGGAATACTGCGATCGAATTAAAAAAGAATTTAGCCTATTACAACAACAGTGTCAAAGGTATAAAAATAAAAGTGTTTTTTCTTTTTTTCTTTTTGTAATTTGAAGTTATGTTTTTTAGTTTGAAATTTGAGTGTGAGAAATTAGCACAAGAAAAAATCGAAGTACACCGTCAATATGTTATGGTAAATTGAATCTTAATATTTCTTGCTGATAGCAATCAATCGTTTTTAGTATTATGAAATGTCCTATGGACTCAATGTTGAAATGCATAGACAGTCAGAATTGGCGAAACGTTATTTAGCTATTTGCCATCAAATACTCCCATGCTTATCTCAAGAGGTAAGATCGAATATTGTTTGAGATTTTTTGTTTTTATTGATTTATATTTAGCAACAAAATCAAGTTGCTGCAACACTTGAACGTGCAAAACAAGTTACGGTTGCTGAATTGAATGCTATTATAGGAGTTCGTTGATTTAATATTTGTCCGAATAGGAAAAAGAAACTAATTATTTTTATAATTAAATATTTTAGCAACAAATGCATGCACAAGGAGTTGCTGCGTTTCCTCATGCTCATAGTCAAGCACAACATTTTGGAGCATCACCTTTTGGTTTACCCGGAGCATCTGGACTTCCACCAGGACTTCTCGCTTTACAAGGCGTTGCAGCAGCTGCACAACAAGCCTATCTTAAAGATGAAAAAGGTTTGCAAAGTCATTTCTTAATTGAAATTTTCTAATTATGTTTCAATTTTTAGATAATTTAGATCGGGCAGTAGCAGCAGCAGCGGCAGCCGCAGCAGCATCATCACATAAAGTATAAAAATGGAGCTTTTGTTTTCTATTTTTAATTTAATAAAGATTTTTTTTGTTTAAAATTTGTTTCTTTTCTTTTTTTTTGTTTCGTTTGCTCTATTAGCGTAATGCAAGTTCGCCACATCGTATAAATGAGAAATATCGTGGTCATAGTCGTTCACCATTTGAATCAAAAAAGCATAAACGCGATGAAGTATGTGTTTTTAAGAAAATTTTCGTGTGGTTTTTTCAAATTTGTTTATTTTTATAGGAAAGTGAAGGTGAAAAGAGCGATGGGGATCTTGTTGTTGATGATACTAACGAGGTAACATTCTTATAGAACATTTCAGTAATAAATTAGTTCTATCTTGAACAGTTCGTTTTGAACGATGTAAAATTTCTACAAAAGGCTAAAAGTTAAAATTTTGATTGAATCTAAGTTCGAAAACTCTTGAGAAATTTAGTAAATAATTCATCGGATAGGAAAAGGAAAAAGAAAAGTTTTTGTTATGTTTAGAACGATAAACAATTAACGAACGGTTCTCGTTCACCACATGAAAATGGTGATACATCATCAAAAATAAATTCGGCTATACGTCATAAATCATCGCATCACGATGATAGTAGTCGAAGTCCTCATAGTGATAATGGTTCAGCACGAAGCACACCTTCACAGAAAGTAAGCGAAAACTGAATCGAATTGTGGCTTTTATGAAATTGGTTTTGAATTTTAGGGTAGTGAAAAAAGTGGTTCAACACCGATTCCAACAGCAGGAGCAACGAGCACATCATTGAGCGGCAATTCAACGAACAAATCAAGCTCACGAAGTGGCATTCACCATTCCCCGAAACTACCCCGTATGTCATCTCGTCCTCCTTTAGCCGAATCTGTTTCTTAAATAAAAAAAAATTGATCAGTGTGTGTGTGTATTCAGCAGCTGCACCATTTGGACCCTATGGAGCCTTCATGCCGGAAAATCTGGCTGCATTTGCTGCTGGTCTCAATACGGCCTTCGCTGGAAATCCAACTGGTTCACCTCGTAGTACATTGAACGATTTCTATTCAGCGATGCGTCTACCTCAACAGCCATCATTGTTGATATCAGCGAATGCAGCAACAAGTGGAAATCTAATTGAACGTAATGGTACTAAACAGCATTATTCGTATCGCTGCGATTCATATGATCCATCGCCATCGTCGACATCCTTACAACCATTTACGTTTCCATCGGATGCATTCGAAACGAGCGATTGCCCACGCCGAATAAAAGTTTTAAGTCATTTAACACACGGCGATGTTGTGTGTGCAGTAACAATATCGGATTTAAATAAACATATTTATACCGGTGGAAAAGGTTGTGTGAAAATTTGGGATTTAAAAGAAAGTACAAAAGAAAATAATGGCTTACCAATGACAATCAATAAACCGATTGGTCAATTTGAATGTTTGGTAAAAAGAATTGAAAACAAAAATAAAATTTTGTTTTGTTTGAATATTAAAAATAGAAAGCATTTTTTTTCTTTTTTTAAAATTTCTAGAGTCGCGAAGCGTATATTCGATCAGTTAAACTTCTACCAGATGGTCGAACATTAATTGTTGGTGGTGAAGCATCAAATATATCAATATGGGATCTTACTGTTACATCATCAATAACACCGAATAGTACATCAATAAATTCATCAGCAATAACGCGTGATAGTGGCAATTCAAATTCATCAACATCATCAAATTCGTCATCAGCGAATTCATCATTAACACGACTTAAAGGAGAGTTACAATCGAAAGCAGCAGCTTGTTATGCATTGGCCGTATCAGCTGATGGTAAACTTTGCTTTAGTTGCTGCTCAGATGGTAATGTTCTCGTTTGGGACATACAAAATCAAACAATTGTTCGGTAAATATAGACTAATCCTTTTTGGATTATAATGAGAAAGCTAATTTAGTTGCTCTTACAAAGTTAACATCATATTCGTGAAAACAGAAAATGCTAACAGCTGGTATAATTCGAATTTCATTTATTTTAGACAATTTCAAGGTCATACCGATGGTGCAAGTTGTATTGATTTAACACCGGATGGTTCACGTGTATGGACCGGTGGTCTCGATAATACTGTGCGTTGTTGGGATGTGCGAGAAGGCCGTCAATTACAACAATATGAATTCGACTCGCAAATATTTTCACTTGGCTATTGTCCAACAGGTGGTGATTGGTTAGCTGTTGGCATGGAACAAAGTTTAATTGATGTACTGAATGTATCATCTCCTAAGCCAGATAAATATCGTTTAACTTCACATGAAAGTTGCGTATTATCATTGAAGTTTGCTCATACAGGAAAATGGTTTGTATCAACAAGTAAAGATAATCAACTAACAGGATGGAAAACACCCTATGGTGCAAAATTATTTGATGTAAGTAGAACAAATTAATATAAATGTAGAAATTCGCCTTTTTTTCTTTCTTTCTTGTTTTAGAATAAAGAAGGTTCGTCTGTATTGAGTTGCGACGTATCTCAAGACGATATGTTTATTGTGACCGGTTCCGGTGATAAAAAAGCGACGTTATATGAAGTTGTCTATGAAAGATAAGAATGCATTCAATGAATTACACACACATACTGATTTAAAGACAAAAGCTAATTAAAATAAAAAGAACTTTACCTACATATTTTTCTGACCTATACATGCGTCTATACAGTGAGTTTGCTTTCTCTCTCTTGTTTTGGGTCAGATATTAAAATGCTGTTGTCATACTACCATATAATTTACATATATATATATATATATATATTTATATATGTCAATGTTTACTGTATTTGTAAATAATGTTTTGTATTGTGCATGTGTATAACTCGTCTATATCTTTTCTGTTTTTTTTTCTGCTTGCGTTGTGTGAAAATTACAAGAGAAAAAGTGATGCGGTTGTTTGTGTTTGTCATCTCTTTTGTGTTTGTAATTTATATATATATATATATAAATATATAAGAAAGAAAAACGTCTGATCTGAGGATTAAAAAAACAAAGGTTTTTTTTTATTGGTACCAGTTTAATGAAGAATTGACTAAGTATGCGAATTGTTTTTTCTCGATTGTTGACACAGGCATATTTTATTACGTCATGAAATGCCTTGTTTGTTATGAAAATAGTCTTTTGTTTTCCTTATGGTTATTGTCATAATATTAGTCTATTAAAAATACACAGAATTCGTGACAGGTAATTATAACAATAAGACTGACTTTGATGTGCGCTAAATCTGATATTAATGAAAGGACAAAGTCATGTTTTTTTATCATATTATATTTATTATTTCTTGAGGATATCGAACAAAACCTACACTCAAGGGCAAGAAATAGTCAAGTTGAATTTATAATTAGTCTGGAAATAAAATAATTTTTTTTTCTCATTTCATGATATAGAAAATATTAATCTGTTGAAATGATTATTAGAGTGGTAGATCCAAATTCCATCACTGATTTTTGAAAAGTTCCAGTAAAACCTATATATCTCCGCTTCCTGAAGTCCGTTTGAGTTGATTTTTAGATTCCGGAATAGACAAAACATTTTTCTATCGAATTGTATAATTTTCATCAAGACACGATTCGTTTTGAGTGAGCAGCAACAAAGATACAAACACCTACTTTCATTTTTGTCCCGTTCTGTCCATGTTTGAATTCCATCATTCAAGTCATTATTCTTTCCCAATTTCATCATTTCCAGCAAAAATGTACAAATTTTGTTAAAAAACTTAATTTTCGAGCGGAAGATTGGCATCTTTCCAAAAACAAATTACATCATTTGATTCAGGAGATCAAGCTCTATCGACTGATATGTTTCTTATTACGAATAAATATATCTTTTATATATTTTTTCTCGTAACAATCAACTTTTTCGTGTGATGCAATTAAGTAGTGTAACTTAATTCCATCACACCAGCTATTCCTCTTTCCTTATTTCATCATGTAATAGAAAATACATGTAAAATTGTTCATCATCAGTAATAAAAACATTGGCGCTAGATCAACTACATAATTTTACTAAACAATCTTTACAAAAAATGTAGCTGAACTCAGTGGCTATCTGTTAATGAAAAGTCAGAGGATTTTGTCTTATGGATTTGTTTACATTCCCATCATATGAGACAGGAGTTTCTCAGGAATCCATCAGCAAATTAAAATAACGCAAAAAAAGAAGTTTTAATCATGTAGTGATATTATTCTTCATTGCAAAGAAATGATGATACTAATGCGTCAAGTAAATAGAGAATATTCGTTCTATAACACTATTACACAAATTGGCTTAATTATAAGCTAATTTGTAAAATGTACATGTACATTAATTATTATTGGATCTAGCAATCAACTCGTACGTAAAAAATTAGACAGTTATAATGATATAGAACACTTAATATTACTTTACATACTTCGTCTTAATTAATCATTGTGATTACTGCTCAAAGATAGAAAAATGCTACATGGCAAAATTCTAGTAAAAATTAACGCATGGTCTTCTATTTTAAAAAACTCAATCAATTTTAGGTCTAAATCCTCTGACTTTTAATTAACAGATAGCCACTGAGTTCAGCTACATTTTTTGTAAAGATTGTTTAGTAAAATTATGTAGTTGATCTAGCGCCAATGTTTTTATTACTGATGATGAACAATTTTACATGTATTTTCTATTACATGATGAAATAAGGAAAGAGGAATAGCTGGTGTGATGGAATTAAGTTACACTACTTAATTGCATCACACGAAAAAGTTGATTGTTACGAGAAAAAATATATAAAAGATATATTTATTCGTAATAAGAAACATATCAATCGATAGAGCTTGATCTGCTGAATCAAATGATGTAATTTTCCTTCGAAAAAATTATGATATTCTGACTGAAAACATGCTTTTTATGCCAATCCTATGCATTTTGGCTGGAATGATGTAATTAAGACATGGGCAGAACGGGAGAAAAATGAAAGTAGGTGTTTGTATCTTTGTTGCTGCTCACTCAAAACGAATCGTATCTTGATGAAAATTATACAATTCGATAGAAAAATGTTTTGTCTATTCCGGAATCTAAAAATCAACTCAAACGGACTTTGGGAAGCGGAGATATTCGATATTTTTTATCAGATTTGAATATCGTGATGGAATTTGGAACAACCACTCTAAAGATGTCACATTTTTATCTATGAAGAATAAAACGGTAGCGTTCTTTTTGGCGTCGTCATACTGACAACAATATTTACAAAAGGAATTGTCTCTACTAGTATCGAATCAGCTGAGACAAGCGTGTTGTTGATGTTTTTGTATCAAGCTCGAAAGAAAAAAGACGAGAGTGGAACTCCGAAGTAAACAAAAAACGAAATAGATAAAAAGCAATGAAGTTCTGTCATATGATAATAAATTTGCGTTTGTAGACTTCTTTTGTGTTGATACCTGTAAACGAAATGGCCGCTCGAAAAAAAGTCTTGCTTAAAGTCATCATTTTAGGTATGACGATTTTAATTAATTGATTCATTAGAAAAACGAGGATTCGAATTTAAATAGGTGATAGTGGTGTTGGAAAAACAAGTCTAATGGGACAATTTGTTTCCCATAGATTTTCTAATCAATATAAAGCAACAATAGGCGCTGACTTTTTAACTAAAGAAGTACAAATTGATGATCGTCTTGTAACAATGCAGGTGTGTATCTATTTATTTATATAAGCACAATGGGAAATAAACTTCTTTTTATCGAATAATAGATATGGGATACAGCTGGACAAGAACGTTTTCAAAGTTTAGGTGTTGCTTTTTATCGTGGAGCTGATTGTTGTGTGCTTGTTTACGATGTAACATCGGCCAATTCTTTTAATTCATTGGATAGTTGGCGAGATGAATTCCTAATTGTAAGTTTTAAAAATGAAGAATTGATATTATCGACTAAAGTTTTCTTAATAGCAAGCTGGACCTCGAGACCCGGAAAATTTTCCATTTGTGGTACGAAGATTTTTGTTTTGTTCGGAAAGGAATATTTTAACTTATTAATATACATTTTCTCTTAAAGGTTATCGGTAATAAAGTTGATCTTGATAATCGAGCGGTTCGTTTGAAAAACGGAGTCCTTTTTTCTTTTAATTATTTTGTTTGATTTCATTTAGATTCAAGCACGTAAAGCGCAAAACTGGTGTACAGGCAAGAAGAACTGATTGAAAATTTTCTCTTTTAATATTCATCTTTTAGATAAGTCGAATGTACCCTATTTTGAAACATCAGCTAAAGAAGGTATCAACGTTGAAAAAGCATTCGAAACAGTCGCACGTAATGCATTAGCACGCGAAAAAGATATTGATTCAACACCGGACTTCCCAGCACCGATTCCACTTGTCCCAAATCCTCGATCAACGCAACCAAGTGTATGTTCATGTTAAAAGCAAAAGCAAAACAAAAGAATTATTAAACGTTGTTTATTTTATTTTCGTCCTTTTTTCCTTTCTAATAATAACATCTAGAGATAAAAAGACGGAATGCCAATTTTTAATTGGTGATCGATACACTATTGTTTCAATGATATTAATCTTGTTGTTTTTTCCTGGTTATATATATACACACACCATTTTCGATATCTAAAATCCTTATATTTTCGAACTATGGCTAAATCTATTCAGTTTGCTTTCTTGAGCTTAATCTAATGACGAAATGCATTAAATGATTAGGGAATAAAATGTTTATTTCTTGTCATCACGAATTTGGAGAAAACCAATGCAAACAACAATTGAAGTCGCCATCTATTCGTACAATAGTGTTTTGTTTTATCTCGATAGACATGATAGTTGGAGAAAAGAAAATCTGTTACGATTCGTTAAGTGAATCATGTTAAAATCATTTACTCTAAAATATAAATGATAGCGATGTTCGAAAAAGAACAAATTTTCTCATCATGTTCTTGACATTTATTCGTTTATAATTATCATCAGGCAGGCAGAAACAATAGGAACTGGTGTTTTAATAGCAGAATTATTGCATATTTTTGTATTCAACAAAATATTATTATCGCCAAATGGCTCAATTCAAGTGTTAATCTGTTTTGTAGAGAACTGAATTTTGTTCGATAACATTGCTTTCGTAAACAAACGCTTTTAGTTAGAATGCCAATGTAAATATTTATTTAACTGATTTGTAAAATTGATCACTTTTCTCAAAGAAAAGCATAATAAATACTGAACTCTTGCGTACTTCTTTCTAAAGATGATTTTATTATTGCCAGTAAAATAAAAGTCAAAATAAAACACGTACAAATGTATGAGAAATAAACACGTCAAAGCAAAAGTATTTGAATTATACGATGGAAATAGAGTTGATTTGATTTGATAAAAAGAAAAGGTGTTCTCTCATGTGAGCATGTCTGAATGATGCTTTTAAATGCGAAAATAGCAAAATTCTCTACAAATCCTGTTCGAAAACTCATCTTTTTTTCTCGTGAAATATCAAACTTGAGACTGGAATTCAATTGCACAATTTTCGAACCTAAAACTGCTTCAAGCGCTTAAACCATCTGGTTGAATCGGTGAGTCACGAGTAAAATATCCATATTTACAAATACACCCACTCCATTGGGAAAGTAGATGGAGAAAAAAAGTATTTTTTAATATATTTTTTCTTGTAATATTCACATACTTCTCTATATAAAGCATCGTCAAACATCGGTTGCTTTAAATTTGCCGTCGTCATAAGCAATATGTTATCCACAATCAATTTTTGCCTCGCAGCATCCATCATTATAGTTGTTCGCTCACACATATGGACTGGAATCTTTTTGATCGAACCAGAATGTAATACAACAGTTTGCTGTTGTGCATCTGGAAAACTCGTTATAACGAATAAAACAAATGATAATTTTGAGTATAAATCCGATCTAATTGGTAAATGTAACAATCGAACTAAATTTCAAGATTCTGCAAGTTCTCCAAGTGGTTTTTCGACTTCGGTACGGACGAATAACCAAAATTATACGATTACACTGAGCCTGGGCAGTAACGTCGTGATAGCTACTCATGAAACTACAGCCGAATGTAGTTTCAAGGCTTACAGGGAAAGCAATGCCGGTAAGCAATTTGGAAATACCATTCTAATGGTTGCTTTGATTTTAATTGTACAAGTATTTGATAAATAAAGTTGAACTTTATTTTTAAATTTCTACAAAATACTTGAATGTAGTTCTTTATTTTATTTAATTCAATAAATTGAATCATAAACTTAGAAAGAAAACTGAAACAATCCTATTTTTAATGCGGTGCGAAGCACAGGATTCATTCAATTGTGAGAATGAAGATAAAGTAGTAGAATTTCATCAGGTAGATCACGCAATTGAATGCTTGAATATTTCCTGTTCATTTTCAATTGTATCAATTTTTCTAAGTTTATGAATGTCATCATTTCGTTTTCGTTCCGATCAGAGACGTGCACTGGACAGCATTTTCTGTCCTGTTTATTTGTCCGACTTTGGCAGATAATAGAAGTGCGACTGTCAGAGTCCCTGTTTTTCACTTTCAATGATCAATGCACGCAACACTGCACTGGTTATCTTGTACGTTACTTTTTCAATATAATTTGTTCAAGATAATAATTAAACTCTCAATTATCAATTATATTAAAGATACAAGAAACTATAACATTCTCGCAATTTGTTACTTTAATCTTGAAAATCTGAATGAGCTTAGCTGGCTGCGGAAATGTAGATTATGAACCCTCAGTATGTTCCTATTCAAGCTGGAAAGTGTCGACTTGTTCTACTTGCTGAGTTACAGGATCTACTTGGGAAGAAGTATTTGACCATAGAGAAAAAAGGGAAGAAAGGAAAGCATCCGTTCTAGGTAAAAATATCAGAACATTACAAGTATCGTTAGATCTATTGGTGATCGGAATTTTATGTTGTAGTTATGAATAGAAAATTTTCCATGGAAAAATTTCAGTTGAAAATTCAACAGTTTTGAATTTATTTTAGTTCAAAAGAAAATTGAATTTTGCATATAGAATCTTGTGTAAATGTTTATGGCAATAATGACACAGTTCCAAGGAAAAAACACTCAACTTTCAGCTGTTAAAAATGCGACCATGAAAAGAATGTCTTTCGTAATATACTACTGTAATAGGCTATGTTAAAATCTTGTACCACTTTTTTATTCGATCGTCTACTTTCTGTCTAATCTATTTTGACTTATTCACTTTGTAACAAACATCTAGTTCAATTTCGAATACTAAATTAAAAAACACACAATCAACATTGACGATTAAATGAATTCTTCATATTTTCGCGCTATAATCTTGTTTCTATTTATCATTCATATGACTCATGGTCAATCCATTGAGATTCTTGAATCAGGACAAGTATATTCGTCATCGAAATCGATCGGTACTTTTCTCTATCTAAATCTTTTCAATCATCTTCCTATGCCAATTCGAATATCAGGTGTAGTAGAACGTTGTTGTACATCTGCTAATCATTGTATACCAGTTCGTCTTCTCGGTGGTGATTTTGGTGAATGGGAAGCACACAAAAATCGAACGATGATCTTTTTTTGGGCTGCCACCGAATGGGAATATATCAATGATTATTATTTCTGTCAAATATCTTTATTATTCGGACGTCGACATCATATGACACATTTGAAATTAATAAATATTAAAATAAATTATCTACCAAAAACTCGTCAAATGAATTCTCCTTCAGTTCGTTTCTATCCAAAATGTAATCAGTTTCTTAATATTCGAACAAATCAATGTGAAACTCTTGATAATCTTCATAGAAGTTTTGCTTTTAATTTTTCATCAACATTTATTCCGTTTAATCATCGATATTTATCAACTAAATGTATAAATGGTATTCAACTAAATCAATGTAGTTGTCATAACAACTTCATTTCAATCCCTATCAATCAAAAATTCTATCATCCAAAAACTTATATTCATCAATTTTGTACACATTTATCAAATTATCAAAATTTTCGTTTAAATTTATTAATCATCATAACGTCGATTCTCTTTGTATTATATATAATTATTTTAATTATTTCATCTATATTTATTTGTACTTATTACAGACGAAGAGAACACGAAGACAGCGAGAACTCAACGACAAAATCGAAATTCATGATAAATCAACGTTTTTCTCTTATTGAAATCGCTTCTGAATTGCAGATCAATAGTAATAATAATAATAATAATAATAATAATAATAGTAGTAGTAGTTGTACATCGTTTTTGCTTAAAGATTGAATGCTAAATATACTCTATTTCAATCCATCATAAATCTTTATCTACAAATATTTGTTGTTGATCTAGACTGTTGACAATCTGCGATATCAGCATATAAAAACTTGAATACGCCAGAGATATCAAAATGGAATCAATATCAAACTTAATAAGGTTCTATGCTTTTGACATATTCCAGATTGCACAGGGGATTTTTGAGTCTATTTATGTGAATTTTTATTTCATAGAAAAATCGACTTTACTGATAACCTATTCTCTTTAAAGTGTCGTATACTATTAAAGACTATTATCCTCATGCGAACTGATTCAATTCGCTTTTATTATTAATTTCCAAAGGCACAACATGCAAAATAAAAATCATCACCTATCGTCAAACATCAAAGAGTCATACATAATGTCATTGTCTCGGCATCGATCATCATATACTTGTAATCAGGTAGCAAGACGGAAAAAAAGTAATCTTTGTTCATTACCCATGGGAAGAAGAAGAAAAAATAAAGCTTTTGTTTTCTTATCGATGTATTGAAAATTCTATGCAAACAATTGATCACTGTATGTTTGAAGATGTCATAGGTTTATGTATCGATCTTATTTACGTTTAACAAATATACTTATTGAAAGATAAAACACGATTCTTGTTCGAGATGAAACGACTTATTCAAAAAAAACACAAAGAAGAAACATAAGTGTGTGATATCACACTTTTGACAAGCTCAATCATGATGAGAAGGGCGGTTGTTTCTTAAATAAACAAAAGAAAAATAGTTTTCACCATTGGAAACGTATGAAATAAATCTACGCGAGAAAAATCAATGATAAACGACCGATCGTTTCGTTTTCTTGCTTGTATAATTTTCTTATCCAACTCATACATCTTCAAGAAATACTATGTTGATGAATACTGTTGTCTTTCCTTGATCTTTTTCTTTGGTGTAAGACATATGTCGTTAATCAATCTAGTAGAGAAATAAGACAGGTAATGATGAAGTTGATAAGTGTATCGTTCGAGTGTTGATCGATGTTACAAACACGGGCAAAAATAAGAAGTTTGTAATAACTGTCTATTTCATATTTATTCTTAGGAAATGTATTGATGTGTCCGTTAGAATGAACATCCGATTGAATGATTAGAAGTGAACGGCGGCACTCGAAAAGCAGAGCAGAAACAAAAAAAGAAGTTCAAATCGGATGTTAGACGCTCCCGACGCTGTTAATCAAGTGGAAACACAAGAAGAGGATGCACTTTGAAATTGAGACGACCATGAAAATACTTGACACACCTAATCCGATTGAATTTCAGTCAGCTTAATAAATCAAGAGATTTACTATTTTTGAATGTATACAAACAGCAAAGTAAAAGAAAGCAAAACGAAGAACGAAAATCATTTCTCAGGGTCAAGTTTTAAAGCCTATTGTTATTACTACTACTACTACTACTACTGCTATTATTATTCAAAATGAATGTTGATTCAGGCGCTTCACTTTCCTATTGAGATCAAGCAACAAAAAACAACAGAATAGTCGAGTGCCTGAACGACCGTTTGTATGCCTAGTTAGTGTTGTTTCATCTTCTACCGCCTGTCATGATTGGCCTTCTTTCTTTTTTTTTGTATCGTAGTGAAAGGCGTGATTGGAACCGCCTGTACGAGTGCGCATATACAGACAAGAAGTATGAACGAGTAGTTCTACCGACAAGTGGAAGAAGAAGAAGACGTGTGATGTATATCAGACCTCCTGCTAACTGACAAATTAAACCATTGATCATAATGATTTAACCGACAAAGACTAAACTAACTGTGATGATGACCAAGTAAATGAACTTCTCTCATTGATATCCAAACAGCACGTATCATTCTTATTAAGTTTAACACACAAAAAAAAGACGAATCTCATGACTAAAAAAAAGCCATTCGCAACCAATTTATGGTTCACACCTCTTCATGTGCATGCGTGCATATGCTACTAGTCAAATCAGTCATTCGACAATCATAAAAGAAGAAAAAAGCGAAAGTGAGATATGACGGTCAGTCGTTTCCTTTTTTTTATTTTTATTCACACGTGCGAAAAGGTAATGATGATGATAATAGGGTTGACAGGAATGTGCAAGCGGGCAATAAAATTCGACATTGAAGAAGATCGGTCTAATTTTTAAGTATATGCTTATGTCCGTATTCACAACACATGTGTTAAATGGATTCTTTTGAAGATCATACTAGAAATACCGACAACTATTTCATTTTAAATTTGACACGCAAGTGACACCACCCATCGACGACACGTTTGATTTCTTGATGATTATAGACCTCCACAATACTGACTTCATAAGATACTCATCGAATACCAGAAGAAAATGTTTGTATATCGATATTATCTTTTGAATAGCAGACAACGACGCCAACAACAAATTAGTAGAGGATGTTCATATCGGAAATCTCTTGAAGAAAAAATAAAAGAAATTTGTTTACTCTTATTTATACATATGTCTCTATGTCGGCGATATACGGTGATGAAGAAAAAAAACCGAGATTTGTCGATTCAATTAGTTTGTGTATATAAAGACGATAATCTTCATGATGACTGATTATTTAAATCAACATACCGGACAGCTTTGAGAAGAAAAAAGAATCGGCTTCAGATTAAGTTTTTCCTTCTCGCTCTCTCGCTTTCTTTGATCGACACCGCCCAGTTGTGTTTTTCTTCTCGCGCTCTTTCACTCGAACAAAAGCGAAAGTTTATCGCATTTCATTGGTCAGTATTCGTGTCTATGTTGTCTAACAGCCAATAGAAGTAACACCCTAAGGAATAATAAACATAAATGTTTGTAAAAAAAAAAAGGAAGGCGGCATATTCACAGATGAGAAAACGGGAGAAGAGAGTGAATGGTATCTTGGTGGTTTCGTTTCTGTTCAAGGCGGAGTCGAAATCAATAGATACACGATAGGCATAAATTGAAAGAGAGAGAGAGAATAAGAGAAAATATATCAATAGCATAGTTTATATTCAATTCAATTAAAGATAGAGTAGTCGTAGTATGGTCCTTCTGTGTACACATAACTTAATCATGGTATGTAAACGAAATTCTTATTTCATTCTCTGAAATATATCATACTATTTTATTAAAAAAAAGAAAAATATGTTTCCTTAGGCAACGAGTCTATCTTCTGATCTAATGAACGGTCAGTTGTAGCTTGAAGCTTTCTTCGATTTGCATACTAATCATTTACAGTCTATGCACCGCTATTTCATGACATGGTAATACATAAACAGTCTTTGCATTTCCCTCCGTCCAATTAAGTTGATACTAACCGGAACACGCCACTCGTCATCTTCAAATAGGGCAGCAGCAGTGGCAGCTTCGGCCACTTGCCGACAGATTAACACAGTGGAGAGCGCCGACAGCGGATAATGAGCCGAGACAAGAACATCCACACGTGCAGTTGTGATTCAAGTTGAATTAGCTGATACATACATATATATATATATATATATATTCAGTGTTCATTGTGTGCCTTTGATCTATTTCTCCCACCCATGATCTTTTTTTTATTCTACGTGTTTATACACATATATACGATTTTGTTTTGTGCGATAGAACTAATATCTCATTTTCTTTTCTATTCCAGGATTCTATGAATAATTCAATGACTCATTCAAATATAGCTCGACCGATACCTTTAAATCCTCAATCAACAATAACAGATGCTAAAATTGACAAGTCATCAATAGCATGGTCGTCTTTACATCGTTTACATACAGAGGCGATGTTTCGTTATAAAGCATTTCAAATTCTACAAGCTCAATATTCTCTTATGTCACCACTACCGCCACCGCCACCACCAATTCATCCTCACGCTCTAGCTGCGATACTCTCTACGTCGAGTTCTTCATCGAATTCTTTAGATTCAAGTACAAATTCATCATCATCGCCATCATTACCACCTGTTTCATCACATAAAGAATCATCGGATGAGTGGTGGAGTGTAAATGAGCATTCCTCAAGTTTATTTGGTTCAGTAACACGACGATGTAAACGTTGTCGTTGTCCCAATTGCGTTAATCAACCATCAACACTATTAACTGATTCATCATCATCGAAACGTCAACATATTTGTCATATATGTAAAAAAATCTATGGTAAAACATCACATTTAAAAGCACATCTTCGTTGGCATGCTGGTGAACGTCCATTTCGTTGCACGTGGCTGTTTTGTGGTAAAGCATTCACACGCTCCGATGAATTACAACGCCATTTACGTACACATACTGGTGAAAAACGTTTCGGTTGTCCGAAATGTGGAAAACGTTTTATGCGTTCCGATCATTTATCGAAACATTCAAAAACTCATGAAACATCCTCGTCATCATCAATAACAACAACAACAACAACAACAACAACAACCATCGATCATCTACCAATGGAACTTTCAGAAACAACAATGGGAACTAGTAGTACAAGTAGCGATGATATATCATCACACGAAGAAGAGGAAGACGAAGAGGAAGATGAAGAAGAAGAAGACGAGATTATTGATGTGCAATATTGACACTTAACTATAAAATTCTCACCAAGTTACAGTGATGTGTACAAAATAGTCCTTTTTTCTGTTTTACGACTGTCTCGGTGTTTAATGTCTATGTTTTTTTCTCTCTCTCCTTATATTATGATGTCTGTTGTAAATAAACAATATTGTCAGGGTTTGTTTTTATTGATTGACAACAAATATAATAATTATTTACTGAAATTCTACTTTATCGAGATACTAATAACGTTTTTTTTCGCCGTCTTTTATAAAAAAAACAGGAATCAATCATGAGAATTTGCTATGACTAGAATAAGCAATTGCATAATAGTTGAAATCATAACTTAATTAAACAGCTGCAAAAGTATGTTCAATACTTTTTGATGTTTGTTTGTGTATAGAGGTGTCAGTCGAAGGGTTGAACGGCGGCGGCAGGCAACAATTTTCAATTTCTGAAGATTTCCAGCGGATCGTCATTTGAATGAGTAGTGTCTTCAGCGGCGGCTGAGTTAGAAATTCACTGAAGAAAATTAAAAGAAAAATGCTCGATTCGATCGCATATGTATTGATATCAGCGGCGGCGGATGACGCTATCAAAAATTTTTGTCTCATGCAGCGGCGACTCCCCAGAAATTCTTAAAATTACCAGTAATTTGGTGGCTGCGGCGGCTGATATGATAGAAAAATCGGCTGTTGCGGTGGCTCAACCGTACGGTTGGCACCTCTATTTGTGTACAATATCCCAATAATCTTTCGATATCCGAGAAAACAATTCATATTTGTAGTTTGGAAATAAAATAGTTTAGTTAATTTCTTTTTATTTAACTTTTGTTACTGATATTCTAAACGCATAAAGCTGAAAATACGTTTTTTTAGAATCAATTATATCATTTATTTATTTCAGGCTACTTTATATTAAAAAATGATGTAATGATATAAAACCTGTTTTCTACGGTACTTTTTTTTTAAAATAACATGTCTCGAAGTAAGAATAAGATTTTTCTTTAGCAATGCCAATTGAATACAGTAAAGTACGAATGAAGGTTTCAGCATTTGTTTTTCTTTCTGATTCACAATCTCGAGGACTATTTCGAAAATTTTGAAAGCATCTTGTGATGTTTTAAAACAATAGAAATGGTGTTTTTGAGATAGTAAATAACTATTGATATATGTTCTTGGCATCGTTCATAAGATCGTGTGCGCAATATTATTGGTAACTAAATGCTTTGTTAACTCCTTTCAGCTGTGAGTTTTTACACTCTAGACAAAAATTGTTTTGAATAGTTTTTTTTTATAAACATTAATGAAGGAAGATCTGATGTAGCTAAAGCAGTACAACGCATCCGAACTAGCTAACGATTTCATTTCTAATACTCCTCGCTGTTTTGATGACAAGATATTCGTGCACAGCTTTTACCCACTGCAACCGCGACACCGTGCTGTAAATTGAATGTTGCAGTCAATGTGCACGCTAGTTTTTCTCTGCGATTCAGTCTGAAAAAAAACGAGACGAAATATATTTCGTATTTCTTTTCTGTTTCTTCAGTGGAGCAATTTCAAATGAAAAGAAAAAACATTGAGTGACCGTGCAACTTGCGCAGGTAAAGTGCTGTGTAAATATTGTCTTTTTTCGTTTTCATTTTTTTTGTAGCTATTGTGCACGTTTACCACATTCTGTACTGATTTACGTTGTTTCTCTTAGGATTGACGAACGACTGTTAGCGAGCAATTATTAGTGGCAGAGTTAGTTTCACTTTTATCATTTGGATACCAATATTTATAACGAAAATTCTCTGAATAGAATTCTTGCCAGTTAAGTGTAACAAGGCGACAGATTCAAAGCTGATATTTTCGTAAGTTTTTATTCTTGATGATTTCGATTTTGTTGGAGTATGTGAATAAATTCCGAAAGTATAAGTATAAAAGGGAAGATTACTTTTTTAGAAACATTACGATTCAGATTCTTGATAGTCATATAACACTATACATTCTCCTGTTGAGCATTTTCCCCCATGCATATCAAGGATGTTGATGCTTTTACGGTTAGACTAAAATTTTAAAATCTTTTCTTCCTGTAAGTCATGAGTCGCACAATCATGTGAAGCAGCTTCTGACAGATTCTTCTGTCGTATCATCAAAATTTACTCAAAATTTTTTGTGCAGCGGATGCCTATTTATCCATAGTTCGAGATAAAAAAATGCCGAGAAAAAAGACCTAAATATACTCTCAGTTGTTTTGGAGACTATGGGATACTTTATTGAGATGCTAAACATTAAAATGTTTCCTCGTAAGATGACAATGTCTGATATTAGAGCTAGCCGCTTAGGTATCTTGAAAATGACGACTTTTAGTTTATATTTTTCTCGATAAATTCCTATCATTTTCGATAACACATACATTCTTCTTAGGGATAGCTCTTTTCAAAAACTCTTGCAAGCTGTTCATAAGGTTGATCAATAACAAAAAGAAGCACCAACTAAAGTTGATATGAACAGCCAAAATCAACATATAATAGTTTTTGCATGATATTGAATGGATTGAAAAATAACAATAAAAAAGAAGACGTTGTTTGAACTCCTTCATCATATTGATTTAATTAATTGGGCTAACCTAGCATTTTTATTCATACATAGTGCTCATATGTTCTCTCCACTGAGACCACTTCTATTGATTTGGCCAAAAATGAAGACGATTATTTCTTTACAGGCTCGAGGCTAAAGTGAAAGAGGATTAATAACGAATCTTTGTCGTTTCGCCCAATTAACTGGCAATTATTTCGAGATTTTGTGGTACCGAGAATTCCCTAGCTTTCACAATCGGAAAGTAATATCTGAAACTCAAGGTTCAAAACAGAGAAATAAGAGATACGCGTGTAAAATAAATTAGTCTAATACTTTATTCCGCGTAGCTCCTTTTACTTATCAAAGTCTTTTTTAGCATTTGATTGTAATCTTGTGAATATTAGCATCTGGTTTTTCAAAGATAAATCGCTGCAGACCAATGTGCCATAATGACGAAGTCACGGAAATCTTTGAAATCCCGTGATTTCACTATACAGAGTTAGAGTGAACACCCACCAGTACAAATCTACATAGAAAAACATTGAGCAATGTTTTTAAGTTTTTTTTCTTTTTTCTTAAATCAGGCAAACTAATCGACGGCAAATCATAAGTTGAATACAATGACTAGCTCTGGAGAACGTTTCACAGATATTGAATTGGGAAATAAACGTCTACCAGCATGCTATGGTTACTTTGGGTGGAAGCTAATGTCTCTTGAGGAGACCATGGGAGAATTACGTGATCTAGTGCCAGAAATCAATCGTTTCGTTAAGATGGCCAAGAGACACTGTATATTTCCGAACGATCATAATCTAAGCAAAGATGAAGCTGCCTCAATCTATCTTTACACTATGGAAATGCTAGAAAAAGCAAGCGTTTACCATTTATTAAATCAAGCACTCCGCGCCGATAATCGGGCAGATGTGCGTCCATGGTTTGCTTATCTAAAGCTTTTCGATTCTGCAACATCGAAATTGCCAAACTTTAAAGGTGTTATTTGGCGTGGAGTTGATAAAGACGTTAGTCAGACATTCAAAAAAGGTCAAAGAATAACTTGGTGGAGTGTGAGTTCATGTTCAAAATCAGTTGACGTCATTTCGTCATTTATTAAAGCAGCTCCACAAAGTACCCTTTTCAATATTGAGTGTTCGACTGGAAAATCGATTGTAGCGTATACATGTTACCACAGTGAAAATGAAGTCATTCTAATGCCAGGCACAGTGTTTGAAGTTGCAGCAGACCCTTTGCATCACCATGGCGGGTTACATTTGATACACTTAAAAGAAATTTTTGATGACGATGACAATGACGATGATGATATTGATGATGAACCGAAAGGAACTACGGGAACAACAAATTCAAGGGCTTCGGCAGTTGCATCTGTTTCACAGAAAATGAGCAATATCAGTTTAGGTGAGCAAAAGGACTCGAAAAATAGTGATTCGCAGACGATGCTTGAGTCATTCATCGCGTTTCTGTTTCATTAAATATTTAAAACATGTCATTTAAAAATACCAATAACCCTGTTGTAATTTCGGTGACCGTTCAATTCGTCGCATGACAATTCGTTGCGATCAGTTCGTCGCATATATAGGCGAGGATACATTAATTGAATTAAGATATTTAGTGTAGAATGTTATTTAATTAATCATGTAAATTGTGTACGCTGTTATTGAATTATTAAATATACATGAGGAATATAAGATGTGCTTCGGAAAACGCAATAATTTACTTCTGAAAAGATTTCTTAAAGAATTCTTTAAGGGGATGAATTCTGATGAAATCCTCACCTAAAAGAAGAAATCAATGAAAGCAAATTTCACTTTTTTTTTTAAGTATATAATTCGTTCAGCACTGTCTGGGACAGTTTTCTGTGATACGTAAAGATGCTCGGTTAGTGGTTCAAATATTTTCAAAGTAGGCTTCACGTTTATGCTCCGAAGATTGAAATTTAAAAGAATTATTGGATAGAGGAATACATTTTTAAACCCTCATAAGAATTAGAGTTGAAAGTTTAAAATTAAAGTTAAAATTGTTGAAATTTAAATTGGAAAGAATTTTAAGAAAAGATGATCAAGGTTGGTTTAGGCTTTATTGAGAGTATTTCAAATTATTTTTTTTACATTTTCTACAAATAGAAGTAGTGTTTCGTCCACAAATTGTGTTAAGAAATAAATGTTGTCGATTATCTCTAGAATACAGAAGATTGAATTTCAGGAATCGTGTATGATTTGTTGAAGAATTTTGATTTTTATTAACACATGCGTATCTCAAATACTAGATTTTCTTATTTTTCTTATATATTACTGATTAAGTCATATTTTTTCCAAATAACGATAACTAATTTGCATCATTACGAATTACTGAATAAAAAACATTATTTCTATATAATTTTAATTTTCATACTAGAAAAAATTAAATTCATTTTTAATTCAATTCCATTGAGTTTTTATCATTTAAATTCTAGTTAATTTAATTTTGGAAAACATGTAAATTCAGATCTCTATTGTTAAAAAAACGTATTATCACGAAAGAGTCATTATTTTCTGAAGAAAAACATCTGTCAGAGTGATTAATTAAATAGCATTCTACACTAAATATCTTAATTCAATTAATGTATCCTCTCCTACGTATATATGCGACAAACTGATCGCAACGAATTGTCGTGCGACGAATTGAACGGTCACCATTTTATGGGAAATCACATAATATCATTCATCGTTTCATTAAGCTAGCTCTCTGTCTCCATGCTCAATCTATTTGGCACTGTTATTCGCACTTATTCTATAGACTAGTTTTTTTACCTATTTATTGTGTTATTTTTGCAAAACAATAAATCTAAAGAAAATGAGCTCGAGGAGGCCCTATTAGATGCAGTCTGATGCCATCTACCTATTTTGTGAAAGTCGTATCGTTGTTTGAGGAATCTCGATTTTGTTGGGAAAAATGACAAAAATCATCAGTTTTGACGATATATTGCGATCTATTCGCACGATTAATCGGACTGCTAAATCGCAATAAAATCTACGATTTCGTCGCGATTTTTATGACATGTGTATGAATCATTTTTTTTGTTAATCAAGAACGATTCAGTACATTTTTGTTCGTCATTTAGTATAAAGAACAGGATTTGTTTTAACTGGAAGGTTCTTATTCTTTGAATGACGTTCTGTGAAAATGTCATATAGCCTAGATTTTAACAAATAATTAATATATGTTATTCTTTTCCGTCTTTGTTATCTATTTGTTTACTTTACCATTTCGGAGTGACGGAGCACTTGAAAATAATAGCGTAATGATGATGGGAAGCGCATCTATTCAAAATGAAAGTGCAGTTCTACAAGACATGAAGATTATCAAAATTTTTAATTTCATTTAGCTTCTTCCCAGATCGAGCAATCCGACAGTAGGCACCTATCGGAACCCATCCGATCCGACTGGAATCCAATAGGATTTTATCGGATCCTGTCAGATCTTGCAAAGTTATCGTTGGATTCCGGGTCGAGGAATCGATGTCGGATCCTCAGTGTCGGATTCCTATGAATTCCAAGGAAAAACCGTTGTATGTCATTGGAGGTTCATAGGATTCCGACATTGAGGATCCGACATCGATTCCTCGACCCGGAATCCAATAGAATTGTATCGGATCCGATGTCGGATCAGTCGACCTGGTTTACAATTTAAAAAGTAATAACCACTCTGACTGACTAAACTTGAAAGGTTTAAAAAGCTCAGAAAAATTATCCATTTTGAAATATTAATTAGACTATTTTTTCTAACCTTATTGCAATATTTGAATGATAATTTTGAAGTTCAAAACAATGCGAGGTTTAATTAGTCAATTGAAAAATAATGAAAATCGATAATTAATTAATATTTGTTTCAATATTAGCACATGCTACTAAAAGGTTGTCTGTAAAAGTATACACTGAATGATGAGCAAAACTATTGTTCGTCTCTGAAGATTTATGAAACAGTTGAGTAAGTCATCAAAATGTGCTATAATTTATTCATTCACTTTAAATGAAGAGGTTTACACAAGGGGGAAAAAGCTGATTTAAATCACAGTAAAACTCAACTTACAATCAATAGAAATTAACTGTATTGGAATGAGTTTGCGTGAGTTTTGGTGCCTTTGAATGATTTTCAGTAATAATTTATGATTTGGAATAGTTTTTAGTTAGTTTAGCAAGTTTTTCGTTTTCTCAAACTCATTTTAAATCAGCTACACTCAGAAAAATCATGAAACTCATAAATCGCTTTTTCCCCCTTGGGTTTACAAATATATTCGCACATATATATATATAGATTAAATCAGTTCCCAATATTTGGAACCGAACCGATCGCATCACTCTTGCCGAATAAGATATTATTTGATCTGTCTTTTTTAATATACTTAAAAAGTTGTCAATATTTCAGACTCATCTTCCATCTATTATCAACACAGTTCACAAGGAAAAGATACAAAATATTTATGTATGCATCTATAGTTATTATTTTTTCTTTTACTTAACAGTGCATCGCAAGGGTGAGAAATTGACAATGGATTGAAGATTAGTCCGGAAAATGCACGAGTTTTTTTAAATAGATTTTAAAAAAAGTGATTGAAGAACTCGTATATTATTAGTAATTATTCTATTTAAATATATATCTTATATAGCGAAGTCCATATTATCCAGAATTCAATACACTCGAACGTTAGGAGTGTTACTTGGAAGCAGCAGCATTTTTGCATCGGAAAATAGCACTGTGGCTAGTATAACTAAGCATCTTAGATAATGGGCACATTCTGCTCTTTAGCATAGATCAACAAAACACGTATTCTTTTTTGGAATAACATCATCATTATTATAAGTAATGTATCGTTTTTCAATGCAATCTTGTGCAGTGCCAAATATGCATGAGGGTTTGCATATGTTTAGCTCTCGTTTTCTGAAACAAACACAAGCGTACCCACGCCAAGACTCAGAGTCGCATCCTCAGCATTGAAGGGTATCTGCGAATAGTACTGAGAAATTTCTGAACGGAGAGAGCAATGAAATTAAAGCACTATCAGAGCGAGGCCTGCTCGGCAATATCTAGAAAACTATGCCATTTGGATATCTGAAAATCTTGCACGCATTGGAAAATGTTCTCAACTGAAAAATAAAACCGTACAGCTATGACAAAATTGCCAACGGATAGATTATTCATTCAAAAACATTACTGTAAGTATGAAAAAGTCCAGCATAGTTGAGATGATTTCCAAAATTAGAGAAAAAGTCTAAAAACGTTTCAAAGTCATGAAATAGTTGGAAAAGTGTGACCGAATATCGGAAGAATGTGAAACATTCCAGAAAATCAAGCGAGCCATGAGACATGTAGAGCTGCAGAGAATCTTGTAAAAATCTAGAAGATTCTATGAATCGCGGCAAAAAAGTAAGCTAAGGATGAAGGGTGTTTTATAATATTAATAAAAAATATCGGAAGCTTTAAAGACTGCGAAAGATTCCACTAAAATGTGCTGAAGTGCGTTGAGTTTTGTCTTTCGAACCTTTTTTCACTTGGTCTATTGCAGTTGTTATCCCAAATATTCCTGCAAATGCCAAATGGGCAGAAAACGGCACCACCGTCGCTGGAGGCCACGGAAGAGGTAATGAATTAAATCAGCTCAACAGCCCTTATGGCATCTTTGTGAGCAATGATCAAACACTTTATATAGCTGATAAGGATAATGACCGTATTGTGGAATGGAAGTCTGATGCAACTTGTGGTCAAGTAGTAGCCGGCGGTAACGGCGAAGGCGATCGAGTTAATCAATTAAATAAACCAAGAGATGTGGTTTTTGACAAAGAAACCGATAGTCTCATCATCTGTGACAGTGATAATGGACGAATGATAAGATGGTATTGTCAGAAATCAAAAAGCCAGGAAGTTATCATTCAGAATGCCCCTTGTATTGGATTGAGAATGGACGATCAGAGATTTCTTTATGTAACGGGCTTTGATGCAGTGAGACGGTATAACTTTGGAGAGAAGGATGGGACAGTGGTGGCAGGAGGCAATGGGAAAGGCAACGAACTCAATCAAGTTAATTGGCCCACATACGTCTTTGTCGATCAAGATTATTCCGTGTACGTCTCGGACTCGAAAAATCATCGGGTGATGAAATGGATGAAAAATGCAACGGATGGTATCGTTGTGGCAGGTGGTCAAGGCGAGGGTAATGCTTTGGCACAGTTGTCACGTCCCAAGGGAGTTTTTGTTGATGCGCGGGACACAATTTATGTGGCAGATGATGGTAACCATCGAGTAATGCGTTGGTGCAAAGGAGCTAAGCAAGGATCTGTGATTATTGGCGGAAATGGCCCAGGAAAACGAGCGAACCAACTACAGAATCCCGAAGGCTTATCATTCGATTGTAATGGTAATCTATATGTTTCTGATTACGGAAATAATCGAGTTCAACGATTCTCCATTGAAATATAATCTTGAACTATTTTTGGGTGTGGGTGTGGATGTTTTATGTGACTGTAACTGTGAAAATATATACGTATGTGCAGACCCTTCAAACTTCAACATTCGTTTTCAATCACGCTTCACAAAAAAAAACATTTCATTTGTATCTGACGTGGAGTGGCGAATCGATTTGTTGAGAGAGTAAGCATGATGTTGGCTGATACTTGTGCTCACAATGGTTATTATCTCGTATGTGAAATATCTTGGCTAAAATTATGAGATTAACAAATATTCCGATTGGGGCCCATGGAACCTTTATTTTCTGTTTATAATAGAAGTGAAAAGTGCCTTTACATATTTTCTGATTATTGGTATACTTATCTGAGGTCTCGATTGTTCATTTGTCATCAAATGAACTGTTACTTATGTCAACGATATGATCAATACAGGGTTAAACTACTCGTTCATCTACTAACAGTAGCGATCGCTAAAGAAAATCTTATAGTTCATGATCAATTTTAAGCATCTTTCAAAACGACGATCTGTACTGATGATTATTTTAATGGTATAATATTTCAATTTTTCTTTTGAGAATAGTAAACAGATCTCTCATGAGTAATTAAGTTATGAGCTCTATTTATAGATACTTAAAAGTGGTCCAATACAAGAGGTGAGTACTTATTTAGATCTAAGTTAATAATCAAATAACGGCTAGAAATTTGCAGGTGTTTCTGATATTATCAATAAATGAAATAAAATGAGTATTTTGGTCAGCTACTGTGCTATGTTTCATGAACTTGTTCTTACAAAATAAATTCGAATTTAAATGAGATATCAGTGAATAAAATTTCGAAATTCTATGTTCGAAACATCGCCGATGGCATTTATTGTTAAAATAAATGAGAGAATAACATCAATCGGAATGTCAATACGAGTGAAGTATATTTCTTTATATGTAGAAGTATGTCAGAATAAAGAAATGAATCGCCTATTTAATTGATAATCATATTATTTTTTTACTGTGTTATGTTATTAATCGAATGAAGATTTAATTGTGTTTTTACCCACAAAATATTCTATTCCTCTTTGACCTATGCGAATCTCAAACTAGTCCACGATAGACACATAGATAAATTTGAATAGATTTTAATTGCTTAATTGATAAACATAAAACTTCTTCGAGCACAAACTAAACTGAATTCGTTTGTTTATGTCATCGAATCTGACTGAAGAACTATTGAAATAAAATCTTTTTAGAGGCACACAAATTGTTAGTTTTAGTTTCCAATGTGTAAATATTTAGGATAAACAAATATTGATAGGAATGATTTTTTTCTAATCTTATTTCTTGTACAAACGTCACTACTGTAAAAACTTTTTCCATATCATTTTCACCCGAAGATAATGCAACAAAATATAGGGAAAGAATTTGACTTGATTATATCTTTTAAATAGATAGATGTAGAAATGTTGAGTATAACATCATTTCAGAGACACCACTTATTTTTCAATCCAGAAATAACGAGAAAAAATCTTAATATTTACACTGACAAAAATACATTTATCACTCATAATTGATTCAAAAATGTTGGGCGTAATAATAAATAATTTATAAAAATGTTCTTATATCTTGAATAGATCTATCTCGTATCAATTCTATCATTCATGCTTCGCCATTTGTAATATTTAATTAGGTTTGCGATGTATTTTTTTTCAGCTTAGTATATGCTAACAGTGTAAGAAAAAAACAACGCGAAATCTTGAAAAACTTCCCATAGATTACAATGAATTCATTGGACACACAACTCTCTTGATGTAAATATTATTTCACAGAATTTTATCTTGTATGAGAGTCATTCAATTATATATGTAAAAGTCTATTATGGGTATGACTATCTCTGCTTTTCAGATTTATCTTCCATACTCTTATTTTTGCAATGACTGTCGAGAGAAAACATGATTACACAACATAATACCCAATGCTTTTCAAGGTCATACAATGTTATATAATCGCGTTGACGTTCTCATAACCCTACCTATTGTATAACAGGTGCGTCTTATCAATCACAATGATGATGCATAAGACGAGAAGAATCGTGTAAACCTCGATGAGACAAAGAGAATAGAAGCATCTCTTTTATTTTCAAAAATAAAACAATGTTACATCAGACTACCTTCTATAACTGTTTTGTTTCTTATCTTTATTTGGTTTTACTTGGCAAACACAAGGTTGTGCAACTGTGAAATTCTTGTCAGTACGTCAAATAAAAATTTACGATAATAAAGTAGAAAAACGATAAGGAAACTAAATCATTTTAGACGTAGATCTTTTACATATAAATATATGAGCCAATTGGCTAGCTGAGGTATTCAAATCATTTTCAAATTAGAGAAACCACTAACGGCAAAGATGCAACTGCGAATCATCACTACTTTCGCTATACTATTTTTTCTTCAAACAATGAGACTTCAAGGTAAAATTCTCAGTCTTCATTAAAAGTAATTTTACGTAGTGTTTCACCAAATTGTTTTTCTCTAAGACCAAGTTAATCAGAAGAATTTAGATTGCTGAATACTGTCAACTTTTACTACTTTAGCACAACTGGTAGATATTGTTCAAACGGCCAGCAATGAAAATCTCACAACTTTAGTTACTGCTATAACCGCTGCTGATCTTGTAACAGCACTCAAAGGTACTGGCCCATTCACCGTATTTGCTCCTAATGATGCAGCCTTCAACAAACTACCAGACGGAGTTGTTGCTGACTTAGTTAAACCGGAAAACAAAGCAACATTAAGCAAAATCTTGCAATATCATGTCACTCCTAACCTTATCACAACAGGAGCTATCAGTAGAATGGTTTTACCAGCAAACGTTTCTATGCTAGCAGGTGGCTCGATTATAGTGAGCAAAGATGGAAACACTGTCAAGGTGAACAATGCAGCTGTCATCGTTGCTGATGTTTTCAACAGTAATGGTATGATTCATGCTATTGATTCAGTAATTCTACCAGCACTTGATATTGTTGAAACAGCTGTTACAAACGGGATATTCAAGACTTTAGTCACAGCTATTCGAGCCGCTGGACTTGAAGCAACACTCAAAGGTACAGGTCCATTTACAGTCTTTGCTCCTACCGATGCAGCTTTCAATAAGCTACCGAATGGAACGGTCGCCGATTTACTCAAGCCAGAAAATAAAGAAAAATTGACCAATATACTTAAATATCATGTTATCGGTAAACGAGTGTCATCGGCTGATATCAACGCAATGAAATTACCAGAAAAAGTGGAAATGTTAGGTGGTGGTACAGTTACAGTAACAAAAGATGGTAATTCTATCAAGGTCAACGATGCCTTGATTACGAAAGTAGATGTTACAAATACGAACGGTTTAATACACGTAATTGATACTGTTCTAATGCCTGTAGTCAGTTCCGCCATGTCATTTTATCTCAACCAAGGTTTTTTTACAATATTTTTGTCTGGAATGTTGCTTTCATACCGCTTATATGTCTAAAAACGTTTTCAATGGTTCGATTACTTTTCTTTTATTAGAATTCACTTTTAATTTAAATAAATAAATGAAATTCACTAGTGAAGTCTCTTGTGCCATTTTCTTCAACCATCAATGCATGCAGTGTAGTATCAAAAATAGTAAATGTTCTTTCCTTGTTCATGAATGTCTGTGAAGCTTACTGTTAGTGCTGCAAAATCTATTTTTATATTCATCATGTGCGAGAATTAGAAATGCGTTGAGTGAAATTTTGTCAGTTGAAGTTGATAATTAGATATGAAAGCTTCGACTGTAGTCAAAAGTGTAGTCACTATTTTCAGCACTTTTCGATGAGATGTACAATCAGGTAGGAGCACACATGAGAAAATAGAAGAGTTATTTGTAGTTGCTCTATATTTTTCTATAAAATTGTTGCAGCAGGTTTTCCACACTACTGACTATCATTGATAATACTTGATAGTTACTATTAGTTGTATTTGCCATTATTTAGAATTAGAGTAAGGCTCATTTTCATCATTTTGCTGTTGTTTTGAAATTTAAAATACATATTAAAAACAAAAGGACAATAGATTTCGATGATCTTGATTCTATCATATAGATTTCTCAAGGAACTCGAATACACTCAAGTTTATACTACAATCAGACAATAAAACTAGTTAAAATCAATGAATACTAGTTCTAGTGGATAGGCGAAGAGCTGCAAAAAAGGTTTATTACGACGCCATTTGTTTTAGAGATTGTTATCAGTATCTCAAGGGAATGGAGATGCATAGAACGTGAGTTTTCCGTATATATATATAAGTCGAATAGCCCTACACATCCTAAAACTTTCATCAAAGTTCGAGACTTGGCTAATAGAATTATAATTGAAATATAGCCCTATGCTCTCTAAAAACTGCAGAGCGCTTCTGATTTTGTTAGTATCTGAAACATTTTCACAGTTTCCGAAGTTGTGTAAATCGGATGTTTTTGTGCAAGCTGGTTTAAGTACTAATTGTGAATTACCAACCTTGTTTGACGTTAAAGACTTGACAAAATCAAAGATAAAACTTAATATTTCGGTCACATCGATGTAAATCCAAGACAAACACCATCATTGATTTCTAATCGTACAAGAGTAACAGAGTTTGAACAAATAACAAGAGTCATATAAGGAAGAATTTTTACAGTTTTTATTTTTTTCTAAACAACGTGAAAGAAGACTTTATTTCAATGACATTCGTCAACCTTTTCATTCTGACATTTTCCGTTACACACATCACCTAATACTCATCGTCTAAGAAGACAATGAAACGCAAGACATTTCGTTGTCGTTTTCCGTGAATCTATAAAATATGCCTATTCTTTCCTTTAACTTTTGTGTGAATTCCTAGAAGTTTTCTACGAATATTACAGATTATTCATCTCTGATTTTAGTATGGTCGAAGCACCTGTCATGACAGTTTCCCTCACATCACACCAGAGCTATGCCATATTCAAGTCAATTTGCAAAGAATTTCTTCATGATTTGTTCATACTGTTTCGAATACATAATTACTCTCACAATTACCATCTATTCCGTTTTTAAGGAAGAAAGAAAGTTGAGAATTTAAAAAGCAGTGTCGACAATTGATAGTGATACATAGAAGCCACTCATTTTCTTTTGTATTGAACACTTTTAATGTGAGTATATTCATTATGTGCGCGAGGGATATGAGAGCACCAATATTCACATCCAAACCCGCTTCCTTCCATCTACATTGCGCCCAAATTTCACACCGAACATGGACACAACTACAATCACATTTCACAGAGAAATTCGCTGCCACTTTCATACTCTTGCAAAATATGGTGCTGTGCAACGAGCGACGAAAAAATTGTTTTTCTTTTCTTCTCTTGATTCTTTATCCAACGTTTTTTTTATTTCAGCTTCGCTTATCTTGCCTGGTTTTGTTTTCAGTGAATTTTCATAAGCAGTGGGTTTTTTTCGTTTTGATTTGATTTTTATGAGTAGTATTTGATTTTAAGGTAAATATTTCGGAACTGAATTTCATTACAAACGAAACAAAGCTGTTGCAATTTTATTTGAACTTAGATTTTCTACACATTAGATTAGTTACCAATTAATAGCTGTCACCACAGACTTTATAATCTACATTACAAAGTCCACTATTATAATCCTTTAAAGGAGAAATCTCAATTCTTTTCACAACAATTTCAAATGCGTACTGCAGTAGGCATCGATTTCGGTACAAATTATTCAAGTATTGCTGCGTTCCACCATGGAAAACTTCAAATCATTCCGAATAATGAAGGAAATCTTAAAACACCGTCTTATGTTGCATTCACTAATGATGAAATTTTAATTGGTGATACAGCTAAAAGTCAAGCAACTAGAAACCCATGTAATACTATATTTGCTTTTAAACGTCTTATTGGATGTAAATATGATGATCCAACAGTACAACATGATATGAATCTTTGGCCATTTAAAGTAACTAATGTAGACAAAAAACCTAAAATTCAAGTTCAGTATAAAAATGAAACGAAATTATTGACACCTGAAGAAATTTCTTCAATGGTCTTAACGAAAATGAAAGACATGGCGGAATCTTATCTTGGTATAAAAGTAACCGAAGTGGTTATATCCGTCCCAGCTTCCTATAATTATTCTCAATTTGAAGCAATAAAAAAGGCTGCTTCCATTGCTGGTCTTAATGTTTTACGCCTTACTAATGCAGCTACAGCAGCCGCTATTGCTTATGGTTTAGATAAAAAAGTATCAGCTGAACAGAATGTGCTCGTTTTTGGCTTGGGCGGCGGTACTGTTAATGTATCAATTTTAACAATTGAAGAAGGAGTCTTCCACGTTAAATCGACAGCTGGTAAAAAGAATTATTTTTGTTTTGAATTCAATTATGAAAACTTTTAACATTATTTTTCAGGTGATAAACATTTGGGTGGCGAAGACCTTGATGATCGAATGGTTCAACATTTCATGCAAGAATTTAAAATAAAAAGTGGTAAAGATCTACAAGAAAATAAGCGTGCTATTCGACGATTACGTACTGCGTGTGAAAATGCTAAAGTATATAATTGTTATTAATTTTATCCTTTTGAAAAGAATTATTTTCTATAGCATACATTATCCTCAGCATTAAAAGCAGCAATCGAACTCGATTCGTTACATGAAGATATTGATTTTTATTCAACAATCAACCGTGCACTTTTTGAAAAACTTAATGCTGATTTATTCTGTTTAACACTTAAGCCTGTTGAGAAAGCTTTATGTGATGCTAAAATGGATAAAACAGAAATTCATGAAATTATACTTGTCGGAGGTTCCACACGTATTCCAAAAGTACAACAACTTTTACAGGAGTTTTTCAATGGTAAAGTACTTAAAAGATCAATTAATCCAGATGAAGCTGTTGTCTATGGTGCTGCTGTTCAAGCTGCCATTTTAACAGGTGATAAATCTGAAGATGTTAAAGATTTACTTTTACTTGATGTTGCACCACTCTCATTGGTAAGTCTATTAAGAGCAAATATTAATTCGATTTGACTAATACCTCTACTCTTTTTTTCTTTCTATAGGGTATTGAAACTACTGGTGGTGTTATGACAGCATTAATTACACGTAATACAACAATTCCAACGAAACAAACACAAACATTTACAACGTATTTGCATAATCAAGCAGGTGTATCAATTAAAGTTTACGAAGGCGAACACTCGATGATAAAAGATAATCATTTGTTAGGAAAATTTGAATTATCTAGAATTCCACCAACATCACCTGGTGTACCAGAAATAGAAGTTACATTTGACATTGATGCAAATAGTATATTAACAGTTTCAGCTATAGACAAACTTTCTCGAAATGAAAATAAAATAGTGATTACAGATGATACAGAATGCTTATCTGAGGATAAGTTTGAACCTCCTACGATTTTTTGTGATGAAAAGCATGAAAAAGAAAACAAAGCTCAGGTTGGATGTGCTGCTGCAAAGGTTTCACTTAAATCCTATTGTTTTAACATGAAAACAAAAATTAATGATAATAAATTGACAAATAAAATTAGTAGTTATGAGAAGAAGAGAATATTCGATGCCATTGAAGATACATTGGCATGGGTAGAAAGCAATCAAGTAAGAATTATTTGACTTTTATTTTATTCATTTGATTGTTTCATTTGTTTTAGGAAGCTAAGAAAAGCCAGTTTGAATTTAAATTAAAAGAAATTAAACAAATATGTTCACCAATAATGACAAAACTATATTCAGCTGAAAATCATACTGGAGAAGCAACATCCGGTATGATCGATTTTCAAGCTTTACCCAGTCATGGGACATTTCTAAATCGTACTTACGTTAGCAATTAAGGATATGCAGATTTTTCTTCATGTAGAATCTTTCATTTTTTCAGAGCATCTCCTAAACTTCACAATTCTCTCATGAACTGCTTGCTCTGGAGTTTAGAGGGTTTGATAGCAGACAGATCTCGATTAGCAGCAGAGAAATTTTCATAGGCTGACCAATGTAACGCTAATATTAAATGTCGCTCAGTGACTTTTTCCATTGCCAAGAAACTGTGCGAAAAGGAAGGTGCATATCTGCTGTCCTCGATTGTTGAAAAGTGATTGTTAAGCAATGACCTTTGATCATGACAACTAAACTATGCAAGTGGGGGGGGGGGATAGGACCCGGAAAGCTAAAATTCAATGTTACACGTACTGTTTTCTTTTCTAAAACAAACTTACGTTTGAGATTTAAAAACCTACAGTTCTTAAGAAACGTTCTACGACACGATCGAACATAACGATAAGGGAAAATTTTTGTTTTTTCAATTTAAGCTATTTAGTTTGAATGAGGATTCATTTTGCTGTACAGTTCCAAATTCTGTCATATTGCAAATCCAGTTATAACACCTCCAGGCATATTTTTATTGCAACTTGTAGACATTTTCAAGCTGCATCTAACCATATAAAAATGAACGTTCGTTCAAACTACATAGGTTAAATCAAAATCAAAAGTCTTCCGCCTGACACGATTTTTGGTCTTCGCGTGGAACTTCTCTTAGCAAATTAATCATTTATTATTTTAGATACTAGTCCATTTTATAAAGCGTGCCGACACAATGATATTAGTTCGGTTAAAAATTATTTGCAAACGATATCAGCAGAAGAAATTAATCAAATAGAACCGAATGGATCTACTGCACTTCATGTAGCTGCATATCGTGGACACGAAGAAATAGTTGAACTATTATTATAAAAAGGTGCTTCTTATACAGCAGTGAATAAATATAACTGTACTCCACTGGATGAAGCGAAAACTGATAAAATAAAGCAGATGATCCGTCGTCGTATAAATAAGGCTCGTTTTATTAGTGATTCCATCGAATGGATCCTTTCGACAGACAATGCAGACTTTCAAGCCAACCAATATTGGATATTATTGGACAAATATGGACAAGATCCAAAATTTTATAAATTGATAGATTATATTAAAAAAAACTATCTTGAAAAAGAATTACAACATATTGAAGATATCAATACAATAAAAACATATTTTGATATGGCAATAAACGAAAAAGATCCTGTTTATTTATTACAAGCATATACAGCTGAGACCGGTTTTTATTCTGCGCTCAATGTTCATCTGACACAATTAAGACTAGAAAATTTAACTGCTACCGAGAATCTTAGTCGAGCATATTATGTGGGAATAATTGCTCGTCATCCAAAATTCAAAACATTTTCGTATACTGGGAAAGTATTTCGTGGTATGAATATTACTAATGATGATTTAGAACAATATAAAATTGGTACACGAATTTTAACTAAAACATTTTCGTCTTCTTCAAAACAATTAGATATTGCATTAGAATTTCTTGGTCGTAACAAAAATGCAGATGATCGATTAAGTACTCTATGCATATATGAAATACGTAATCAAAGAACCGCATTAGATATTCAAAATGTGTCATTGTTTCAATATGAAGAAGAAGTTTTAATATTACCCTACACAGCATTTAAAATAATTGATATTCAAATGCATAAAGGCAAATTACCTAACGTAGAGATAAAACTAAAAGAATGTGAACCATGGTAATTCTGAATAATGTCCCATACTTCGAGTTTTTAATTATATCTTCTCTTATAATACAATAAATAAAGAGCCGTTAGCTCAATCACTGTGGAATTACAATGTGAAACACGATGAAACACCGTTTCTGGAACCCGTTTACTGCAGTTTGTGACTCTTTGTAGCTTTTCTACCATCATCTATAATGGTATATGACGCCTTTCGGTGGTAGTCTGTATTATATAATGTATGCAGTCTCTAGAAATCATCACAGGCCGTGACAGAGATGTTAATTAATTAGTTAATTCCTTCGCTACGGTCTGTGAGCGGCGGGTCCAAATTTTTACCCTAAATACTTCAACACTTCTTTTAGATGGGTGTGGGTGTCAGTTTGTGAGTGTGTATGTGAGTATAGGTAACATGAATACTCACACCTCATACCCTAAAAGATAAGGGTTGCCAATAAATACAAAAGTACATCTACGACAAAGCATCATTTTAATTTACATAATCTTACATCATTTAAATGCACAAAGTTATAAGTCATTGCATCTTCATGGACAATAGTAAATTGTGTTTCTGAGTGTATCTTTATAACTTATGCCGTTCGCCTTCATTAAAAAAATCTCACGTATTCGAACGAATGTCAGGTACCCTAGAGAGTGATGTGGGTGTGAGTACTTGCAAAAAATAGTTATTAATATGCATCTCCAAGATAGTGTTGAGCAGTTTTCAAAAATCTGGTATAGATATATTTCTGATCGAAGTATAGTTATATGTTTGATAGTTATTGTACGCAGACTAGTTCACTACTGTTGATCAGGCGCTACATTAATCGACATGAGTGGTTCCAATTCAGGTATTTTAAATGTAATTTCAGTCCATTTATTGACCATTGAAACTTTACAATCGCCATCTGGATCTTTCAAAGTAAATTTCAATTTTTTACATGCAAGTGCACATATTTCTCTAATATCTGGTCGATCAGTATATTGCTGAACTCCACCTATGTCCTCACGACATTTTCTATTTCCACATCGAACTTTTCCTTAGAAGAGAAACAGAAGAAATTTTAAACTCAAATCGATCGTAATGTTTTCTTTTTACCATTCACTTGTATTTCTTTGTACATTTTTGCTGGAGAATACAATTCGATTTCTACATGTTCAGCAAGTTGTTGCTGTTGAACAAAATAACTATTATTTCGTTTACGTATCCATGAAATTTCACCTAAATAGTAATCGCATGCGCGACATGAAACTTTGCCATCTATGTCCTCTGAATCTTGTAACGTAGACTGGAATCTTTTTTTCAAATCAGCTGCGGCACGCCATTCATCAATAATTCTATTCTGAAAAGAAATAGAAATTACTGAAAGCAGTCCGCTTTAAAAATATTTCACTAACCTGCACTTTTTGCAGATTGAGTTTCAAGTCATGGGATGATATTTGTTGCCACCTGTTAAGCGCTTCTAACATTTCTTTTTCTTTCAAACGATTTGTCATCTCTTTGACATGATTTTTTGAACCTATTTAAATGACACCATAAAAGGTATTTTTCATAATTGAAGTATACCTTCGTCAACAACTAAAAAGCAAGAACTTTTTTCTGCTCGCGCTCGTCCTCTTGATTGAACTGTGCCAATTTCATTTGAAACAAATTCATAGCGTATGATAAAAGAACATTCCGGTACATCCAAACCCTCTTGTACAATATCTGTAGCAATCAGCACATTTGACAATCCTAGAGATTCATTATTTGATGATCAAGATTATTCAAACAATAAAAAGAAACCTTTTCGAAAGTTTTCCAATGCTTCGTCCTGTTCACTCAGACTATTCTGATAGTCAACACCATTTTGGCCGACAAGCCAATAAGGTTGTATAATGTTCTATTTAAATATTTTATTTTAACTGTAAACAATCGATTTACCTTAGAATCTTGACGTTCATTGAAATAATCAAACAAAAGCTTCGCGTAAAGTGTACGTGAAACTAAAATTAGCCCTGAAAGCAAAATTTTTCTAGTTATGCTACATTCTAAAATGAATAAAATTTTACCTCTCGCATCGTCTCTTTGTTTAATAAGTCGTTGTAATAAATCAGTCAAAAAATCAAGCTTGGGGTTTGTTAAATAATATTGACTTTCTTTCAGTTGTTCGACAATGCTATTCATTGTTTGTATACAATAATCATGAACTTCAGTTTCAATGGCCATTGGTGTTTCTTTTTTACTATAAAAGTTGAATAAAAGCATCCTATCATAGTTTGTTGATAGTGAAAGATATACTTGTAAAATAGATCAATTTTATTGATGATATCATTGATTATTGATTTCAATGGTAAATCAGTTAATGCGTCGAGTCTTTTGACAAACATAATCATGTATTTTATCAATATGACGTTTGTGAAATTGTTCTGCTTCTCTGCATCCTTTTTGTTTTCAACTAAATTTTGTTCATCGGTAAATTTATCAATAGTTGGAGAACATTGCGATCCTATGTATTCTAATAAAGATTTGATCGTTGCACCTAATTTTTTTAAATGCTGATCAAATGACATTGATTGAACAGTGAGAATTTGATCATCTATTGGCATATGTATTTTTTTACTTAATTCTTCTATATGTTCTGCATTTTTTATAGTTACAACATTATTGCAATTGAGTGTTGCACATAATTCATAAAGCTTGTTGAGCGCATTATGCTGACGCTTTTGCGAATTTGATAACTCTTCAAATACTAGTTCTGGACGCGTTAGTTTGGTTCCACACGATGCAGTGAGACCAATTATTTTCGGCTGATGCTCCAATGGATGATAAACTAGATATTGTTCCATTATTTTCGAATAAGGATGATTTCCAATACAATGATGACATTCATCAAATATTAACAAATCAACTTGGTTTAAAAAAATTGTTTTATCGACTAAGCAATTCAAAAACTTTTGTGGTGTACAAACAATTACATGACTATATTGAACAAATTCATGAACTGACGAATCATCATCACAAGGCATAACGCGAAGGTCGCCAACATCATGTATAGCTGCAACTTGTTGATCACGAATGGACCGATTAGGAATAAAGAAAAATGTTAAAAACTGTTTATTTTCTTCTTTTTGTTTCTTCATGTAATAATATTTTATTAAAAGTGCCGCTATGTATGTTTTTCCCGCACCTGTTCGCAAGCTAACAAGCGAGTTTCCACTGTTTATGACAGATTGAACAAGTTCAATTTGAAAAGCAAAAGGTTGGCGTTGAATGTTCAATTGTGAGAGATAGTTATTAGACCATATTGGACTTTTCTCGAAGGGTTCCAAATCTAAATTTGTATAGTCTTGAATTTCCTTAATAGGCGAATTGAGACCTGTTGTAATAATTTCGTATGTAAATTGTTTTGGAATGACTGGTGGAGATGCCATATAGTCTTTTAAAGAAAAATTGAATATTACGTACAACAATAGTATATATCATCATCGATAATAAAAATAGATGTTGAGTACAGCAAAAATGGACAAAAACTCAGAACCTTTATATCGATTATATGACTCCTATAGATTTATGAAGCACTTTAGTGTGATCCAAAATGTGCTACTTAATAAATCTGCTAGAATTTTAAAAAATTGCAATACTTATAGTGCCACTCTCGTTTGAAATAGAAACAAATATTAATGATTAAAATATTGTTACCTTCATGTGTGCGCTTCATATTTGTCTTCTTAGATTAAGTAAATAAACCTGTGGGTATTTTTTAAGGGACTCCAATGAGTTAAAGGAAAATATGGATATCAATGTAGAGGTACATGAAATCATGTCATGACACATAGACTAGCACGAAAAGCTAGCTGCAAAAATGCTCTTAAATTTGAGGTTTACAACAGTAAATGAATCATCTCGCTTCCATTTGATTCCGTGCATCACACTACACGAGCGTACAAGCATAATATGTGACCTACATTTAGAGGTGATGCATGTAGGTGGTTGATTTTATACGTGAGTGAGGTTGCTAATCATTTAGGTGAAGGTGTGGGTGAGAGTCAAGAGAAGCCACAGCCTTCAGACCCATACCCTTCACCATGTCGAAGAGATTTTTGAGGGGCGTCGAATGTTATATTGTAAATCTTGTTTTCGTTAGATTTTGAAGAAATTAGAGTAATTTTACTGATATACAACTTTACACCCACATTAATAGTTAACGTTTTTAATAGTAATAGGTGGATGATAGTATCACGTTTTTTCTATCAGAATGACAGTTTTACTGTTGATTTATTTTATTCGCATTTCAAAATACTGATTAGAGCTCGCCAGCGAAAATAATATAATGAACGGTTTGAAATGGAGGCATATTGGAAATTGGATATCCAGTACCAACTGATGTCGTTCGGCCTGAAATCGAATTTACATGATTTTTTGCTGTATCAACACTGATACCTGTATGACCTATCGGTATAGCATGAACATGTGGACTGTCTACTTTAACTGTATAATCATTATGATGTTTCAGCTGCAGCAGTGAATCACCATGTCTCCAACTTGTTGATATACTTGTTGCTGCTTGTGTATGACCTCCGTGGTTATGTCCAGGATCAGTGATTGTATGCGAATGAGCACCGACAGTAGAAGTGACTATAATGAACCAACGCCATGATTGCGGCTTGGAAGTTGGTCGATTTTTAATTGGTACGTTGCTTGTCCTCCAACTAGACCAAGATTGATGGCTCCACCGGCACGCATACGGGATGAATCGACTCCAACAGGTACTCGGCCGCGAAAATCTGGTAACATAAATGTTGTTTCGTTACCAGTGGCACCGTATAAATTTTCAATTATATCGCATAGACGAGAGCAAGTGATGCGTGAGATTTGAGAGCCATCACAGATCAGCCAGAAGGTTGTTGAAGCTGTTAAACGACCTCCGAACAGTCGAATTTCTCCTACCATAATTGGTGGTAAAGTTGCATTCGTGACTGTAAGCCCTTTTTGTGTACTCAAAAAGTGAGTACACTAGAATCGGTCAGTGTGTCCGGCTGTAGGCACGATAACTTGCGAAAGGAGAGTCAGACCGTGATGAAATTTTCCACACAGTTCAATCACATGAATATCTCGGTCGAGTTCGAAGATGAGAAGAATCCCTCAAGAAATGGTTGAGTTATCGAAAAAATTGTCATTTTTGACCAGGCCATCCCTGAGGACGGGTACAGGGATTTTTTTCAAAAAACAAATTTTTCTCAGAATTATTCACAACATATATAAATCGACTCAGTTTTTAACGCTGATTTCGAATCTGAGATTAGTTTTGAACTAAACCGTAGCTTTCTAACGAAACTTCGCCTGAAAAACGTCTCAAAATGCACAAAAACTGCATCCAGAAATCAAATTGCCTAGTTTCTCATGATAATTTTGGTGTTCAGACATTCTAGAATGATTCATATGTTCCATGCACTTTTTGCAGTACACATAACTTTCGGATGAAATCCGAAGTTTCCACATTTTTTGTTTGTACTAACGGTGCGAATGATTGCACCGTTTGCTTTATCTGCCACAAACTATTTGGCAATGATACCTATTTGAAGATAATCTGTTACGTCTGTAATTTTATAACCGTACAGCGATTTGGGCACCCATTTTTCACCGGTCCATTCACTTTCAATTTTTTCTTTCGCAGGCAGATCTTGAACATCTTTCGATGAATAAGTGTCTTTTTTGATGTTCGACAAAACATTCAACGATGAACTTGATGATAAACCTGATCCTTGAATACTTCCTCCGATACCAAACATCGAGAAGCCTCCTCCTACGCTGGCTGATGTTGACGAGGCCTGAGCATTTTTTTGGTCCAAATTGAAGAATGTATCCGTGTATTTGCTGTGTTCAGTGGCTGTCTTATTGAAGATAAATAGTTTATTGATGGTGTTTGTAATCTTCTCTGGATTGAAATCGTTCGACGACCCAACTTGCTCATAAAATTTCAGATCTAACTTTACTTCTTTTGTACTGGTCATGGCTAATATTGTGTAATAAAAAGAAATAGAAAGCTATTAAAAGTGATTCTTATTTTTATCTTGCTCCATCAAAGACGAAAATTGATCTCCGAGACTAGTGGTCAACATTGACATATTGGCATTTTCATTTTCCATGTAAATCATTTTTCTGACGTTAGTCAAATATCTGCCGACGAAAGCAAAAGTCTGTTGTCGATGAATGTACTGTGCATTAGTATTACCACCATCGGCCACTGTTTTGCTCAAGACGCTTCTCAATTGATCACTGCTGATCGATACTAAATTCATTGACACTTGTTTAAAGTCAACAAAATAGAATGATACGTCAATTTCATATTCGTCTTCGATAATTTTCTTTAAGATTTCCTCTGCAATCTCTTGTGATGAACAACGAAATCGGAATATCATTGTCAGCTGATTCAGATGTATGGCTTTATAGGGATGAACACCCTCCACAGGTAAATTCGCTCCTCGAACGATATAGGCCATAAGTGAATCGATCATTAACGGTGCCACATCCCAAAAGCGTGCATACTGAGATACGGTTGAATCAAATTTCTTCGTGATCGAATTTCTTACCAATTCTTCCACTTCTTTACTGCTCAACATGAGTCTTATTCGAATTCCTGTTCTGAAAACGAAAACCCATGAGTCTGATTGATCATTCGATACAACGGGCATCATGATAGGCACAAAGTAGAAGACCCAGTTTTGAGGAGTTTGACGAAATTCATTTTCGTTTGAGATAGCACTGTAAACGTAAATTTGACTCCTGTGCTAATTGACAATAGTAAGAATTTGACTACTGACAACTACCGTGGCCAAACTTGGATTACTTCTTCCGGATGGTCGATTCTCTGAACTTTTTGTCGGCTTTGATTCTAGATTTGTACTGTTCTTGCGGCTCTTTATAGAAACAGAGTGGCTATTAACGATGAGTAGGATTAGAACTATCAGCTGTAGAGTGATCATTGCTTGTTTCAATGTTTCTTGGACGAAGATGAATGAAAGCAATAAATATTTATTCTAATGTGCATTATTACTCTTCAACGAATTTTAATATGCTGATCATCGATTGAATAAATAGCCAAACTTGCAATGCTTTTATATTCGATCATCAAATATTCGTCGACTTTAATTGATTCGATTGAAATATATTTTTCCAGGTCGATTATGCTAAGCAACAATGAGATTATGCAGATGCCTCTCATGTTTGCGTATTTCACAAGAAAAAAATTCCCAGGAGATTCAATCCGACCAGCGGATCCGATCGTTTCCGGCATAGGATCCTATGGATTCCGTTGTTTTTCGGTCGGCTCCGTTGAATTCCGATGATTTCCTAACTAACGAATTCCGGTCCGGTTTCCGCCGGAAAAATTCCGTTAAGTTCTGCAAAATTTCGACCAGGAATTCGTCGGAAATCGACGGAACCGATGGGAATTGATCGGAAATGGTCCGACGAAATCTGGACCGGATTCCGTTAGTTAGGAAATCGTCGGAATTCAACGAAACCGACCGGTTCCGACCGATTCCGACGTACCCTGATTCTCCTGGGTTAAGTCAGCTGTATAAAACGGAAGATGGAAAAATATAACAATGCAAAATTAATTCCATGCTTGGAATTTTCCAAGCTCAATAACGATTTCATTATTCAGAATTTGGATAAATTCTATAATTATTACGCTTCATTTATTCTCAAAAGGGATATTAGAACAATTTTCAACAATTATTCACTTAAAAACCAGTCAGTACATACTTCCTCCGTTATATTGTATATGAGCATGTCTGTAAATGTAGGAAAGTGACTGACAGCATCGAGTATATTCTGTGAAGATTGATTTGAAACAAGAGACAAACTAGTAATAATAAAATAGAAATAAACAGTAACCAAGAGAAAAAGTCCTGTAAATAATTGAACCATTTGAATCGGTAATGAGATATTTAAAATAAATTTGTATGCTCGCTGTTTTTAGTTTTATTTTAAAAAAGAATTTGTTAATTTTTTGAATGGTTTTAATTTTTAAGCAAGGAAATAATATTTATAAAAAAATTTCAACGTCAATAGAAATATTTAATAGTGAATAAAACAAGAGATTGAAAATATGAGTATTGTATTATAAGATTTTTTGAGCATACAAATGACTCTAACCTTTGAAGTTAAAGGAAAGGCTACATAGAACGAGTTGATAAATATACAGCAGTGATGGGACCTGTTAGGTTCGAAAATTTGAAGAAAGTGATCTAGTAGAATTCTGTGGGATCTGATTTCAGGATAAAGCGAGCGATACCCTACGACTGAGAGGGGTGTCAAAGGACTGAGGATTAGGAACCCCTCATCAGTTCCCCTACAGTTACTTGCATACCAAAGGTAAAAATATGGAATATTCACGATAATTTTTGTTCTTACACTCATTTTCACTCGCAAAACTGTGAGAATCAATGATTTCCTGCAAAAATGATTTTTAAAACAGCAATATCGCGACTTTCGTGAATGGTGGAACTGTGATGGAACCGATAGTTGATTCCCATTTCCTCTAGGAATTATCACAGCGACACTGGCAATTCCTCGGCACATTAGGAATTCCTATTTCTCAGTCATTGGTCACTGCTAAAATATGGAAGGTATTCAGTTGCAAATTCAAAAATATTTCTAATTTTTGATAAAAGAATGATAAAATAAACTCATGAAGTTTTAGTTGAATCATGCTGTGAACGGAATACCGAAGTTATCAAGTGGAAATTAGAATAAAATTGAACAACTACTCTCACTTTTGTAATCAAAGTTGTTAGCTGAACTCAAACATAATCACGACGAATTGCAAGTGTTTAATTGTGCGCATCGCATTCATGATCTCTGTACACAGAAACTGCTGAATCGAGTTAACTTATGACCAATGTACAATAGATAATATATCTCAACGATTGAAATTTTTAGAAAACTGGTGTTAAGTGCCATATGTTATATATGCAGAGGAACATATCTAGAAAAAAAATCATCATACATTATGAAGGTGTTTGGAACCTTTTATTACAATCTATATAAATCAAATGCAATGAAGCAATGCTTATCGCTAGATAACACTGAACTGATTTTAGTTAGTGTCTTGTGAGATGATGTATCAATTATACTTTAATGAATGTAATATAACTATAGTACAAACAGAATCATTGCCAAGTTCTAAAACATATGTGTTATTCGTATGATATGATAAAAGCTTGTTTTTGGTTGAGTTGCCTTTGAAATAATTAGAATAAAGTATAATTTTACAATATACTCATGAATGAGAAAGATTTTTGAATAGAACATATATTTATTTGCAAGCAAATAAGGTAAGAAAATAATTGGAGCGAAAAAATTGTTAACGAAAAGTTTGCAAGGCAACAATAGTATGCACAACTTTTAGACTTTTTTCTGAATCAATCAAGCATAATGCGTGATCAAAATTGTTGATTTGAAAGTTCGTTGTCATCATCATTCAGTGTTGAATCCGGATTGAAAGTTGGATTTGGGATACCAGTGTCGATAGAGGTTGTTTCCTCCACTCTTGGTGTATATTCAGGAAGCTGTTGTTGAGAGATGAAATTCTTTTGGGTCGTCCTAGTAGCTAAATGAGCATAAGCATCAGTCTGATGTATTCTTCTACGAGGTCCCCAAGATTCTGCAGGTAAATTATTTGATTCCAATGCTGCTAAGAACAGAGGCTTCGAGGGACCATAGTCCGTCTTTTCTTTGGCCATCCTCCGATATTCCTGAATATAACTAATCAGAAAGACGAGTGGAATCGGAATAATACAAATGACAAAGATGAACCAGCCCAATGTAGTGCTCCACTGTGGAAATTCATAGGGTGGAAATCCACCAGATGCATCAAGTTTCAATGGCGCAGTATTCAGTAAATTGGTAGCAGTAATAACCTTAAGAGAAAACAAGGTAAGCTGAAGGCTTTATTAACTCATCTTTTTTTAAAAGTCAGTAAAAAATATGAAGATAAAAAACCAAGCGACCCTGACTGCATTAAATTTCGAATGACAAGTTCAAGGTTAATTAATGAAAATCTTAATAACGAAGTATCTAGTTAATTAACAATTGAAAGGGTCTTAATATTGATTTGAATGAAAATTAAACCCTAGAGGTACTTTTCTATTAAAGAACATGCGAGCAGATATTAAGTTGTTTTTATAATCTGTAGATATAGAATTTAAGATTATCATAGAACGAAAAATTTAGGGTATCCAGAAAGTAACTTGACATAGAATACTTTGAATTCTTTATTGTTCTTCAATACAATGAGACAATTATTTTTTAGGTTAGAGAACATATAGAAGTTATTATTTATGAAGAAATAGTCCAGTTGTTATCACTAAAATAGCTAAAATATCTTCATAATATAAGTAAACTAAGCACACATGTTTATTACTTATAGCTATATTCCAACACTGTAAGGATATTCTTTTATTCATTTATCAAATTATCTACCCTCTCAGAGCAAGCATTAACTGATTTTAGTTAAGAGTTATGAAACTATTTTAATTACTCTGTCGCTGGTTAATTTCTAGACGCCCTACATACTGCTGTTATTCACGTATCTCACTTGAATTAGTAGATATATCTCATTTTCAACTTATTCTGAATGTAGTTCTTATGTATATACGATCAGTATGTTTAATACGGCTTTTAGCTTTGATTTATAGCATAGGTACTTACGAGTGTGAGTATTGGTGCGGTGATGCACCATGTGACAAAGAGATAGTATTGAGCTGCTCGTTTGCCTAACATCATTTCAACATCGTTCATAAATCGATTGAATCCTAAAAAATGAATGCTATTTTTGTTGAATTAGTGATTTTTTTGATAGAATAATAGACCATAGATATACGCAATGCTGACAACTTCAAAAAATCCTATGAAAACCAGTGATATATTAGCTGTATACTCTTGAAAGAGCTCGAACAGATAGATGCCACCCTAAAAAATAAAAGAACAGTTGTATATTTTCCTATTCCCAATTCTAAAATATACTGACGGGACAAGCAAAAGGTAGACTTGCAAGATAAAAGACTGAACAAGTTATAACGACCAGTACAGATCTTCGTTTTGCGTACGAAGGAAAAAACTCCATAAGAGCCGTAACTGGCACATCAGTAGATGCGAACTAAAGTACAAGTATTTGATTAGTAGAAAACATCTCGGAATTAACTCACTTGTGAACCCAGTCCAAGTGCAAGAAGCATTAAAAAGAAGATAATAGAAAAAAAAGGACTGGCCGGCATTTTTGCGAGTGCTGCAGGATATGTAATAAATGCTAAGCCAGGACCTGATGCCGTAGCATATACTTCTACTGGTTCATTCAAAGACTTAGCAAGAAATCCAATAGTAGCAAAAACAGCAAATCCAGCGAAAACACCAGTAAAACAGTCGCAGGAAACCACAATACACATTTGTCTATTTTTTCGATTAGAATCAACCTTTGAGAAATGAAAGACAAGGCGCTACTTACTGAAAAAATTTATTATGAAAATCGTTAGCTGCTGAATAAGCTATGAGTGAACCAAAACTGATACTTAGAGAGAAAAACACCTGAGAAGCTGCTGCTTGCCATATCTAAAAGATAATAATTTTACGTATGCCTAACATTCCAAGCAAATGTTTGTAATTCTCATTTACCTTAAAACTGCCAATGAGCTCCCATCTGGGTACGATATAGAATATAATACCCTCACGTGCTCCGTCAAGTGTTGCGGTGAAAATGATGAGCACAAGCAGCACAATATACGGGAAGATAGCCGTGAAATATGCGACCTAAAATAATGTGTCATAAGAGTATAGACAAAACAAAACTCCGCTCACTTTTCCCGATGATTGTACACCACGGATGATACACACACAAATGAGAAGCCAAGAGGCGAGCAATAAAACTGACATGTAAGTACCGGGAACACCGAAATCGTCAAAACTTGAACTTTTATTTAACAGAAGTCGACTAAAAATCATGATAAAAATGTTTTAATGTATGTTGATAAACATAAGATTGCTGAAAATTCTTGTATTTAAATCTGTTTGTTTCCTAATTGATTCAAGTTATAGTTTATCAAAAGAACTTCTTTGACAGATCAAAAATGATTTTTCTTAAGTGATCTATAAATTGGCTCGGATATCTCTCGAAGAGATGCAAAAATGACACACAATTTATATTTATCTCAAAACTTACTAAAAGAATTCTTCAGTGACTGTCACTTGTTTTACACTTGTAGTATTGTTCTCTTGACATCCACTATCAGAAAAATTACTAGATAGTGCTGTTGTACAATTCCCTCCTGTACAATTGAATAGTGTACAATTCAATGCTGTGATATTTGCTCCCAAAGTATTTCCTGGCGAGCCAGGAACAAAACAGCCATTTGAATTCCACCAATGACCACAATCGGCCCACAAGAGCCTTTTACGAAATGAAAGAACAAAATAAAACAGAGCCCAAGCAATAATGACATTGTAGTATAAAGTGCCCAATATACTATTTATAATCATAGCAAAACCTACACCTAAAACAAAGCAAGAGTCAACGACGAAAGATTATTCAAATATTTACCTTGCCAGCCTTTGGCAAGAACAAATGCCGATGCTGGACCGCGACTTGTAAATTGTCCAAGAGCTAGTTCCAAATAATAGAGTGGGGCCCCGATTAGAAAGTAAAGAGTGAAATATGGGATGAGAAAGGCACCTAAAATATCCTGAGAAAATTAAGTTAGAAGAAGAAGCACATAAAAGCTGACCTCCACCACTCTGTGCTGCTAGATATGGAAATCGCCATACGTTACCGAGACCAACGGAATTCGAAATGAGTGATAAGACAAATTCAATGGGTCGATCCCATTGATGATTATTTTCTTCCTAGGATAAGGATATTAGAACGGTGAGTTTCCTCTGTAAAACATCAGTTACTTCTTTGTCAGCATTAACTGTATCACTGATGTTGTTATTCTGCGGACGAACAACTGCCTTTGAGCGCCGAAACTAAAAGGATGCATAGATAACGCTTTGATAAAGTGTGAGAAAATTTCATTTAAATAATCTTCCATTAATAATATTAAATTAAGTGCATTGTATAAGATGAGAACTACTACAAAACTCTTCGAAACGAAAAATGTGAAATACTCTTATACCGTCCATACTAATGACTCTTCAATCATTTAATTTGTTTTGATGAGAAATAGCAATATGCGACTTAAAAAATTTGTAGTATCCCATGTCGATCATTCTGGGTCGTAAACGGTCGTATACCTGTCACTCACGGTGAAAAACGGCGACCGTATTTTGTAGTCGTTTACTGTTGTCGCAAACGACCGTCGTAACTAAACGCTAACTGTAAACGGCTGTCGGATATCACAGTAAGCGGTCGTTTACGATGACCAGCTGTTCGCTTAAAGTAGAGTAGCATGTTTTAGATTATAGGTTACACAAACTATCTCAGTGAAACGTATTAAGTGACCATCGTGTAGGTGAATTTAGCATCGCATTCGAATAAAACCTGTCGATTCTCATTTGAGATGATTTTCCAACATCTAGAGCCATATTACTAGTAGAACTTCGTATACCCTATCGAGTAGTATATTTCGATTAATGCGATCTCGAACCATACTCCGGAAATTTTGAAAAATCCAAAAAATTCTGGTATTCTGTTTTGTAAAATGCGCTCATATTCACTTCAACCAATCTTCCATTTTCGTACCTATGTTCCAAGTGGAACTCGACGAACTCTATCCAGTGGAACCCACTTATTTTCCGAAGCTTGAAATCTGACTTCAGCGCTGATAGCATAATGCCAAAGAAACCTAAAAAATCTTACTATGCGCTATGAAAAATCTGCGGATATCATTAAATAGATCTCCTAGATTTGTGTTTATATCGTGAGTGGAACGCTTATAGCAAGGCCTTTAACGAATATGGGGAGCTTTTAATCGAATATGGTGCTAGAATTTCATAGAAAAATATGCTATTTTTGAGATTTTTGGGACCCTTATCAGGGAGACGAAAAATCTGATTGTATAATTCGATGAAATTTGTTGAGATCTGTTTGACACACGAGTGTGAGACTTGAAATATTTCTTGGAATGAATATGGACAGATTCAACAAAAAGAATTTCAGGATTTCTTTGAATTTCTTTCGATTTTTCGAAAATGTAGGAGAATGCTTTGAGATCTGGTTAATCCAAATTACCATTTGATAGAAAATACGAAACTTCACTAGGAACATGCGCATGCGTGTTGGAACATCAGCTCACAAGAGTATCGACAGGTTTTACTCGAATACGATACTAATTTCACTTACGTGTGAAGATCACGATTTTACTCCATCAAAAGTAGCACAATCTTATATTCCTTTAAGAAAAATCGTTTTTCAAAATATAATCGAGTTGGTATGAATTTTTAACAAACAATCAAGAGAAAACCTCTTTTTGAAATTAGTCATCAACACAATAAGTTCCAAGAAGAGAAAATTGAATAGATTTTAATGAAAGAAGAATCCAATTAGTAGGATTCAAACCTTAAAAAATCGAAGAATCTGGCTAAATCTGTCATCAGATGTTTAACAAGTTTTCATTATCAATTTTATTATCCATCACATAGAAATGCTATAATTTTCATCGTTTTTTAAGCCCGCAAAATCATCGCAGTAAGATTTTTTTATGAGTTTTAAACATGGGGAATATACAGATAGAACATCAAAACAAACCATAACACATCGACAGCTCTCTATTGCGCAGAAAAATCCGAAATCCAGCGGTGAATTTCTAAACTACCCAGGAACATTCTCATAAATCAGCACATAAATCATACACTATAGAGCTTACCTACGGATATGATTCATTCCAGCTTATAGGGCAGAGACGTCTATCAATCGATCTATCATAAAGGCTCTCATAATCTACACATGCCTGTTATTTCAGGCATATACCCTACTTGAAATTCAAATAGTTAATATGAAAAAACCATCGAAACACCAAGAAATACTGCCTGAACTGACAAATCTTTGGCAATGATACTGCGCAAGAGTATTGAAAACTCTGTCTAGTATAATGAACAACGATTAAGGTTGCTCTCTACCAAAACAATAATACTCATATTTATTCACAAGCCAAAAATCTATGCTAAATAATAATCTGACAGATCCTTCATTATTTGCTTGATTTCTGGTTGTGATTTCTGACACATCTCCAGGATTCTTCGCAGGCTTTTATTATCTATCGAAAAGAAGCAGCATATATCTTCTGCTTGCATCCTTGGTAGCGCATCACCGACAAAACCTATCGTTCAGAACTCAGCTTTCCGGAAAAAAATCCAAAAGCAGGATTCCTGCATATTAAACCGATATGTGTAAGGACAGAAGACATACCGTGCCCCAACTTTTAACTTATTATTAATATAAGTCCATGAGATCATTTATCAACCCCCTTAAATCTCGACACGCAGCTAGAGAAAGCTATCCGTGCTCTATTCCCGTACTGCTCAAAATCAAAAGTTTTCAAAACCAGACACTTTGATCAAAAATAATTTTAGCATCAAATCATTTTTCAAGATTTCTATTTCTAAAAAGAAGCTGCAATTCACTGCATCAATATTATTTAGGAAATCATACGCATATCAAAGGGAGACACTAGAATATATCGGATCCTTGTGATCTCTAAAAGGCGTATGTCAAAAGACCTCTAAAGCCTACTTGAACCTTCGCAGTAAAATCGGAAAGAAATTGCTTTTCCACTAAAAACCAAGTTCAACTCTGAAGCAGATCTGTACCAAAAAAAACTTTCTATATGAAATCTCCGAGAAACCATTCGAAATCAATCCTCTGAATTGAAAATAAAAACTTTCTAGAAGTGTTTCTACGATCAGGAGCGTAGGATTTCATAACTAGCAGAAATCACATTTTGATGTTTCTCCTTTTTTCTCACCCATTATCATGTATGCTGCTAATTATATTAATGCTAATCAAATTCCGTATATTTCTCTGTCAAGATCCTCACTACATCAGCAGTGGCAGAATTCTCACCAAGCAAAATTCGAGAATTCTGTTCATTTATAAACTATGCTATATTCTTTCTTTCCTGTATTATATTCTTTCTTTCTTGTGCTATTTTCTTTCCTTCCTGNCCCTCCACTACATCTGCAAGGCCATTATTTTTCATGATTTCCAGCTAACCATAGTGTTGCTGTATCCCTTCCATAACTATTCATCAGTTTAATGATTTCTTATTGTACCTACTATAAGAAAAATCATAAACAGCGCAACGAGTACTTATTGATACCAGAACTCAATTCTGAACATTGACCCCGATTTCAGATTAATTCTATTAAAAAACCAATTTTAGCAGGATTTCTATGATGCATTTTGTATCTTTCAGATTTCTCAGGATTCCGACCGTATGACTCAGTAGAAATCACGGTGGATCGGTAATGGTTGCTTTCAATGCATTCTGAAGAACAAAAATGTTAGGATAAGATCTGTTTGAAGTATGATTTCTGTTTTTTTTTATGTGAGGTGGCGCAGGATTTTTTGCTGCTGACAATGTTTCATCTGATTTCTGTTCAAGTACAGCAGAACTGATGTCTGCAGTATGTTTTTCATTGATCGGTGGGTTATGCATATGTGTATTTCTTTTTTCCGAAATACGATCGTAAACGATCGGTTACGGTGTCGTTACGGTCGTGTACCTTGCAGTAGTTGGTCGTTTCCGGTCTTCAATACGGCCTTTTACGGTAGGATACGACTTTGAAACGGTTGATGTATTGTGCCATATACGACACGGCAATATACGGCCGTAATACGGCGTATACGGTCGTAAGTTCCGCGTGTACAGCCGTATCTAGTCATCGTAATGCACGACCTCGGATATCCACTTTTACCCATAACACAGAACATATCTGCTTGCAGCCGAGTTAATTTAGTTTTGGAAACAAAAATATAGAGAAGTACGCTTTTCCCATTTAGAAAAGACAGATTTCAATACTTCTCGCCATTTACCCAAAACTGTTCAAAGTACTTAAGAATAATATCTAACGTAAGTGCAGTTTCTTACATGAAAATTAAACTATTTTAGATGTACAGAATTCCATTATTGGACATGAAACATGTTTACAATAAGGATGAAAAAAAGAGCGTCCCTAGAAATCCAATGCGGCAAAAAATGAAAAGAAAAGGTAACTGTTCACATCATTTCAAAGTTACAGGTCTATAGGTGTATTTTCGGCTAAATGAAATTACATATAACTTGTAAAATGAGCATGTACAATCGAAAGAAGTAGAGCCGCGCAAGCATGATTATATCTGTCCCTTCAGAAAGGATAATTTTGATATTTGATTGATAATTATCGTGAGCAAGTCTTTAGTTAAAAATTTCCGCCCTATATGATAAATGCTTTCAATTAATTACAAGTCTTTTAAATGACAATAAATCTATATCAAATTTGTTAGACTCTAATTTTAGTATTTTATTCAATGTGTAGCACTTACTCTATTGATAAATGAATTCATCATACTTTCTCCACACCTTGTTCTTTATTTTGATCAACCAAAAAGAATAAGAAAATTGCGACAATAGCAGGGTTCACCTCTTATCACTAAGGGCTATATAACATTGCAAAAAGAAACTGATATAATCCAAATATTTGTATCTGAAGCAAAGGAAATACATTGCATGCGCTCTGTGCCTGCCACTTTCTTTTATTGCGTTCTCCTCCAATAAAGCACTTTTCGCTTGATCTGCTACATGAAGAGACAAGAATAGACAGAACAATTAACTCTTTCGACAATAGTCAAACAGTAAAAACGAGTGAATACAAGCTTTGACTAAGATAAGAATGGTTAAAAAATAATAATATTATTATTATTCTGTCACACGGTTTATTATCTCTATACTGTTGACTTGATTCGTCAATACAGAATCGCAATACAATATAATTTCTATTCGATTACAAAATATATAAATTATTGTATGAAAATTGTTGAAATTAGTACAGTAAATCAAATCTTGTTAAAACTCAAGCGAAAAAGATTGAATATAGTCATCATACGAATGACGGAGGCAGTGTCCAAGAAGAAAAAAAAGACTTTAGGAACTCTTATCGCTGTCTGAATTTGTCGTGTTTTTTCTATACAACAACCCCTGATAAACTAGTCAAGGACGACTGTGATGACGAAAAAGGATCTTTATTGACATGCAATAATATAATGTTAGTGCAAACTGAAATTTGTCAATATTGATTGATTAACTGATCGTATACGATAAGATAAAGTAATAGAATGACGTTGCAGACACGTTGAAGCATACATGTTGTTATTTTCATCAATGGATCATAAGTTACACAACGCGTCAGAACATTTGAAAAGATCATAAATTTTATCTTTACGCGTGATTCTAACATCAGAAAGCGACAGTGAAAAGAAAGAATTTGTGACTGAGTCTTTTATGCAAGTAATCATGATGTTGTAGAAATATAGCCATCGAATATCCATGAATATGAGAAACAAATGCGCAGTTGTTATGCAAACTGTTACTTCTAATAATAAAACATTGCTTCCCTTTGTTACAGTATTTACCAAAAATTTACAGATTATTCTTTCCTACCAGTTGAAGCTTTACGAGAATTTACTTTGAAACTGGTAGTAATGAGTTATATTTATTAGAAATTACTTTCTCATCTGTTGTTAGTTTTTTACTGTAACTTTTTCATGAATTTGAATATGCGTCAGCATCCGATATTTATGATCGTTTAAATTAAGTTGCAAAATAATCAGTTCTACGTCACCTTCAGATACTGTTTCAAATTTCCAAAGCAAGGCAGTACATAGTCCTCCTCAGGGGCTTCAAAAAATTACCCTTACGATCAACCTATTATATTTTAAAATCATATGACTGATGCTCTACTTGATTAGAAAATATTTTATAATAAACATCACTGAATTCTGAAGAAAGAAAATGGAAATTAACTTTAATCATGACTGTGGCAGCTGGGATTTATTTACACTTCTCGGTAACTCTCTCGAAATATTGAGATGAATCCAACAAGGCTTCCGAGTAAATACAAAGTATGAGAGCGGCTGTACATGAACTCAAATACAATTTCACATACTAAATCTTGATCATTTCTCAATGCGTAAATGAAATGGTCACAAATCTTCGATTATAATAGCTCCTTTCACTAAGAAAATCATAAAAGCATTGTGATAATAATACGAGTACAACTCAATCTGAATGAGAAGAACTATCAAGTTGCTTTTATATTTTTGTGAGTGACACTATCAGTAGATTCATACACTTACGCGATTTTATCAGGCAGAATTTCTTCCGGAAAACAAGAATAACCGTGCTCCATATCACGGGGGTGCTACTTGAATAAGTTACGGGAGATCTTTCCGCATTATTCATTCAACTAAAGGTAATCCTCATCTGCATTTTCTCATAAAATATTACTCGATGGCTAGGATCTCAATCATCGAAATATTATAATGTAATTTGACATTGTTTACAAGATATTTCATGCTTCTATTATGTACAATAAATGTCTATCTGTTCTTCTTTTGTTTTCTGATTTCAAGAAAACGGCAACAAGAGAAACAGTTGCATGAGTTTTATCGACCATTACTATACTATTTTCCTGCTGTTTCATTACTCGGGAAAATAAGGAGTGACAAAAAAATTACATTGATGCACATTTTAAGTGGGGAAACATAATTTTATCGTAAGAATAATATGACTTGATCAAGATAAAACAACAGAAATTTTTTACACAAAAAGTGAATCTATATGATTTTCGAACCAGATAGGTATCAGTCCGGGGACTCTATTTGAATTCATTGACAAAAACAATAATAACAAAATTAATAAAAATGAATCACTGAATTTTTCAGTATCGAGCAGCCCGCCGCAATTCTGAGAAGAATGGCATAATGCTCAGTGATATTCTTCAATTAGTGTCGGGTATAGTGTGCTTTTATTTTTAAGATGTTCACTATTTTGCTGCAACAAGTACGAACGTATTAAGATCTCAGTCTCAATTAAGTGTGGGTTTGTGTGTATGTATTAGTGGAAGATATTGTTCTCCCCGTCTCTTTATTAAATCACTACTTAACACGTATGGATGTACATACACACAACGACTACACTACATCAGACCAACTAGAACAGAAAGAAACACTCGTATATATATGTCCGTTTCACACATCGAAGGTAAACGAAAGAGAAAACGAATACAAGAAAAAGAAGATAATGTGATCGAAAGATATTGCACCGAAGAAAGAGATATATCTTAATACGTAAAGAATAACGTCGCATCGATGAAACAGAAATGATATTAGGATATGTGAGTGTGAGGGCAGACCCGTAACAGTATGCAATAATTTTCCTTTGTCTAACGTTACATTCCCACTCACACTCTTATTTTTCAAGCCGATTATGCAGCTGATTGTTGAAATAAAGAAACAACTTATCAACAAAAAATAATGTGTACGTTGAGTTAGATTTTGATTGATTATAGATCATATTTGAATCAGTTTTCCAAAACAAACATTTTGTCATGCAAATTTGATAAAGATGGTGCCAAAATGAGAAATAGCTGGTTTAATTTTCTTGTGTTCCGTTTTTAAGTCACTTAGGATATAAATCATCGTATGTATATAATTGCTATACTTATTCAATGTACTTGCATCTAAACTGCGATCACACGTGCGTAGTTTCAATGCTTTCTTTGAGAAATCTGTAGAATTAGTTTAGTAAACTTTATCTTTTTGTGTTTTATTAATGCGAGATGACTACCAGACTATATTTTTAGAAACGTGACTTTAACGAGAAAACATACTCTTTCTTTTTTCTCATATAATTACTTTTTTTCTCGTTTAATTAACTTACTTTTTTCAAGGATTTTCTTTTACAATCAAATTGAAATCTAAACAGTTTATCTGGTTAATTTTTTTTCTTTCTTGACTCGACTATTCTAAGTTGTCGTCTAGCTTTTTACCAAAAAAAGCGAGTAATTTTCTCATGCATACTTTTTTCAATGAGTTTTGTGTGCATTCGATAGACTTGTTCTGCGAGAGCTGGAAAGCATCTTTTTGGTTTATTATTATTTTTCTTTGCGTTTCGAGAGAGTTATTAGAATTTTTAAAGAAGCGACAGAATGAGAAGACATAATTTTATTTTTTCTGCATTTAGTTGCTAGTTCAAATATTTTACTTTACTGACTGGGGAAAACCAAAATGCTTGGTTTACTTTTACTTTTTTTTCTTTCTTTTTTCGCTCAGCTATCCTGAGTGCCAACACGTATCTTATAAAAACAACCTGGATCAATTAGTCGTGTATGCTTTTTTTTCTGTGAACGCGGCCTTGGTTTGTTGGTTTCTCTTGGAGACTGCTGACAGAAATAGTATAGTTAGTTCTTTCTCTTTATCCACTTATCGTTATACTTCTGAACAGATCTTGGCCTTGTTTTTTTTATTGTTTATCTAGTTACTAAGCTAACTTAGATGTGTTCCAAATGAATACTAGTACTAGAAAGAAACTTTAATCGTTCACTGCCAATTTAGTCATCTTGGTAACTTTCAAACACCATATCACATGACATTGAATAAGACTTTTCTGTTCGATTTTGCTAGATTCTATGATTTTCAAAGTTAATTTATCTGCACATCATAAGAAGAATTGTGAAGGAGTGAAAGTTGATAGATATTGAAAGAGCAATAGTTGCAAACATATTCGAGTTTTCAAAAAATGAGTATAACTTATTTTCAAGTTGATTCTCGTTTCTAAGAAATGAAATCCATAGTAACGTTAATTCAAGTATCCATAAGATTCGATTAGATTAGCGAAGAGTATTTTTTTCTTAATTCAGTTCTGAGGGTGACTTTGTAGAGAATTTCAAGGGAAGAACAAAATTATTTGGTTAAGATGTTTTCTCATCACGATTCACGCTCCCTGCTAGTTTTTGAGGCATTTGTGGCGACAAGGAGAGTAAAATAGTCCACTTTACTTTCATCTTCAGGCGTCTTTTGTGAAGCATCGAATCAATTAGTTTACTCAAAAAAATAACCATCCCAACTGATGTACAGCTTTGAAATATGCTTACGAGTTCTTCGGTCACTGTAAAGAAAAATCAATAGAAATCTATATATTTCACAGATGCTTTATTTGATAAATCTTGATTGGATCGATGTAGTAATTAACTTGCTATTTATTAGATTTCAGAATAGTATATGAAGGAGAATAGTTTAATTTAGATTACGCTCATATTGACACACATATCTTAACAGATCGAGAAACATGAAGAATCATTTAGACTTTATACTCTTAATCGAACGGTTTTCAAAGACTATGGATACTAACATTGTGTATTGATAAAAAAATCTAACCATTCATGCATAAACATTACTATCTACACCATCAACCATCGAATTCAGTACCGATTTTGTTACATACAACTCATTCGAAATCATTAGCTACATACGTAGATATATAGAACAATGATCTGTGTTGGATATCTTGAATAGTAGTTGATCCTACCTACCTACTTATATACATATAGGGGCTTATGTTTTGCTTTAAGAAAGTTTCACTGGCAAAACTGAAATAATTTCTATATTTTTGGGGATATCTCCCCAACCCTCATTGTGATAAGAATAATCACTGAGTGTAAGACAATAATTCCAGCCTATTAGTAAAAAAAAACGTATTGTAGTTATGATACGTGCATTTATATCGTCATATTGCAGATTAATGCTACTTCTTTATTTGTCACTGCTTTTGAAGAAGAATGAGCACAGGTTAGTTAACTTATAAAATTTATCTTTCTCTACGTTGATTTTATTTTGACAGATCAAGAACGCCGCAAAGGCAGAGCTATATTTGATGCTTATGTATCTCTCCGTAAAATTGCAGAAAAATATGAGCTGGAAGAAAAGTTGGCCATTCCACGCGTAGTTTTTGTGGGCGAAACTTCATCAGGTAAATCCATGTAAGTATAATAGATAATAATGTGATATTGAATCGATATTTTCCATAAAATCATAAATATATTATGTCAAGTATCGTCTAAAATATTTCAAGTTTTGTTGCAACTGAAAAATAATTAGTATCGAACCGCTGCCCTGATAATTGTTAGAGAATTTCTTTTAAAATTCACGATCCAAATTCTTTCCAATTATAATGGCTCTTACTCATTGATAAGACTTGTTACATCCGATAGAGACACTTAAAATCAATTCTAACTTGCATTTTTACAATGTATTTCAATAAAATCTGCCATGCTATAATGGATTTCTCATTTAAAAGTCAAACCAGATTATACTTAACCGACAAGATAAGTCTATCAACTATATTTAAAATGTGTTTGCTGATTTTCTAGGCTGGTTCAAAACTTTCTTCGTTTTCCTTGTGCATTTTCGCAGAGTGACGTTGGAACACGATATCCCATACTCTATCGTCTTCGTTATAATTCAACATTAGGCGATAATGTTATTCTCATCAACCATCCAGCAACAGTTAAGCGACTACAAGATTTAGCTGAACATTTATGGCACGTCATGGAACAGATTGAACGCGAAGATGGATTTTGTTAGGAAGAATATCTCGTTCATATTGAAAGTAGTCGATATCGGGATTTCGAAATTCTCGATGTTCCGGGATTGATTAGTGGCTCTCGGAATAGTCAACATGCTGCCGCTGTCGAACGGATTACTGAATATTATGTATGTGATCCGACATTCTTAATTGTTCAATTGAAAGAAGCAACACAATTAGGTGTCAATAGTTTCGGAACGAAACGTATTCGAGAATTTTGTCTAATGGATCCTGCTCCTTGTGGATCTACATTGGCTCCAAGACTTGATTATGAAGACTATATACTCTCACGGTTCAAACAAAATTTGATATTTTCATGGATGCACATCGAGATGGTGAACAGGCTAATGAAGATCTACTGAAATTACTTGAACATTTCAATCAACAAACATTATTTGTTAGCATGGTTTTTGATGCGTAAGTAAACGATGATCCGTATAGGCTAAGAAAGGAAAGGAAAAAAACTGTTGATTGATTTAGATATAATTTTGGCAAACATATATATGAACAAAATGCTCAGTATATTGCTGATTTATCTGAATTAGAATTAGAGCATGTTGACAAATAGGTTTGTGGAATGAAAGAATCATCACAACGATCGACTAGCACAGATGAATAATTTAATGAAGAACTATTTCGAACATTGATTGGCATTAACATTGTTCGAGAACGCATTCAAGATATGTGGATTAAAGTAAGTCCTGGCAACTATTTGTGATAAAAATAGAAGATAGTTATAATCAACGAGAAGAGTTTCTACTGATTTTGCAAGAAAAAATGAAAAGAGATAACTATATGATTCATTTTAAGATAAATGAATTTATGTGTTCAAGGAATTTACTTCTATGAACTTTTCACTCTAGAAATAGAAAAGATTATTTATCATCATTTCAACATTATTTTCAGGCATTTCGTAGTGCTATTCCTAAAATTCAACAGGTTCTTCAAGAACTCGTTTATGAACAAGATAAACACTCTCATGTTCTAATGAGTTTAGTCGAAGAAAAAGATTTGAAGGCTATTCGAGAGATCTATCAACGTTATATTCGAACATTTCGTTCGACATTATCCAATTATATTGCTTTTCGTGCCGAAATCAATACTCTCTTTGATGTGGAAACATACAGTCGAACATATGCACAAATCGAAGAAGAATATAATAAATGGTCGCGTAGAATTCAATTGGTATGGCCGGCTCATCAAACAGCTGGACAAATGATCAAGGAATCATTTGAACGACGTCTATACTCATTACCATTACGCTATATCGGTGCACAACATTTTGAACGCATTCGACAAGTATTTTTCTACATGATTTTTAACTTATCAACCGGCAAGCCATCAGCTAGATTGGATTGAATCAGCTCAAGGACTTCTCTACGGTGTCAATGCTGATAATGAAAATCTGGAGAAAGGTACACGTGAACTTCTATACACATACATACGTGAAACATTCCTTATGGGCATCTGTTGGTTAACACAAATTTATTCATTTCTTCTTGAGCATTTTGAACAACAGGTGAATTTGCTTTATTAGCTACGGGTCACGAGAAATTCCTGAGTCTTGTTCGATTAGAATATCATCGAACGACACGTGAAATGCTTCGTCATGCTGTTGAAGCTAGCAAACATGCTCGATACGCTAAAATGGCCTATGCTGCTCATAGTATCTCTCATTATCTTCGAATATTGGTCGAATCATTTCCACCGACTATTCAAACAGCTCAGAAGAAAGAAATTCCAGTTGCTGACACTAATCCTCGCCGATTAATTTATAATAATGAGGCTTTTCTACCTGAAATTCGTAATTCTGAAACGGCTAGTTATCCACCTGCAACACGAAATACAACAAAAGAATTATATTCGGCGATACGAGGTCTATTACTTCAGGATATTACAGCGAATTTCTTTGCTAATGTTGTGATTGAAGTTCAACGCTATGAATCAATTTATATAAAGAATTCTTTACAGCAGCGCCTTGATCAGATGTCAAATGAAGAAATAGCTCGCCTGTCTCAAATTGATGTTGAAGAGCATCTGCGAGAATTTCAAATGATTTATGATAAATTAACTAGTTTAGAAGATGCTTGTGAAGCAACAGAGCGTGCCTGCCAATTATTTGATGGTAAAGTAATTGTTGATTTTGCAAGTAAAAATGATCCAACCAAAACTATCTTTCGTGAAAAACGAAATCGTCGTCATCGCGATATTACGAATAAATTTTATCAAGTTAAACCAAAGAAGGATGATGCTAAAATAAAAGCAGCAGATATTCAATTTAATGCTTTTCAAGATGAAGATGAATATCAATTGAAAATATTGAATGGTGATCATCTAGCGTGTCCAAAACATCTTCAACTGTACCGAGATGATGATTTAAAAGATTTGGAATATGGATTTCTTCCTGGAGATCATTTTCGATCTCACCAACAGAAAATAAATACATCGAGTGAAAAAAACAAACCCACGGTTAATTTATCAGTACCTAAAGTCACCAGTACAGATAAAGTGGAAATTAATGGTGTAAGTAGTATGTAAGATTGAAAGAAAATCCATTTCTTTTGATCTCTTTTAGATATATCTATAGTTAAATCAGATGATTTGCACATCGAAACTAAAGCAAACGATTCTTCTCCTAGGCAAGATCGTGATGAGAATAAAGCAAAATGGTATGACAAAATGAAGCCCAAATAAAAGCTTCGTTACTTCGAAAAATCACACATTCTAGAAACTTTCTCTTATCAGTCAATGATATTTTTTTTATCTCGATTATCACGTATCATTAGCTTTTACTATTAGTGATTATAGATTATTTTAGAAAAATAGCATTGATTTCGATGTATCTATGAACATCATGCAAGCTACTTGAATAACCAGAAATATATGATAAAAAAAGAATAGCTTTTTTTTCTGCACTCGTCCATATAGCAACAAAAATACAAAAATAAAAATTAGCATTGGTTTTTTTATCATGAGCATACAGCGAAAAGTAGACTTTATTGCATAACATGATATACGGATAATAAATAACGGATGCATGTAAAATAAATCAGAAAAAGAGTCTTTCATTTTTGCAGTACTATCGATGTAATAATAATATATGAGATTTGTATTTGAACTTACAACAGATGGGTATAAAATATTATTAACAGAGATTCTGGAAAAATATTCAACTTGAGTTTGGCCCATATGTTATTATATGATGAATTATAATTTTCCAACAAGCATTAAGCTTGCCCATTATTTAGTTTTTATCTTGTTTATTCTCGCACTTATATTACGTTGTCTATATCCACACTATAATGTATATATTATTGTGAAAAGAGAATGTATTATAGTTCTACAGAGCCTTTTTATGGACCCTTCTATCGAATAAAACACAGAATCATCGAATGATTCTGAATATAAACTAGATTTGACAAGAGCTAAATAAATGATTTATCATCAAACCTAAAGTGATGTGTATTAAAGCGTTTTGTACTCGAGACAGACTCTAATCTTGGAATATTCCATTCTTCAATTCGGTAAGACTCATACATGGATACAAGTACGGTTCTCATTTTGATAGTATTTTGAAATATTTCGAACTTTCAAAATCTTAGTGACCGGAATTACATAATCAAGCTGATACACGAAAGTCTTTCGTTGCAAGGCTGACCTCAAAATCGAATAGAGTATTTCTAACGTTGCAGAAACCTTACAAGAACTATGCATAGAATAAGTATGAAATCTATTGTGGAATCAGAAGTGGAGATGTGTTCATAGGCTCAACTCATACAAGACAGGCAATCGCTATTAAGAATATTCTTGACTTTTGTTGTTGTCGGTAAAATAATTTAAATGCATATTTCCTTGACTCTATTTCTCTTATTTTGATTAACGAAACACATTGCACTTCTTATAACTTCGTAATATTTATCTAAGAAAATGTTGATTGTGTCAGGTGATGACAAGTGTAGACCTAAATCAATATTATGCTTTCCTAGTAAATTGTGCGCTTCATTCATCGATGCCGGTTTATTGGCATATAAGTGCAAGGGTGTGAGGGTGAGTGCTTTTCTACTCATCGTATCCACACCCTCAAGAAACAGTTAATATTAGCAGATTATTAGTGATATTTAGATCGATCTATTGTAGAATTGGCTAATATTCACACCCACATCCTCAGTGCCCATGTGAAAGCTCGCAGCTTCAATAACTACTTAAATAATAAATGTAATCTAAAATCTCCGAACTCGATAGTACAAGTGTCAATTACTTCTTTAAAAATCAAAATTGATGAATTTTTCCAAGATTTTTACATCCTTCGTTACAGTAATTTTGTGACGTTTGGAAGCAGGAATAAGGGAATTAATTTTTTCCCAAGCCTTTTGTTCATTCATAGTGAACACCAGACAATAATTGTTGAAACCCAAGTCACGTACGGCAGCTAATAGGCGAGCGCCAGCATTGTCTGGCTGAATCTCCTTATCACGTGTCATGTCCGTAACAATGCGAAATGTAGGCTCATTTTTCAACCGCTCCCCAAACTTACAACGAAGAAAAACCAGTGCGGATTCAGTACTAGCCTTCGGGATGAAGTGAACATTTTTATCCATGCCTATCGTGCCAGCTTTCTCCATGTAATCCTTATTTTCCCACCAGTCATAAAAAATATAATCATCCACCCACATCACTGAATGTTTGCACAGGCCCAGTTCAATTTGGCGCATATATATTTTAGTCTGCCTAGATGATACTTTGACGATGCGAGTTACGAGAAAAGTGGAGTGAGGTGGAAAGAGTACTTCTTCTTCTTGTGGAAAATTAGAAAAATACTCGATACAACGACCTGTGAGAGAGTAGATAATAAAGATGGTGTTGCGACTAGAGAAATTTTCCGGCGGTTGCTCGCCTTTTTTTGAACTGCTAAACTGAATCCAACTCACTAGATTGCCAGGCTTGTAATCGTCTAACTCTGTAGCATCAAGCGTAACTGCACGCGAAGCAATGCCCCAATAGAACTCGATATGTGCCAAGGCTTTGATAAGATAATACATGATAATACCTGCTTCTTTAAACTTATCCGTATTAACAAGTGTTGTTGCTTCCCCATTGCCATGCCGAGCAATGAGAGATGCACTACGATTGACCGTTTGATAAACGTGCGACCCGGTATAAAACGAGAGAACGAACGCACATGCTAGGGCATTTTCTCGATTCATCCCTTTCCTCTTGAAATATTCATAGGTGTCATTACTTTTGGCGTTGTGTTGTTCCATACCGGTCGCGGTCTCGAAACGGGCACAAATTTCACGGAGACGCTCGAATCCTCTATCGTGGACTAATTGAGTTATGGAACTTTGGAAATTGTCTTCAAATACTAAATATTTCTTGCGATTGTTCACCAGTTCAAATGCTTCAACATATAGAGTAAGGTTATCTGCCAAAAGTAACTCACACTTTTCTGAATCAATCTTTTCAGCATCAGGGCAGTCAGTAGTGTGCTGAACAGAACCAATTAATTTCATGTAACAATAGTGCGGCGTATGGGTATTGTCTTCTTTGTATGTATTTCCTTCGAACGTATGCTCAGTCTGAGTTGTCAAAAGTTTGACCGTTTTCATATTTGAGGCACGCCTCTGTAAACGCTCGGCTTCATCTGCATCCATATTGTACACTTGATGAGGCATTGGCACTGCCTAGAAAACAATCGGAATATTATCTCATAGAATCTGCATTTTCTTCTATTGGGAAAATTCTGTTGAAAGAAAAGCGATAAAATGTATAATTGAAATGAATTGTGTGTTTCATTAATCAATCACTTGACTTTTAATCTAGTATTTTACACCGCAGTATTACCGTTGAATTCTCAACACCCGCAAACATTCAGGGATCTTGTTAATCCTTTATAGTCGAAATTTTTATGAGTGTCAAGTATGTTGTTGCATTTTTTTACCAATAGCAAGGTCAAAAAAACTTTTTCGGAAACATTCGCCTTTGCTACATGCATATCTGCCCAAAGGTTCCACAATCGCTTAGATATTTAAACTAAATATATTCTATGTACTTATTTTCTAAACAAATACAAGAAAATATGCCTAACATGGTTGTATACTTGTGCAGTGGTGCTTTATTATCTCTTACACCTGTGGTAATGACTTTTGACCCAAACACTAGCCCACTTTCTTGAAGCAAAAACATCGACCAATAGGTTTATGGTAAATTACCAGAACGAATCGCTAAAGTTTTACAGTGTACATTTCGCAAATATAGAACGGACAGTATGGGAATATGAAACAACTCAATAGCAATTATACCTCTCCATTATATGGATCAATATGAAATATTATGCCGAATATATCGATAACAATATTGAATAGATTCTCTAGGAACTGCTTTGAGTGGTAATCATTCCTAATTCGACCCTTTTTTTTCAAATATTCAGCCTTTAGAATTCGGTCAAAACTATTTTTATCGTGTTGTGAATACCATCATGTGAAAGAACGAGCAATTTCATCCCATCAAAACCATTCAAACTTGGTCAAATATAGATAACAATGATAGACGCCAATGGTATCTATAAACGCATTCTTCTCATGTCTTCTCCGTTGGTGTTTCTAAGACGCTGTAAGATTCTTTTACAATGACTTTTAACCTAACAGGATTAGTACAGGCTTTTACAAGCTATACATTGACATAATTTATATCACAAAGCTTTTCTGCTCAAAAATATTCACTAAGCACGTATTCCTAAAATGCTTAGAAAAATTATTATATAGATTTCTTTCAGCAACTAAGCATATGTAAATCAGCATTATAATACAGAATTGATGTAGTTTTTCACATATTGCTGGCTGGTTTATTTAATATCGCGAAATTTTTGGACTCAAAATCTCTATTGGCCCAGTAAAGCTTAGCTCATGGGAATCACAAGATGAAGTGTGGTTTTTGCTTGAAAGACATCTGGACGAAAGCTCAATGATAGAGCTTCGCCTTATAAAATCGTTGCAGCTTTTCATCCGGTACATGCTGATGTAGCTCCTTTCTCGAAATGGAGAACATAAATTTATTGAGAGGAGACAAAGTTCAAATCAGAGGTAAATCGAGCGTAATGATTTTCTATGGTGTCTAAGACAAGAAAATGAGTGTTGACATCGAGACTTTACCCCTCATGAAATTATTATACACGCAACTATTTGCTGTCGTGAAAATATTTTCATCTGCATCCAGTCTGAATGAGTGCGTGTTCAATGAAAAGAATATGTGCCCTGAGGGTGTGGGTAGGAGAGACGATGAAAGACTGACTCCTACACCCTGCACTATTCCTATCGAAATATTCAGCATAAAAACATGCATTGATCCATACACTGCTTAGCTAAAATTGTTGGTTGACCGTTGCATGGCATTATGCAATCCCTTCATTTCAAAATGATTTTGACAACTTACGTAGTAATACAATGGCCTTACATGATGTTATAAGTATTCTTGAAGCTTAACTGAAAAAAATCCTCTTCCACAACTAGAACAAAGCGACATATGTAGTGTTGGTTTTTGCCGACAATCGTTTCAATGAATAAATAAAATATACTATAGTTAGAAAGAAAACGAATTTAAACAATGAGCAAGGCCTTTTTGGCGGTGTAGAGAGACATCACCTTGCCGGCTTTGTGTTTCATCGGCATCTCTTCGTTGTATGGTGACAGGGAACGAGTCAACAAATGTCAAGAGTTCATTGGGACTGAGCGCTACCAAAATAAAACATGACAGTCTTACTTGCTCGAAGTGACTGGTAATGTCAAACTGCGCGGATACGTACAGTGTTGTGTCTCGCACATATTTGGTTGCGTATCGAATGATAAAAAAAATGAAATTCTACTTTAATTTTTCAGTCCAACTTCTATGAATCAAAACTTTTGGTAAGAATGTTTGTTTAATATGTGCAAAGAGTAAGGCTTTTTAACTATGTTTTGCTATGAATAATCTGAAGAATAATTCATGACTTACCCTTTCCATAGCCACTTTAGTGCCATCAGGAGCTTGTGGTGAAGCATTATTGATTGTACGCTTAGTAGACGTCTCACGTGTGTGTTTGCGTGATCCACGATGGGAATTCATTTAAGATATCTTGTGTTATTGTTTTTTTTCTAAAATAGATCACTGTAGTTAGACGATACTCGATATGAAAGAGCAATTTCGATCAATAATAGAATCCGCTAGTTTAGTTTGGTAGATAAGATCATTTTCTAAACACGAATCAGGAAAAACAAGAATCTGAGAAAAACAAACGAACTCTAGCTTTCAATAAATGTTGAAAATGAGTGATTCAATCAGGCTGTGGATTGTACAACGGAACAACAAGATGGTTCAGATTTCATCTACTTGTAAGATCTTTCAATAGTTTGACTTTATTTGACATACTTCAAGGTACTTTAATATACTATAAAGTATTACAAAAGTATCGTTTTTCTCGGTTGGTTTTTTCTCGACCTCGGATACATCAAAATCTTAGTAAACAGCATAATACGTAAGTACTTCTCGTGAGAAACTCAAGTTAACTGATGGTGCTCATGTCACTGCTCCAATTGGTTTATACTACAGTTACAACCCACAACGAAGATGATAATCGGTTCAATGTTATATCATTGACAGCTTTTATTATGAAAGTCTTTTTTATGTGGTCTGATTTCGGAGGAATTTTTTCCTGCAAGACTAGCTCGAAGTTAATATTATGTAAGCTCGGTGGAGTGGATGTTTGAGATGTGAGGGTAAAGGTACGATAGATCGCAACAAATTGTACTCAGGATAAGTGGAGTTTTGTAAAAACTTGCAGTGATATTTTCTATGTAAAAAAATTGACAACAATTTCTGATTTCGCAGTGACAGATATTTTTATTTGAAATTCAAATCTTAAATTTTAATCCAGTTCATCCAAACTCGACCGTTATTTTTATGCCTCGACAGCATGGAAAAAATTCCATAGGATGGTCTTAAATGTTATGTGTTACTCGAAATACTGAAATTTGTATTATCTACTACTTTTATTATCGGTAAAGTGTAATCGTACTAATAATCAATCTGTTTAATATAGTTGGCATTAACCTTTTTTTTTTGTCTAAAATTACCAGTAATCGGTTTCAATTTTTTTCATGCTGTTCACAAATATTATATTTTGATTACATCGAATTTGAATACTAATTGAAAAAGCATGGAAGTACGTCTGGAATTTCTATTTTTGCGTCTGAACTTCAGACGTGCACAGGACAAGATTTTTTGTCCTGTCCTTACCTGCCCTGCTGGCTAATTTGGTCCTGGCGGGCGTCAGGACAGGGCAAAAATCGAAATCTCATCCTGTCCTGTGCACCTCTCTGGTCTGAAGACAAGAAAGTCACATTTTTCTCGAGTGAAAAATAAATTTAAAAATAGTAATGCATACTTGTATTATTCATGAGAGAGTATCGTAACCAAGGAATAATATATCTTCTAAGAGTTAATACAAAAAATCCTCATAGGTCTACAGAATAAGCTACTATTATTGATACAGTTTTTCACTCGTGTAGTTTAACGAGTATGCATGCAACATTTGATAAAACCAAAAAGCAAAAATATTTCACGATTCAATTTTTTCATAATGGATCCAAATATCGAATGGAAGATCAAACAATTTGTAATGGTCAAAATTTTTAAAATTAATTTCAAAAGCAGCACCTTTCGTAGCGATTTTTACATCCCTTCAGCTTATGAATTTTTTATCTGGGAAAATCTTATTCGAAAGGAAAAATACAGACTTGCCTTAAACAGTTTCAAAGACTTTAATCTATTACTGCTAATATTAAATAAAAATAAAAACTACCCAAACTTCACATTAAGCGCTCCTTACAAGTTTTGTTTTGTATAATCACAATAGATCGTGCTCGATATTTTATCGGTGACAACATTACTTAGCTTTTTTCTCGTATATACGTTTACGTGCATCGTCTATGCAGACGACAATTTCTATCAACTGACAGCTTTCTACATGAATGAGTTGGCTATCGCATACATTTCTTCCTCTTCCTTTTTTACTTTTTTTGCACGACGTCTCAAAATGAAGAGACAAAATATAGTCGATATTTGTAAACACTAAAGCATGATGCTCGACTCGCGAAATATTTTTTTGACAGTCAAGTAAAAAATGGTAGTCGTTTTATTTCATATATAACACATTAACACATACTTTTGTTTTTGTTTTACGTCGCTTTTTTTAGGATACTGACTCGTTCTGTCGACCGTAAAGAACTTGTTTACTGGAAAGTCTCGGTTTGAGAAATTCTATTTTATATTTCAATGAATACGAATCTTCAATCAAATTAAACTGATAAAATTCAATTGCGCACATTATTACTATATTTAAGAAAAAATAAATATTGTATTTATATTTTGTAAAAAATGGAAGTTAAAGATAATAGTGAAATTTTCCCTTTTAACAACAATCAACAAATAACAGAATTTCCTAAATTTAGAATTGAGCACACTTTATATAGAGCTAATCAGTCCAACCTTATCTGCGATACAGAAATTTTAATACAGCAACTTAAAATCCTCATGAATGAGTTCTAGACCGAAATAAATGCTAAGATTTCAGCTCAACAACTATGCGACGTGAAAAACGACACATAATTGAAAATATGTATGAACAAAAGCAATGGTCCCTAGGCTTATCATATCTCAAACGCACTACAGAAAAATAACGCATTACATTATTTATACTTGTCATACACTACGATCCGAGATTCCACTTCGCATGCAGACTTTTTCCAACCATCGTTCCATACATCCACTTATCTGCCTGACACGCTAAAAGATTTCAAAGTAATTCATATCTGAAGGCAAATTACGTAGCGTGAAAAAGGTCTTTTACGCTATAACTCCTGAAAATATATCATCTCACATGCAAAGAGCACTCTAATTCCGCCGCTTGAACCTTGAGAAAGCGGATGTCCAAGATAGTATAGTGGCTAGTGTTCCCGCTTGTCGCGTGGAGGACCAGGGTTCGATTCCCTGTCGTGGAGATTTTCTTTTTGTCGATATGATGCAATCTCCGTTTGCAACAAAAACCAGAAGAAACACGTGCAAGATTCAACTACGCACATACATCTTCGTTTCTTTGTAGTTTCTACGTGCTCTTTTCAGTGCCTTCAAGACGTGCACTGTTGTTTACTGTCGATGTGTTCTTCCGAGCACTGAAAGAAGCTTGTTCCTATGAATCATGCGCAAACTGAATCACATACCATTGAACTTCCGTACAAGCCATCTTTTCTACGGTCAATGCACTTTTTCATTCAATCGAACTTTCGTTGATTATATTCCTTTATGTCGAAATTTGACTGGAATCTGTCGAGAAGATCACGCTCATAAGAAAGGGCATGTCCACGATAGTATAGTGGTTAGTATTCCCGCTTGTCGAGTGGAGGACCAGGGTTCGATTCCCTGTCGTGGAGATTTTCTTTTTGTCGATATGATGCAATCTCCGTTTGCAACAAAAACCAGAAGAAACACGTGCAAGATTCATCTACGCACATACATCTTCGTTTCTTTGTAGTTTCTACGTGCTCTTTTCAGTGCCTTCAAGACGTGCACTGTTGTTTACTGTCGATGTGTTCTTCCGAGCACTGAAAGAAGCTTGTTCCTATGAATCATGCGCAAACTGAATCACATACCATTGAACTTCCGTACAAGCCATCTTTTCTACGGTCAATGCATTTTTTTATTCAATCGAACTTTCGTTGATTATATTCCTCTATGTCGAAATTCGACTGGAACACGTCGAGAAGATCACGCTCATAAGAAAGGGCATGTCCACGATAGTATAGTGGTTAGTATTCCCGCTTGTCGAGTGGAGGACCAGGGTTCGATTCCCTGTCGTAGAGATTTTCTTTTTTGTCAATATGATGCAATGAAGAGTTGCTTGGTGTTTTCGACGTGAAGCGGCTGGGTTCGCTATATTGTAAGAATCATAAATTGTGGTTGGGTGGGACAAGGTTAATTTTTGAGAGTGATATTGTGTGGTTAGTATTGTATCTAATGGGCACTGGAATACAAAAAGCTGGCCCAGAATCCGGCTTGTGAGATTCGTATCTGAGTACTGTTGAGGTTAAAGGAGAAGTATAGGGTGTGCACACAAAGGAGATGTGAGGTATGACAAATAATTGCTAGGCTTTAAGGACTTGACTCAAAAAGTCTGTGTGAGGTTTTCTGCTTTGGTACAGTCTGTAATGATTTATAGTAGACGTTGTTGAAAAAAGAGAAAACCCCATCGTAACGTTTGATAGATACTGTTCCGATTTCTTAATTGCGCTACGTACATATTTTTCAAGATGTCGTGTTTTCCATGTGTGTTTTTCTGTTGTGTGAGAATTGATATTTCACTTGTTTTCGAAATTTCTTTGCTAGAAGAATGTAGTGCAAAGTCTTGATGACAATTTTTTTAAATGAATAAATTGAAAGCGTATACAAAAATAACTATTTCTTATCAAGATTGATATAGGAAACAGATTCTGTACAAATTGAAAACAATTTCGATTACTGAAGAGCAAGAGTTGCCGGGGGTTATAAACCGATTTGCGGTGTTAGACAGATACTGGCGGATTTGATTTTCGACTGTGGTAGCTGCAGCATCGCTACTTTAGCTTCGCTTGTACGAAGAAAAAAGGATAAGATATATGAGCAATATATTTTTTGTTTGTGTGTGAAGTAGATGAACACATATGCTTTTAAGTTCTCAAGTAAACACAAGCATCAAATAGAAAGAAAAACGTTTAAATTATATTGGAACAACATGTTTACGTGTCCCTGTCATCAACGGTGAAATGTACAGGAGAAAGATATAATTATCTGTGTCAATGTGAACGAGGAAATGAATCAAGGGTGAGTCCATGGAGAGCCATCCACTGTTTTGGAAAGACGTTTTTTTCGATTTTGTTTCAGTTCAAACTTCCCGTATGTTCTAGAAGGTACGTTTGATGAAAACAAAATATGGTTCTTCTAGCGGAAAATATCGAGTTTTGATTGACTTTTTCGGAAAGACTAACGCATATTGTCAGACATAGGAAAAACGCCAGGAACATACCTAAAACATCTTTTTCAGAAATTTTTTCATGCTGAAAAATATGAAAGTTGCCTAGAAACACTTTTCCTAAAAAAAAGCTAGAACATTTCTATTGAACGTCTTGAGTTCTGAGTTATTTCTTTTGAAAATAACGATAACTGTCGTTTGTCATGTTGAGTGACACTAATTTATTTGAAGGATTTTCATTAGGCTAGTGATAAAGATAATGATGCCCAGGATGATATATCGTTGTTGCAATACATGACCTCAGGTATGTGATGACATCGGACTTACCCAGTGGCGGGCGGAGCCACTGGGACCCATGATGCTTGAGCCTCACCTAGATTTCACAAGATGAGGCTCAGCCTCACTTACTTTTGTACTGAATATTGTTATTTTTTATTCTTGTATCAAAGCAGCAGCAAAAAAAGTTTTTCTTGGTATTTTTCAATCATCTTTTTTATACTGGCCATTTTTATTTTTACTGCAGCTCAATAAAAAGAAGGGTTGTTTTCTGCTTGATGCGTTCATAAAATTCCACGGTAGAAAAAACATATTATGAGCCTCACCTAGCTTAATGACGCTCCGCCGCCCCTGGATTTACCCCGAACCATCATATTGAGACTGAACGAATCTGGCATAGTAGGAAACTAAGAGAATTTTTCGATGTGTCGGAGTGCTGAGTATCACTGTTAAGTTTCATTCCTCAAAATCAGATACATTGAAATCGGCATAAAAAAGAAATTTATTTAAATGTAAATGTCCTGATGTGTATTGATCCGGATGTTGCACGATATTGAACCATTGTGTGACTAATCGGTTGGAATTCATGCGTCATTCGAATCCCTCGTATTGTATCGGAGGATGTGTAGGTGTTGCTCTTCTAACTGCTTCACCCATACCCATCATAAAGAGTAGAGTCTTCTGTCAAGGCTTCATCTTCAATGGGACTCTCATTATCGCTTGATTCCATTGATGAACGATTCATCATTTCATTCCATTCAAATGTATGACATCTTGGGCATAACCAGCGTATTTGGTCGTCAGCAGCGTCATATCGGAAAATCAAAAACATGGATAAACGTGTCGATACAAACACTACTTCTTTGGGTACGCGAGTAGAATTTGCATGTTTTGTCGGATGTTCACAATACTTTCGTTTGGGCATTGAGATACAATTTATAAAGAAATCAGAAAAAGTACTAGCCGGTAATCGACCCTTTCCATTATCCGATGATTCATCTCGTAATATTATTTGTCAGAAGTCACGATATTTATACATAAGACTTCACATTTAAAGATGCCCTTACAATGAGATCGAAAATTTATCTGTCGGTAGTATGTTGTCCCTTTTGATTCTGCGGTCTGACTTCTATGAGACGATCTGTTGCCGTTTCTCTCGAGTTACGTGTGCGAAGTCATTAGTTTGACGCCGTCCTAAGAGCAAAGCATGATCAAGGTCGTTTCTTTTGCAAAGTCTAATGAAAATCCTTCAAATAAATGAGTGACACTCAACATGACAAACGACAGTTATCGTTATTTTCAAAAGAAATAACTCAGAACTTAACAAGTTCAATAGAAATGTTCTATCTTTCTTTAGGAAAAGTGTTTCTAGGCAACTTTCATATTTTTCAGCATGAAAAAATTCAGAAAAAGATGTTTTAGGTGTTTTACTGGCGTTTTTCCTACGTCTGACAATATACATTAGTCTTTCCGAAAAGATCAATCAGAACTCGATATTTTTCGCTAGAAGGACTATATTTTGTTTTCATCAAAAGTGTCTTCTAGAGCATACCGAAAGTTTGAACTGAAACAAAATCGAACAAAACAGCCTTTCCAAAAAGATGGATGGCTCTCCATGGACTCACCCAAATATAAGCATCGATTATGCAGCTGAGAGAAACCCATTAAGACTAAAAGTGTTGTTCTAAATTCCAAGTGGTTCAACGCTAAACAATTTCATCGAAATCAAAGTTTTCGATAGGGGAAAATCTAGTTCAATAAAAAGTCTTGAAATACTAACTTTCTTTTAAATAAAAGATAGTAGAACAATGGCATAGAAACAATCAAATTCTATCTCATGTCCTATTTTTTTCTCACATTTTAACAAGAAAAGCACGTAAATGAGTTTGGTAGAATATGTTTAAACTTTAAATAGATTTGTCAAAGTCAGTTGGCAATACCTTGCGCATTGCTATTCCCATGGCCAGTACAGAATGGAAAATCGAAACTCAAAAGTCACGACGTGGCTCAGTCATTCGAGAATTTGTTTTGCCGTTCAAAATGATCTTCGACAAACCAATGATAATGGAGGCGTTGGAAAGCTTACGTTAACGAGGGAACATTTCCAAGTGTGAACTTGAGTTTTAAATGGAGCATGTACCAGTTTGTAGACCTCGGCGAGTTTATGCTTGTGGTATGCTCCATTTGTGCGCATAGGCCTCAGATGAGAAAAATCAATCGATTTTAATAGTGAATTTCTTGTCTAGATAAGTTGTAAGATATTTGTTAGGAAAGCAAGAGATCAAGGCTATTTGAAGTTCAAATCGTCGTATTAACATAGACAATGACACGTGCAATATATTTGAGTGCACTTCAATCAAATGTGCTTCAAATGTGCTTCACGAGTTATTACTGTTAGTACGAAATAGTGTGAGAATACGATAACGATAGTTCTTTTCGTTGTTTAGCTATGTACTCATGTTACATATCCCTTATTTTCTCATTCTTTCTAGTATATTCTAATTGGTTCTTTCTGTTCTATGCTTATCGGCTATCAAAAAATTATGTTACTTTCTAACATTTTCGAGCGAATTCTTCCATCTTCTTTCGAATCTGTATATATCCGTCATTTGGAAAATAGTCCATGATAAATCATCTGATTTATATTCTCTCAGGTTTTGCTTCATCAAAACTTATTTCTCTATGACAAACGTCGTTAACATATATGTAAACATTTATATGAAAAAGCATTAGAAAGGTCAAGTGTTCATTTAATAAGCACCACAGAAGAAGAGATATCGATCGCAATCAATCTGCTCGATCTATTGGAAGACCTTTCCAACAGTGACAGTTTTACAATAGAGACAGAAGATTCTCTCGAAATTTCTGGTGTCGATCATTTTGACCCTGACTATCCTGTTGAAATCGCAGATGATGGAGAGCAACGAGTAGGTGAAAATCGTCAGTTCAGTTTAGAATACATGCAAAGGGTTGTCGATTTCGCTCGCTCAGGTATTGCTTTTGCAACCGTACAGCATGCTTTTCGACGAGTTACACATCCTATGCAATTAAAGCGATTTAGAGAATATGTTGCAAATAATGGAAACTGTTGGCAAAAATTGGAGCGTGTAGAGCATTTTGTACTTGATAGATTTCGCTCTGCTTGTGATAACAATGTACCTGTGCACGATCTTGATGTGAAGCGATGGGCTCTATTCCAAGCAAAAATAGAAAATATAGATGGCTTTAAAGCAAGTGACTATTGGCTTCTCAATTTCAAAAAACGCAACGGTATATTTTCCAGAAAAGTGACAAAATTCGTTTCTCATCGAGAAGTTGTTGATAAATCTATAATTAAACAAACTGTTGATGATTTTGCCGCTGAAGCAACCAAAGAATATACCAAAATATTAGCTTGATTTTGTGCTAAATGCCGATCAATCCGGTTTTAATTACGAAATAGTTTCGAACCATACACTATCTTATGCAGGAGAGAAAGCGACTTATCTATCAGTAAAATCTTTGAATGCTATAAGCCTACACACAACCAGCATCAATAGATGCACCCAGGTCGAACATTACGATGACCTGATACGATCGTAAACGGCCGCATACGGCAACGATTACTACCGTTTTATAACGTTTCCGACCGTAAATCGCCGTAATTTGACGTTTTGGCATGCACCGTATTACGGCGTAATGTGGTCGGATATTTCAGTACCCGATCGTGTATGGCACGAAGCAAAACGACCGTAATAAGGTGCATACCAAACGGCCGTGTACGACATAAGTTGATCGACCCGGGCAGTTGATGTTATTTCAAACGTCGGTAGTCATACAGGACTGTGGATTGGAATCAGTTTCTTATCAATCATGGAGTTCATAGAAATGCTTTATCGTCTTCTTCGATATCAATATCATGCAACTAAAATTAAAGTACAAAACAAGTTAAATACCAAACAACAAATCGTTGCATTCGCCGAGAAATAATTCCGATGGGTTCATTTGAATTTTCAAATATTACGAGTTTTATTTTAACAAAAACGTTCACTCAGGATTGTAGTGTGAAATCAAATTAAAAATATATTTTCTGTAATCATCAATACCGATTTCCAGACACAAAATCAATTCACTAGAAAGTAAATAGAATAAGTATTGAATACAATTTAAGTTTTAGTATAGATATTTATCTGTGCATGATCATAATACTTTATTCTCTGTTAGTGTTACTAATCAGTAACAAAAAATAAATCTGTATTCTATGATAGTATTCGAATGAATAAAAACAAAACTCATATTATATATAAATGATATACAAGAGGAAGAAGAAGAAGAAGAAGAAATTCTTCTATTGACAAATACTACATACAAAAAAATAGCTCCGATCATCGTTTTTTCCATGTTTTATCTTTAATGTTTGTTCTTTGACTTGAAAAATGTTTTAATGTCAGATAATTTCGATACCACATTGACCAAACACTTGAACATCGATATTCGATTCCATTTTCTTTTGTCCATTGTTGAAGAATTGATCTTACGCGTACATAATTATATTTTGGCATCGTTGGAAATAGATGATGTTCAAGTTGATATTGCATTCCACCCCATAGCCACTCCATAAAAAAATTATTACAATATGCATCGCAAGTTGTTAAAAATTGTGTTTCAACAAATGGATAGCGTGAATCAATTAACATTTCTTCACTTTGATGTGTAGCCGTGACGATACAAGCGACAAGAAAACCTCCGAAAAGAATAGAACCAAATGCTACTTGCCAACCAAGCATATAAAGCCATAGATAATTGGGTATCATTAAAATAAGTTCAAGATATTTAAACGTATACAACGAATGTTGAAACGATTGCCATCGCCAATTTATATATAATAAGGAATATACCGGTATAAAATACCAATGTTGATAAGCTCGAAACCATACATCATTGTCTTTCGAAGGAAAAAATAAATGAAATATGGGTTCCGTATCTACATCAGTATCAATGCCAATATTATTAGTATAAACATGATGTGTATTATGTTTATGTGACCACCATGTTGGACTAAATGCATTGATAGAACCACTTAATATTCGGCAAAGCCATCGCATCCATATACCACGTCCATGGCCATAATCATGGCCAATCCAGCCAGCTTGTTGCATGCCAAATCCAATGAGAAGTATACCTAAAAGATGATAACCCCAAGAAAAATGACAAAACATACCAAATAAACATAAAATATAAACTGATACGTGATAGAATAATTCCCAAAATAAAGATCGATTAAAATATCCATTCTTAATTAAATTTTCTCGTAATAATCGAAATGATAATGTAAGATTAGTCGGTTCTATTGTTGGTAATAACGATTGAATATGAAGAGATGAACATGGCTTCAAGCACGAAAGTCTTTTAATCGCCTCTTCGCTATGAAGAGAATAGAATGCATCTGTAGCATCTCTTCGATTTAAATTTTGAAGAATATCTGAGCCTCCTGGATGTTGATGTTGCCATTGAGTAAGATCATACCATTGACCGTCGATAAACAAATATAAACGATCGGCTAAGTTAACTGTCGGTTGTATTGAATTTGTCGATGTACAAAAGTGACGTTCTATTTCACCATTGGGAGCCATAGTTCGATTTTGATGACGCACGAATGATCTGAAAGAAGGACATGTTGATCATACACTCATATATATATATATATATACACAAGAAATTCTCATTGAGATATAAAAGAGTGAAGAGAAACAGGACGAAACAAGATGCATGATAAGATATAGTATTAAATAATAGAAAAGAAAACCATAGAAAGTTTTTCTCTTCTTTTTAATGTTGTTAGTGTGATTCTTAGCAATCAAATAGAACTGAAAAGATTATTGTTCGTATTTGATTAATCATGATGTAGAAACAAGAATTTTCTTTTGTGTTAATACTTCCATCCGTCGAGTATTCACTTGAGAAATAAAACTAATTTTATACTTTAATTAAATTAAATTACTATTAGTACCTGAATTGATGACGTACATTTATACGATATTGACGTTTATGATAATTTTTAAAAAAACTTCATCTTATCGTTGACCTTAATTTAAAGTACTTAAAATAGAGAACTTTTTCTTTTGCTCGATAAATTATGATTAAATTTTTGGCTTTTTAATTTGATGCTCGAGATATCAATGATAGGCATCAACAATTTTGATTTTAAAATAGCTTGGATATTTGATAGAAAATATAATAGATAAATACGTCAAATGCAAATATAATCGTTATGGTAAACATTCATAACGAACGATTTTACGTCATAATGTTTTTGCATCATTATCATTTTCTTCTTTTTCTTTTTCTTTTTCTTTTTAACAAATACGCTGAAAATGAGACACACTACTTTTTCTTCTTCTTATCTCCCTAATGGTTAAACCATTATATCAAGTGGAATAGCGTGATGAAAAAATGTATTATTCATGCTGACACAATTATTCTCGTGTAATTCTTTTTTCTACTTCACGTCGCAAAAGTAACTGGAGAACTGTAAACGTGTGCTCTTTTCAACTTGCTCTAAAGTCAACTAACATAGCTCTTCTAGATAGAAACTATTTTAAAATATAAATGCATGACAAGTTGAATTATTCTTAATTTTAAAACTTATAATGTGCCATTTGCCGCATGTGACTCAAATAAATGGCAGCCATCAGTAGACTCTTTCTAATACGAATATAGAGCGAAATAGTGTTTCAAAGATTTTCTAAATTGATTGACATGACGATTTGTACGCAAGTAATAATTGTAAAACAAAACAAATTTTCGCTACGGTAATATACAACGTGCAAATGTTTCAAATAAATTTAGATTTACAGAGGATTGTTTTGCTATACAAAGCATATACGTATTTTGCAGTAATTATCTATCGCGATTGCTATGCAACTAATCGCATAGCTCATTCGTGTAAATAAATATGAAACAAATCATTTCACTAATGGCATGTACTTCTGACAGCAACAATAAGAAGTAGTTGAATTATTTTAGTTCGTGTTTTTGAATTGCAGCGATTAACAAATCATAGATTTAGACCAGCGACTTAGCCAATAGATAGATTTTTTTACTCTATATTTGAACAATGTTTTTTATATGTAAAATAGAGTGACATGATAAGACAAATGATTGTCATAGAGAATTTTATTTCGTACAATTTTTTTCTTCTTTCAGTTTTGAATGATCCCCGTTGAACTTCTATATATTAGTACTGATTTTAGAGCAAGGAAGGTTGAGTAACGCTTTCTTGATACTAGATTATTTTAATCGATTCAAGCTTCAAAGTATACGGCATAGGAACATAAATTCATCGATCTCAAAATAAATTATGATTAAATGTTTTCATTTTCTACATCGACCCTCGTATACTTACTCGTGAAAAATCATGCAAAACGCATGAAATATGTTGACTGAGAAGATATTCAAGTAATTTCATCAGGTTTTGATTAACCCGTACACCATCACGATATCCAGTCATGGAGATGTCCAGTTTTATTTGAATTATACCGATATTCATCTAAACGAAATCCATTTTCTCGCTCAATTTGTCCCATTCATTGTTGTAAGTATTTAACTAAATCTTGTCGTTGTTTGATAAAAATAACATTATCGTATACGATGGAACATTGTGTTTCAACATCACTCTGCAAAAATGCACATATTGGAAAACGAAGAAAATTTTGAACGAACCTAGAAAATCAACAAACACATTTACTTCTAATGAGAAATGAAACCCATTGGAAAAGCTACATAAATGAGAATAGATTTTCAGTATCATGTTAGCTTTATTTTTTGATCGTGTTCGATTTGCTCTCGACTTCTGAAAGGACAAGATGACGAAGAAAGATAGTGTTTCTGCGAAGTTATCAGCTATCAACTCTTTTACAGGGAAAGAAAATTTTGTTCTTTGTCCTGCTTCTTTCCTTCTTTTCTTATGTCAAGTATTTCTTCCACTTACTAATTATATTTATGCTTCCATAAAAAAAGACTTTCACACAAATAATCGAGGGAAATCTTCCTTACAATTCCTATCTTTTTTATCCTACAAGAAAACTATCATAATTATGCTACTAACTAACTTTCTATCTATACGAGCAACGAAGTAGTTTTTCAAAGTGTTTCTATTAATTGGAATGGCTATTAGTTTTTTTTTATACACCATCGATTGAAGAAAAGGATAGCAGTGTAGTAACATTAACGACAACAGCTGCATCAACAACTAACGCATTACCAATTATTTTGATCAATTAGTTACTCGCTATAATATAGAAGATGATAACTTGAAACTCATGAATGGTTTTTTTCTGGAAATTTAAGACGACGCTCGATACGTACGATATATAGGATGACAGATCTAAAAATCTATTCACATTTCATTGTTATGACACTCAGTCCAATACTCAGATATATCACACATTGTAGCACAAAGCAATCTATGAAATATCATTAATGAATTAGTTACTTTTTCAAAAGTGAACTGTCTCTATGCATCTCGACCATATAATAATAATAATACTGGCATAATTTGACATCTCATTGAAACATTTCTTATTCAAAATTGATGCCATGCTATTTTTCCACTGTAGATAAAAATCTAACTTCAAATTCGTAATATCATCATTGTCTTCAACTGTAGTTCCTAAAAACTGGATTTGTGATAGCTTTTGACATCAAAAGGGAGTTAGACACCAGTACTGCCAAATTCTAGCACTTATTTTGATTCATCATTTGAGAAAACTATCAATCGAAAACATGGCGTATGAGCTACGAAGTCAACTTAATCTATTGTTAACGGTTGTTATTGTTTTGTCTTATTTTACAATTGTGGTCGCAGGCAGAATGCCGTACATCCAAGGTGGACGTTACAATGCTGAGACTAACAAGATTGAAATGAATATTAGATGCACTGAAGGTTGCACCAAACATAAATTTTCCCTTAAAATCGAACCATGTCGTTAAAGTTATCCTGTCCAATGTGGTGCTTCGCTAATGGATCCTACACAAAACGATCGATGCAAAACAATAATTCGTCGCAAGATCTCCATTAGCTTGGCTGAAGCCAACTTGGATAGCAAGTATTTTACACGTGCTTCAATCCGAACCCGAGGTGACTATAATACAGAAGTTTATATCACTCTACCACTTTAATATTCATTGCAGAAAGTAGCCTTGACTCGATTCTTACGTGTACCCTTCTTATAATGTTGGTTCATCGACATTTTTTATGCTCATCATAAAATTACGAACCTAATGTTTTGAACTGTTCATCGGGCTTTCAAAACGTAACACGAATCTGTTTCTCAAATGCACACTTTCTACTTGTACAGAAAGACTAAGCTCACTTATAACGAGAACATGTTTGAACAATATTTAAAACAGCAAAGATTGATATGTTCTATTGAGAAAGTTTTTTTTAAAGAAAACTGCACCATTTTCTTTAAAAATGTAAAAGAGAGATGTTGCGTTGTGCAATTTGTTTTATGGACGATCTTCTTCGAGAGTTTCTATTTTGTTCTATTCTTTTGACTTTGCCTGTTACACATGATTGTCAAGTGAAGAAAGAATGAATAAAAACTCTGTTGACATCGCATTTTCTTTTTTACTTGCATAAGAAGAACAAGCAAGCACACGTCGACAAATATTTTCTATACTGGTACACTACACTAAAGAATGGTTGATATTTTAAATCAACCTTCAAAACAAGCTATCAAAAACAAGCAGAATGTTCATCTGATAGCTCTAGATGATAATCAAAAGTTGAATAAAATAAAACCACTGATATTTACAATGAATCCGATTGCGCAATTCTACACTGATATGTAACAATGTATTGATGCAATTACAGAAATGGTCGATGAACAATTGTTCATTATTGTATCGAGCTCATTCGCTGTAGAATTTCTTCCTGTAATCCATGATCTCCGAGTTGTAATTGTTATTTATATCTTTGATACTCTAAAATAATCAATCGTTTTCAATGAAAAATATTCAAAAATCATCGATATCGTCTCGGATAAAGAGACACTTCGTCTATATTTGCGTAGTAGAACACGATAATTGGAAAGAATGCCATTGACTTTTAGTCTATTTAATCAAAAACAAAAGTCAACGCGAGATCTCACAAAAGAATCGGCTTCGTTTCTTTGGCATCAAATGCTGCTTTATGTTTTCAAACAAATGCCGCATAATGATCGTATGAAAAATGAAATGCTCGATCAATGTGTTGATCACTATCGAAACAATCAAACGGAATTAGAAACGATTGAACAATTTCGAAAGAGTCATACACATGATCAAGCAATCAGTTGGTGCACGGATGAATATTTTCTCTATAAACTTCTTAATCAAGCCTTACGTACCGAAAATATACAATTACTGTATTCATTTCGATTTTTAATTATTGATCTTTGTGGCGAACTCGAACGAGACAGTAACAAGATCAAGAGTAAAGGTCGTCTCACTGTTTATCGTGGACAAATGATGCATAAAGAAGAATTACAGAAGCTACAACATAGTATGGGTGGATTGATATCAACGAATGGATATTTTTCAACTTCACGTGATATTAATATTTCACTAGGATTTTTATCAAAATTCAATTCGACCAACGAACGAGTTTTCTTCGAAATTCAGGCTGCTCCACAAATAACTGGTGTCGTTTGTACTGATATATCGGCGTTGGGCTCGATTCCATATATTTCGATTCAACACAAGATGCTTCGAAAGTGCAACTAGTTGCCAGTGATCAAGGCGTAGAGAAAGTCGATGATTATGTTACATGGCTTCAAATTGAAATCGACAATTCTAGTCCATTGCTTTATTTCGGTCGACTTCTTTGGAGCGAACTGGGACAATTGACACGAGCAGAAAATTACCTACCTATGCTTCTTGATACGCTACCAAGTGATCATTCAGATATAGCATTAATCTATCTCTAACTAAGTCATGTCAGCGATGAAAAAGATAACTACGATTTAGCACTGGAACATGCCGAACGCGCGTTACACATTCGAAAAGAACAGAAACCCGTTGATCAAATTCGTCTTGCTAGCACATTGAATGGCATGGGCGTGATTTATAAAAATAAGGGCGATCTAGATCGTGCCAGTGATTATTATCAACAGTCATTGGCGATATATGAAAATGAAGTATCAAGTGGTAACATATTCATCAAGTGAATACATTAACAAATTTAGGCATTGTAAACAAAGACAAACGTAATTTCGATATAGCACTGCAATATTTCAATCGTGCTTATGAAATTTACCGAGAAATTTTACCTGCTGGTCATCCTCGTCGTGCTCATGCCTTGTCAAATATTGGAAGTATCTATCATCATCGGGAGAACCTGGAACAGGCTCTTAGTTTCTATCAACAAGCTCTAGATATTCAAGATAAGACCTACCCTGATGATCATCTAAGAAAAGTAAATACGATTCGAAATATTGTTCTCATATATCGTGATAAACAAGACTGGGACAATGCCATGAATTGTCTCAATCGAGCTTTGAACATGTATCGAAATGTCTTAGATGACAAATCGCATCCAAGTATTGCAGTGTGCCATAGTGATATTGGTCATGTGTACGAAAAGAAGGGCAATTGGGATCAAGCACTCGATTATTATCGACGACAGTTGAAGATGGAAGAGTTATGTCTGTCGATCGATCATCCTCATCTCGGCCTACATTTTGATTGGATCGTCAACATGTTGAAAAAGAAAGGCAACATCGATGAAGCTAAACAATTATGTCAACAAGAATTGAAGAAGTTGCCAGATCTGTTAGGTAGCGACTATGCAAATCATTCAAGATACACTCATACTTTAGTTTCATTAGCAACCATATTAGAAGATAGTGATTTCAATAAATCACAGGATTATTATAAACAAACGTTTTCAGTACTCGAACGACAGTCACGTTCAACAGCCCATCGAGCATATTTATCAGTCATAATAAATTTCTTTTGGAAGAACAATATGTATACGATCAAATGTGAGTTTATCAATTGAAATTAGTCGATTTTCAGCGTACTAATCTATCGTCGAATAATAAAGAATTGCCTGTTTCATTACGTGGTTTAGCGCGTCTCTATCAAGCAATGAACAATGATAAAGAAGCAACTAAATATTTCAATCAAAGTTTGGATATCTTCCAAGTTATTTACGGACCCGAATATAATCATGTTAAAGAAATTTCAAATGAGTTAGATCAATTAAAAGACTCAGTAACTATTTCTAATACTGTAGACAATGAAGAAAATGACATTAATCATCATTATACCACAAAACAACCGATGCCTGATCATCGATTCGAAAGTTGCGTATATATGGGAGGGACAAAAAGTTCTGCTGGTACACTTCTGTGAAATGATGTTCAATGTTAGACTCCAAGAAGTCTTGCTAACTGTGAAATTCATCATATTTTCCAAAAGAATAAAAAATTTAATGCGAGATCATGATGCCAAAAGAATATACATACAAGGCAAGATATATCCATAATAGATTTTCTTATTATTGATGTTTGCTTCATCTAAGTAAGAAATAAAAAATTTGAAAGAGGATTCATTTCTTCAGAGATTGTGTAGGTAATGAAGATACTAACACCCCCATCCTGCTTCCATTAGAAAACTGCGTAGCACTATAGACAAAACAAAGCATTGAAATCAGCATGAAAGTTTTCTGAGTGGTTTCCTTGTGTTTTTTTTTGTAACGTAGGAGATTATGTAAGATTTTCTCTTTTAATTTCTCTTGAAAAAAAATAGAATTTACTATTGCTGTATCTCAATGTTTATTGTTCCTTACCATCATTTTTTCAGTGACAATTTACTACCGAAATCGGATCTTCTTACTGGTGGCGACATCTAAAATGCAATCTGTTGATTTTATTTCCCTAGTAATCCAATCAACGGAAGAAATACTCATCTTATCTTATCTCTGACGCCAGGCACACCAAAATTCGGCAGAATTTATTCTGTTTTAATTCAACAGGCATTCACACCAAAAACTTAATTTATCAATGAAAGCGTGAAAAAAATCCTCTTTCATCCATGTAAAGTGCAAAGTAAAAATTATTAATGCATGAGAAGTGTCGCTAACACACGCGTGCGCTTAATAATAGATCATTCTCCAAAGCATTATTAATAAATTAATGAAATAAAATCTATTTTAAAATAGATTATTAGATCAAGAACAAGCTACTATATTACAAAACATGAAAAAAAATTTACCATGTATTTCTTTTTTATTAAAAAACTTTTATAACTATTTAAAAACAGAGAAAAAAATATTTACGAGATAAAACTATAGCGAAAAAAATTATAAAGCATTCACTAGAAAAAATTCTCCAGCGTCGCGCTCGAAAAAACGCAGGCATAGAAGGCGCCACATATTCATTTCTATTCTATTAGTGAATCGAAATCATATCTGATAGGTGCATCAACGCTAGTTCGTCTCAAAAAGATGACTTTAATGGTGTTTCAACGTTTCTAGCGATCCTATTGGTTACTTTGGTTGTAAATTTTTTCGTGCGACTGGGGTCTATCTTGTTCTTGCTTATTATTTTCTTTTTTTTTTCATTTTGCACTGGTGAAAGAAAAATAGATTCCCAAAATCAAATGACATTTCCAAATTTATTTGCTCATATCGATGGTATTGAAGCAGTACTTGTACTTGATAAAGATGGTACACCAATATTAAAACTGCCGTCGGCGGAAGTTGTCGATCGGCTTGATCTACGAACAGTTGTGCCATCGGCACAAACATTACAAGATCAAAGTTCACGAATGCATTTAAAAAAATTAAAAACTGTTGTTACATATTGGGCAACACGTCAAATAATAACATATAATGTTCCTCCTTTGGTTTTTATTGTTGCTGCCGACACTAATGTTAATACAGGTGCATTAGTTAATTTATATAATGATTTGCAAAAAGTTGCAATAGAAGATTTAGTTAATAAATCTTAGATGTTTGTCTTATGTTTCTTTCATCATTGTTTTCTTTTTGTATTTATAGTGTGATAATAAATAAATAAGTTTATATTTGAGATGCATATGAATTTTACTAATTAATCAAAAGAATTCTATGATAAATATCATTTCGTTCTTCATTGTTTCTGGTATAAATCAGATTTTTGATCTATGAGACCAGTATATATATATGTATGTGACAGAACGCTCGTTCAAATAGTTCAATGGTATAGGAATAAACATAAATTGGTTCGAATCTAACGTCAAACTCAATATTTCAAAAAAAAAAGCAATATGAAATATTTTCATTCATAAAACTTTGTTTGAATGATGATAACCACAGACCTGTACCGATTAAAAATCTGAGGAAGATAATTAATAAGGTCTGACAAACAAAGTTAAAATTATTTTTACCTTGCTCGATACTTCAACGAAACAAAATTTAGAAACTTGCAAAGCATTGACTTCAGAATGCTAAAATTAATGATTGACAAACAGTGAATGGCTTCTTTTTGAAGATTAATTCATTGGCAAATATAAAAAGATGTTCATAATGTAAGTTGGTGAATAAAAGAAGTATTAGTCTAAAGGTTAAATATCTAAGCAGGACTGTAAACTTACATCGACATTGTTCTTTTCTATACGTAATTGTAAGGTAAATAGCTATTGACCGATAACTTCATCAATCAACGAGATATCGACATCGACATAACAATATACACATATGGAAACATCGGCATGTTCTGCAGAAATTTTATAAACAATCACAGATGGCAATTAAATAGTCCCGATCTCATGCCTTTAGATTATTATGTATTGAGCCGTTATCATCAACAAATAGGATTTCATGATTTGTGTTTCTATGAAAAAAATCTTTATTCTTTTAGAATAAATTCATCGTAGCAGAAAATTTGTAGATGCATAAAGATAGTTCATTCAAGCATTTGTGTGTTAGGATTATGAACAATGATTTTTTTTATATAAAACAATTTTCTCATGGTTCTGTTAATTTTTAGATTTCGTTTGTTTAGGTATTCGTGCGTTCTAATCGATTATTATCTTGCATGAATAGTTGATTTTATTACTCTTATAGTTCTTTGGCTTATATTTATATCTGGTTGTTTTTCTCGTTTCTATTATAAAAGTTATCCACGACAGAATCGCAGTGTATTAAATCAATAGATGATTCGTATAGTTAGACTTGTCGTTGTGACATATATGACTTCCTTATATTCGTAGTTCACATGTACACTTCTTTATCTACGACTCGATTGCCGTCACAATATTAGTGTAGAAAAGTTAGACTTGACCTTAGAAGAAAAAAATGCCAATTTAAAACGTCAATGAACCAGAGTGCTGAATTTCTCAAAATCACTCAATTGAAAATGACGGTCTATTCAAGTAGGTTATTATTTGAAGCATAGAAATAGAAATAGAAATGTATATATTGGACGTTTAACTCTTGATGTGATAGTCTATCAAGTAGCATTGTGTGACTATTCAACAAGATATTGAATGTTATTAAGTTCTTTGTATTTTGCATAAAATTATAAATGATGAGCTTAATAATATGAAAAGGTGAATAATTATATTTTAAACAGGGTTCAATATTCAGGACATCTGTCTGATGATATGTTTCAGTCAATTTTTTGCATCATGAACTCTTCTTTGTACTATCGATTTTTGTAGTTTCTAGAGAAAAGAATTATTCAACTATGTACGTTTGTCGTTGTGTGTAATTGAACAGTTGGTCAGTAATTTTTTTCTGGCTCTCTCTCTCCTCTGTGTTCACATCTGATTTAACTCATATGAAATAATGATCACATCAGTGAATGAAAGACATTGTTATTTATTGGTCTTTTTTTCTTTCTTCTATTGAGACAAAACCAGCCTTATTTGTCATAAGTATTACTCCTATTGTGTAATCAATTGCATACAGTTAATGATAGATGTGCGTCATGAAGATGATTTTTGTGTTTTCGAATATTAAATAAACAAATAGATTTGTCGGAATATTTATATGACATTTCGATAAAATTATTATTCTATTCAACTCACGTTATTATTCTCAACTCTTATACAGACTCGATAATTGTCCATCGCCAATGAATAATAAACAATCATTATCATCATGATTAGTTCGTTTTATTCCTTATACATCCATCTGTACGATACACTGCACTCCTTCGTTTTGTCTAGACTTACTTGTAGAACAGACATTTGCAACAAGAAAACATGAATATTAAAAAGAGCATATTGTCGGTCCATCGATCTCCCATCAAGATTATTATGAATTTTATTATCATAATAATCAAGACATGCACACTATCGATCAAGTTTTAACGATATATTGAATTTTTTTTGTTGCCATATTCCATTCGATGCTTGACCGCGAACGCTTGACACATTAAGAGAGCAAACGAGTCGTTGTATTTAGTCTCCCCCTTCTCTCTCTCTCTCTCTATGGATATATAAATCGGATACTTGTCGGTCAATAGTCAATAATTACAAATCCCCTCTGGTGAGTATCATCACAAATTGACACGTTCTAACATAGTGATTATAACTATGATGACTTTTTTGCTTCTTTTGATCTGTTATGAAAAATGAATTCGTTTATAGATAGAGAGATGTGAGAAGAATGACAACACTTACGTTCTTGCGCTTATATTAACAATATCCGAACGGAAATAGTTCATAGAAGAGCAAGACTCTATCGACACTAGAATGTTCCGAACGTCGTGAATCAAAAACGCATGAGACATAACATTCTATAGAGCAAAAATTAAGAAATGGTAATACTTACAAGCCGATTGTAAAGTAAGTTTATATGCAGATAAATTGATTGATCTTTTTTTCTTTTTCTTTTGCTGAGTTGTATAATAAGATCAATATGAAGAGATTTTATATGAAGAGGAGAAAAAAAATTATTCTCTATCATATTAAACGACATACAATGAAATATTTTTCATAACAGATTTCATATAAAAGTAAAGACGTGTCGATGTTTCTAGTCGTATTATGTCCGATCTCTTTATGCATGACTGAATTGTTTCATCAACATTTTTTTCTTCTTCGTCGTCTTCTTCTTATCAGTTCATACAATCTTCGTTTATGTGTAGATGAAAGACGACGATGTTAAAATTATCCTGAACACATTTTAGGATTAAAGTAAGAACAGATTAAACCAAATGTTGTCGTTAAGACATATTGATTAAATCCTTCTTTGTTAGTGTGACAAAAGGAGGAAGAGAAAAACTGGGATTCTAATTAGTAAAAAGCTATTAGAGAAAAGACGAGCTAAATGATTATATGATGCAATTTTTTCTTTTTCTTCTTGCCAGGCTCATATATAGACACAGCTGTCTATCTGCCTTTGGTTGACATTTTCTCTTTTGCGCTTTTATTCTATCATGCATGCACGTTCAGTTTTGTCTCCTTTCTCAACTTGCACAAATGACTGATGTAACATTGTCCGGTTCTCCTTTTTTTTAATAAACGATGTTAAGCGAACAAGTATCAGTTATGAACAGCTTCTTCTTCTTCTTCTTTTTCTTCTTCTTGTTTCTCTCGCATGAGCCAGTATAATAATTAACCTCAGTAAAAAAAAAAGCAAAACTAGTATATGTCATCGTGTTGACTTGATGTGCATTGAAGTGGTTATATCGACAGTATGTAAAACGAATCATCTTGTATAAATGTAATGAACTTGAGATTTGTATGTTAGTGAGTGTCGAAGAAATGAAATTACGATCATTCAATAAACGAAACGAGTAGATAAAATGCGAATGAATGCATTGAACAAAATACTAGTCGTCACGGCTTTCCTTTCTTTTTTCTTTTTTCTATTTTGCTCAGTAACTACAATAATGGTCTTTGCTTTTTTGAAGATTAGATTCTAACGAGGAAGATGTGTTTTTCCTGATTCTTTCTATTTCTTCTTCATTTCTTTTTCCAGATAGATATTGTGTGAACGACATTGCTACATAACAATACTCGTTTTCTTTTCCTGTTTTCATCGTTGGCAACAACAGCGACTGGTATTAATATTACAAATGGATTTCATTTGCTTCATGTGGTCGAACAATCTTGACATTATAAAGAGATAACTGTTTCTTGCTTTTCGTTGCAACTGAAAAAAAGTTATAATGGCAAATGATTATTATCAGTATCAAAAATTATGTTGTTCTCTGTGTCTATCGACAGTATTCATTTTTCTTATACAAACTCCAATCGTAGCCATCGCTGAACCAAATCAAGTACGTTGCTACTGGTTTTTTTCTTTTCTCTTCCGTAGGGCATTTTAACTATGATCATGTCTGTTTGACGACCTGGAAAATATTCAATATCTTCAGTTTAGACTTTTTTCCTTATAATCTTTATAGCTTATTTTCTCTAAAAAAAATTGAGTGATTCTTCGTTTGTAAAAAAGAAAGTATAGCAATAAATCTATTTAATTCTCTCGGGGAGATCAAGCAAGATGCAAAATGAAATCGGCTATGTTCAAACAAATGATGATCATTATGGTACATTTCGAGAGATGGCAACATTTTTTCTTTTTCTTTTTCTTTCTTAGTATATATCAACAGTAGTAACAAAAACCATTACTACCACAGTATTCACAGTTCTACATAATAATAATGATAATATCGATGACCATGGGGTTGACAATAGTATGAATCAAAAAAGAAAATATTTTGATTTTGATTTATTTATTTTTTCCTTCAAAACTTAGATGTAGAAAATATCTATGACGATGAAGAAGAAGAAGAAGACGACGACGATGAAGATTTTAGTATTGATTCAACTTCAAAAACTGTTTCACAAGTAAAATTTAATAATAGTATAACATCACATTTAAATGAAGATGCAAACGCCAATGAATATGACGATGAAACGAGTTCCTATCAAGACGACGAAGATTACATACACAATTTCCTACATACTGACACAATGCCTGTTAATCGGCCAGTCTCGAAATATCCGATAATCGATTCTAATAATAAAAACTATTTCGATTCTTCGTCAACCACTTCGATCACATTTACTTCATCGAGGTTTTTTCGTGTTCTATTTTCTAAACCGGCTATTCTTGTTGGTAAGTAAAAATATATTTCTTAAGAAAAACAAATTCGCTTTTGTTTTCAAAATTTAGGTGTCATCGGCGGCATCAGTATTGGTATGCTATCCGCTATTGTCCTTGTGATGTTTATTATCTATCGCATGCGTAAAAAAGATGAAGGTTCATATGCATTAGAAGAAGCGCCCAGAAAGTCACCGTTGCATGCATATTCAAGAGTATCATCAAAAGAATTTTATGCGTGAAAATCTAATCGCTGTTGGATATTATTCTGCACATATTATCTTTTTAAATCCATTCCCGCAGAATATTATTTTTATTTCTTTTTCTTTTTTGTTTGGTTTCTTTTTGTCGTGTAAGTTAGAAATCAGATTTGTTTTATAATAGAAAATCCATTGGTTCATGTTGAAATATTTTTTCTCAGGAATTTTTTTATTTTTTTAGTTGAAGCGATGCTCTACTAAATTTTCACATAAATTCTTTTGAAAAAGCTCATTTTCCAAAAGAATGTGTTCCCTGGGGAAATCGAACTTTCTTGAATGGACTCTGAAAAGGGAAACAAAACCCCAAAAATACTTGTAATTATCATATTGAATACACAAATGAAACTCAAATAAGGACTTCATATTATAAAAGAATATACAAGGAAAAACTTTTGCGGAAATTGATGAATAGTTCCGTTTCTTTTATGATGCAGGAAGATTTTAAAAAAATCTTTTCTTCTTAGTGTGTTTAGCATTTCTACATTACTTTAATCTCTATGTTACTGTTTTACAGGGTGACTGATTACAATGATCACGGCTTAATCTAGAACGATCTTAAGATAGGAAAGTTATTTGTCAAGCAGAATGAAAATTTTTCCATGAGATTTAGCGTGACAAACAAATATTCTAGTTTCGGTGTATTATTTTCGTTAAATAGTACTTAGATGGCTTTTCAATCAAATTTTAGTCTCAGTAGCTTTCTTTTTGATGTTGCGTGATTGACAATTAACCAGAGATTGCGCAAATAACAGTTCGACAGAGTTTATTGAGCAGTCACAATAAAAAAAGTTAAACTCTATGAACCTTGAAAAAGAAGAACTAGGAAAACTAATATTGATTCTACACTTTGTTTTGGCAATAACGACCGGTAAAAATCGATGTTTCACATTTACCTTGCTAAATATCTTTGAATTTCGCCTGAGGTTATTAGCGAAAAATGCAGACTGCACTTGACATGCACGCACCGAGTTATTAAGGTATTGATGGCACATGTAAAGTGCTCGTTGTTCCAAACTTAACTTGATGCTAGTCCCCACAATGCTTCGATAGCAGAAAGAAAACTGTGTTGTAAACTAAAAAATGTATTCGCTTCTCTTAATTAAAAAAAAACACGAGTCTTTCGATGCACTCCGATGATAGAGTAAATTTGGCTTAGATATGCCAAGTCTAATCAAGTTACGATACAAACATTTTCATCCTTACAAACAAATTTGCATTGATGATAAGAGCAATAGATTGCACAATTGATCAAAAAACAGACTCTTATGTAAATTTTTCTGTTTTTACTCAGTTACTTGCGTGTGCCAACTAAAATTTCCGTTAGTTCAAATGAAGAAACAAAGAAAAGCGATCTAATCGATTTTTATCAAATATACAATCAATTTATTTATTTGAATAGTGACGTCAAATAACAAGTAATTATCTGACTTAATTCGACTGTCGAAGTTGCCAGGGATTTGTATGATCGAATGTTGTTAATGATTGCGAATTCGCTGGCTTTGCTAGACTACGAAAAGCTAATGATTGAGGTCCATCTAGACAATTTTGATTTTTTTTCAAATTAATCAACGGACGTTGACTATCGTATGATATTCTTTGATTCATGTGTGATTCCGATTTAGCCAATAAATGAGTAGCTGTTATATCACAACTATGTGATTTTCCCAAACGCACTTGATCGATTTGACATGCAGATATTCGACAGAAACTTGCTGATGGTTTATATTGTGTGCGTTGACATTTTAATATCGATGCAAACGCTCTAAATAATGATGTTAAACAGAAAATGAAAATCTTTAATTTCCGTCTGCTTACTTTCGAAATTCTCGACTAGAAAATGCATAAATAAATGGATTAAAACACGAATTACAATAGCCTAACCAAAAACAAATTGAAAATATAATACCAGGATCATAATTTGTCCATGCTTCTACAAACAAGTATAAAAATGATTAACATAACAAAATTTCTTTTATCAATAATTTACTTATGGGTAACAGAAGAAAAAAGGGTAGCCAACATAGAATAAACATTCCAACAACAATACCTAATGTTTTAGCTAAGTAAAAAAAATAATATACTTCTCTTTATGATATGATTTGAATCTATCACATTTCTATTTTACCTGCTTTTCGTTCACGTTTAAATTTCGATAGTTTATTTGACGCTGTCGATGTCATCTGTGCTGACACTCGTTTTCCATTTGATACTATTGGTGTATTCGAACTAATACCATTTGTTAGTGAGGTTGTCGATGCTGTTAAATGATGTGGTATATGAATACGTAATGTTATACATTCTTGTCCATCGGTTTCTTTTACACGAACAGTTTTTTCTCCGCCACTTAAAAATCGATATTGTTTTACAGCTTCAGCATAGATTCGCCCGTATACACATAGAATTATAATTAAAGGAATATAAAATGAAAATGAACACGAAAATAACACATAAGATAAATTATCATTCACTAAACAGATTTGATCAGTTGATTTAACGTGTTTATTCCAACCGAGAAACGGAACGACAGATACAGCAATAGCAACTGACCATGCTACTATGATCGTCAATAGTGTACGACGGTGTGTAATGATTATTGGATAACGTAATGGACGTGTTACACCAACATAACGTTCAATAGATATAAACATTAAGCCATAGATACTTGCTGTACAATAGAGAACATCGATAGCAAGCCATATGTGACAAAATGTTCGACCGAATAACCATTTACCCTCGAGAATTTCGAGACTAGCAGAAAATGGTAAAACAGTAATACCTAAAGGCAAATTTTTAAAAATTTTATTGTTCTTAAAACAAAATCTTCGGTGGTGAGATCAACATCGCCTACGCATACTGCATCCTTGTAGTATGATATTAAATTATGTCCTCACGCAACTCATCATGCGAGAAATCTTTTGTCTAGCGGTATGACTATCACGATACTAGTTAAAAGCTATGTACGGAAATAACTGTCGCATGGCAAATCAAATGTAAGTTCAAATTATGTTGACTTTCAAGGCAATGCTCATAATTCAACAATTAATGATGTCAATATTCGATATAATAATCGAACAAGATTGCTTTATTTACAGTAGTTTTGTATTCCAATTAATATTTGTCATCTTTTTTTAATGTAACAAGGCAATAAAAAGAAGAACACAATAGTCTAATTCAGATGACATATGCAAGTGGCCTTAACATTTTTACAGCAAGAACAGGATAAATAGCTTCTTTTTAATTCTCAACTAAACAAACTACGAAAGAGAAATTTATATTGATTACCTAGTAATAAATCAGCACATGCTAAATTACCCATTAGTAAATGAGTTGGCGAACGAAGCGCAAAATCAATACATAATGCAATTAAAACAAGAATATTTCCAAGTATAGTCAATGCAATAATAATTGATAAACAAAACGCAACTAAAATCGTCACCACAATTGGTCGAGATGACCCATTGATATTAACATGTTGTAGGATTGATAGTGTTAAATTATCATTTGAATTGTTTAGTGTTGCCAATGAAACACTAGAAGGTAATTGAGATAGAACGTGCATATGAAAGATACATATGAATATTAACAGAAAAAAGAGACCAATACTTTTGTTGTATCGTCAAAAATAATAGACTCAATAATATATATATATATATATATATATATAAAGATAATAAAGTTAACGTCGAGAAAACATAGGAATCTAAATAAACAGAAAAATATGTGTAAAAAACAAAATCCGACAAGAAGAAAAAGGTTTTCTTTCTTCTTCTCTTCTCTTCTTTTCATATGATCATATTATAATATATATATATATATATATATATATAATCAACGAGTCAACTAATCGGTTAATATAAGATACAAAGTTGAAACGATTTCCGTTCGCTTGTTTTTATATTCTCACAGGATTTATGCGAGGAAATGACTTAGCTATGTAAAAGGTGACAAAGAAACGTTTTTAAATGTTTGCATACAGAACAAATTGCATTGAACTGTGTTAAGACGAACACAACACAAGAAGAAACTAGAAACGTCGAATATGACAGGCTTGATAAGATATATGAGCTCAAAAAAATGCCGCGAATAGAAAGGATGACGAAGTTAAAATGCTATTGTGTTTTCTTTTCTCTCCCACTCCTTTTGTTCTTTCATTTATCTTAAATGTTCTTATTCTTTTGCTCAAGATGAAGTAACACTGAAGAAAGTGTGACATTACTATGTAACAAGAATATTGATGTAGCTCATTTTTATTCTTTTTCTTTTTGTAACAATACTCTATCTCGAGTAAAAATAAAAGAAGCAGAAATAGCACCTAGATGTGACAATATAGTTGGCTAATTTTAGTGTGAAATTTTCTTAAAACTATAAAAGAAGAATTATAAATAAAGAAGATTTCGTTATTTCTATAAATAATACGGGATCAAATTTTTTGATAGAGAAACAAAAACTAAGTAACGATAGTAATAAATATCTCACTATATTCTCTAGCTCTTTTTCTAAAACAATTCTGTTGTTGTTACGATGAGTAATTGCATTTTTGTTTTGGCTTCTACATTTAGAACTCGTTGGAACTCTTTTTTTTCGATCGAATGACTTTCAAGATTCTTCATAATCTTTGTTTCGTCTTCATTTTTTTTGCTCGGATCATAAAAACATATAAAAGATATTTTCTCGCCTATCCACTCTATGAGTATTCTATAAGATCCATATGATAGAAGTGTCTAATAAAGAACTTGCATTTATTTATATGCATTGTGTGGATTCTTAAGCATCTACTAGCTGGGCACATTAAGGCTTAGATAAAATTACTAAAGAAGTTTCTTTTACTTGAAGAAAGTTTTTTTTTTGATGTATAACAAACTATAACATTATTTAATTAATTCTGGTGAAATAATAAAAACGATAAGTTTCTTATACGCAACAAAACAAAATGATATAAATATATCTCACCAAACGAATCGGTGTATCTTTTATTTTCTAAGAATTTTTTTCTTCCTAAGAATAATAATTGTGATTACTGCACGGCGGGGAAAAAGTTGACATAACTATATGCTCATCCAGTATATTCTTTTTGATTACATTGACAGTCGTTCGTTTGCAGTGGATCATCATCATCATCATCACCGACAGTCTTTTTTTCTCTAGTTCTTATGTGAAGAGAAAAATGCTTGAAGAAAAACGTCATTCGCTTCTAGCTAACTTTGTTCGCAGTGAAAAGAAAGCTGAAAAGGAAGATGAAGAAATGCTTGAGAAATGAAAAAATACTTGACGATTATGAACTGATTAAGATATGCCAATCGACGATGATAGGAAACATAACGGAGCGATAACTTTTATCCATTATTCAGCGAAATTCAGATGAAACATATACGGAGAAATAGAATTTCTGGATAAAAATATTTTCCTCCTACGTAACATTCTGAGATAATAAAGAGAGTTTTGATCGTTAATTAATCGTAGAAAACAACAGAAGACAGCATTGTCTCAAGATAATTCACACTGAACGTTATTGCCGAATAAAAAAATGTGTATGTGTCTTGCTTCACGCCTTCAAAAATAATACAACATATGCAGTGAACAATTTTTCTATCGAGAAACTCATACAGATTTTATAATAGTAGAGCCATACCGTATAGTTCTCAACGTTTGTAATGTCTTTAGAAATAGCTTTGAGAGCTACTTAAGCAGCAATGCTAAAAAATTTTTCGTCAGATATATCTTTTGTCTTACACTGCTTTCCTTTGAGAGTACTTGAATATAGTATAGGAGAGAAACCCCAGATTTCAAAAAATGATTGCAGAAAGCATCTCACATGACAAAACAAAAATAGCATCTTCACATTGATCAACAGCTGGAAATCTTCGTTCTATTTACTGTTAGCTGAACATACGGACCGTTGCATTTTCTTTTTTTCATCAAACCTATAAGAAAAATTTAGATTTAAATAGTATTCGTTTCAAGTCGATGTGTCATGGTCCTGCTGAGTTTGATAGAGGTAAGGGATAATTAGAACTATTTTATTTTGGAAATATCCGCTTTCTATACTGCACCCAACGCATACATCGGTACGTTTGATATTTTTACCATGCTCTATTCTTATTAACACCTGGTGCGATGCTACGGTTCAAGTTATAATTTGAAAATGCGTTTTTCCAAGAGTATTTCTGAGGATATCTTGACATATTTACTAGCGAATGATATGCCAATGCGATTATAACTTTAGGATCTAGAACGCCCTGTCGAAGAATTCATACAGCTGGTTACGATTCACCTGATGCGAATAACTTACTAAATATATTTCAAAATAAAAATAGACATTGAAATCGAGCAGGAGGCATTCATGAAAACTTAACTTGTGTCATTAGGAAAACATTGTATTTTCTAGATAAGACGTCAGCGTAAGAAAAGAAAAGTTTAAAAAATGATTTCCTTTTAAACTAACACCTACTTTATGACTTGGTTGTTTTTGCATAATTAAAATTTCATGAAGAACACGATAATTTTTCTTATTTTCCGCCTATGCATTGAAACGTATGAATGCTCTGTTGTAATCAAATTATTTTCAGATGTTAAGATGGCATTTATTTATGATTCTTGAAGAGAATTTGAATTAATGTAATTTGTTACTCAAAAGAGCTTAATAATATAAGTAGCGAGAGAATAATCTAATATTATTTGAGAAATAAGTAAACAATAATTTACTCTATTTGTATTCTTTTATAGAAGCCATCACTGGTAACAAAACAAAATATCCATTGGAATTCTTTAGAAAAAATAGAAAAACAAATATTCGAAATCTCACAAAAACATGCGCATTCCTGCTTGTTTCAGCGATTTTTAAAATTATTTCTATCATAGTGACTGATTGTGTGAATTGCAATGCTTATATCTATAGAGTACCTGAAGGATATGAATAATATAAGATTATATAGATAAAAACAGGAACTAGAACTAAAAGAATACAACAGATGATGAGTATAATAAATTTAACCTTGGACAAGAAACGGAATGGTAACGGTAACATCATTACTAACATTAATACTGATGAAGGGGTAAATGATGACATGGCCGTCGATCAAAACAGCGACGATGATTATAGTGTGACGTGAATCGAAGAGATTCAGTAGTAAAAATACTTCCGATTCAATCAGGTGCAAATGACGCGCCTCTTGTTTTTAAAAATAAAAGAAATCATTATCAGAAATTTATCTGTAAACACAATTCGACTTGTTCGTTATTAATCGATTATCAACTTTGTCTATCCATGTCAACAAGTCAGAAGAACAATAACTTGTATGTATTTGATTCTACTTACCTAAATTTCTAACGAACTTCAACACATTTCTCTCTCTCCTTCTCCCCCCTCTTGACAGACATTATGAAATTGCATATAGATGAATTCATGCCAGAGGAACACATGTTTATAAATAGTCAAAGTTATTATTGCATGAAAAACATCTTGAAGCAAAATATATGAATATCATAGAAACTATGAAAACTCATGCATCGAAATGGTTTTATCAACTATTATTAGCATTATTTGTTCTTTTTTATTAAAAGAAAACTTTTCATGAACATGATCATCATTACTTGCTATATTATGTGCTTCAAAATGCTTTCGAGCGATTAGAGATCGCATTTATTACGGTCCAGTAAAACAATATTTGTTTAATTCAAAATAAAAATTGCACTTAATACATATGAAAAGAAATGCCGAGGGTAATGCTCGAGGTGGAGGAAACTTTCTCTTTGCGTCCACTGATAATCAATGTAGTACTAGTACATTTCGTCGTTCTTTAATTAATATCATAATGATAAATTCGATAAGAACTGTACAGTAGTTGTCATTATACGCGACGATAACGTTAGATCATATTGTCTGCACATAAATTTGAGCCCAATGCTGTAGCTGTTCCATAACTTTTTCTATTAAGATTGTCACCAATACGCATTGTATCACACGGTAAACGTCCATTGGCATATTCATTGAATGTTGATTCAGTTAGACAAGAATATTTACCATTTGATCGTCGAACTTTTTTAATACCTTCATGATTTTCGATGCAACAAAGGCATCATCTTTATGTTGTTCCATAAAATTTCACATCTTTTCAAATTTTGTAAATGCTGATTTATTTTAAAAAAGTCATGGGTGAACTATTTCTTATTGTTCCATAACGAATTTCTGTTTGTTTAGCAAGATTGTCAATTGTTTGAATTGCTTTTACTGTTGATTCAAATCTTGAAAAAGCTACGAAATTAATTGTACATAATTATACAATTATGACACTAAAACAGCACCAAGCCGTTTTTGTCATGCGACCTAAATAGAAATATCATTTATAACGAATAAATATAAATTAAATAGTAATTGAAAATATTTAGACATTTCGACATTTTGTAAGTTCGATGTTTTCATCTCTCGATATTTTTACCTTTCCATCGAAGTAGGGTAAACCATTTTCGATTGGCACTTCAAGGAACACATGTGCAGTTCAGTTATTGGATCATATTTTCAAAAAAATAAAAACATGTTTACGCAGAGAAACATATTAGGCCTACATGTCTGGCTATCAAAAAGTTTTTATTCGATGAAAAATGGAAAAATTATGGAAGAAAAAAACGAACTATTAAGAATCATGATTGGTTTAATCGACTCTGCTCTATGTTAAATTCAGCAACGACATGCGGTACTCAATGGATTAGCAAACACTACTTTAAAAAGCAAAATAGGTGACTTTTTCAATTTAGTAACTTTCAACACTTATCAAATTTGATTTCATTTATTTCGGTAGAAAATTTCTCAATTTTTAAGAGTTAATAATATGCAGGGTGAGGCAGAAGTTCTGATACAAGGTCTAAATAGTTTTATTGCACAAGTATGCAACAAAAACAGACGAAACTTTGTATAATACATGTCTCACGTACATAGAATATAGTAACGAAAAGATCACTCAAAATGACCTCCCATGTGCTTCACACTAATGTTAATCGTCCTCGCCAGGTGTCGATGGCGGCACGCACTATATCCATCGGCAACCGATTCCATTCTCGAACCAACATTCGTTTTAACGATTCCAAACCGTGATGGGGTTTTGCATTGATGATCGCTTCTAACGTTCCACACATTGAATAATTCAGCGGGTTAAGATCAGGCGACGACGGTGGTCATTTTTCGGAACTAATAAAATCTGGGCAATTGCCAACTAACCATTGCTGTGTTGATTTTGCTTCATGAGCAAGGGTTGGATCTTGCTGGAATATGCTTTGATTGTCTGAATACAACGTACTGATGTTGGGCATTAATGTGGATCGTAAGATTTCATTTTGATAATGATTTTAACATCTTGTTCAATGAATTTCAATGGGATTTTACCGTTGTAGGATATAGCGGCCCATACCATGGTGGATCTCAAGTTCTGAAACCGCTACACAGTTGTTCTTATATTTTCAGGAATATCTTCGGTTCATAATGCGTAGATTCTATAATTTTGACGATTAGTTTTCTGTTCGACAACGAATAAATTCTCATCTGAAAGTACGATTTTTTTGAATATCATCGGAACCGTGCCGGACCAACAATGCTTTACATCTTTTAAGCCTAGCCGCCGTTGGCTTCGGCGATATCCCATGCAATTTACGTTTTTTGTAAGGCTTATGGGCGAGATCAATCTGCAAGATTAGTCGCGTTGATCGATTATCGATATCTTCTTCCAATGCTAACTTTCTTGCGGACCTTTCAGAATTTTCCCGGATCTTTTCTCTTATTCTTGTGATGCGTTCTTCGGTCCGACACGTGCGAGGTCTGCCAGATCGAGGATGATCCTGTATTGACCCAGTATCACGCAATCGACTTATGGTGCGATAAACACAATTACGTGTTATTCCGAGTTGTTTCACATGCCGAAAAGTTTGTCCACCGGTTAATCCTCGCTGAAAATATTTTTTCACAATCAGTCGATCTCAATTCATTATCTCGAAAAATCCAAAACAAGTGAACCGCGAACCAATACTGTAGGAGTAGACAGTAGACATGTTGATATGTCGTATGCATTGAACCAATGTAAAATATAACGATGGAACACAGAGCTCAGACTTATACAACTTTCTATCAGAACTTTTGCCTTACCCGGTAAACAGTTCGTAACAGTATGTATAACAGACACCGTAATATCATGGACACAAATGTCAAAACGTATTAAAAATTCCATCCTAACATTAGGTTCATATATGATACAGAAAATCAAATATCAAATATGTCTGATAGTATTCATAATGGCAACGATTTATTCACCTTTTGAATGAAGAACGTTTATCTTGATGCTAAGTCATGCAATGTTCGCAATGATTTCAAAGTAGAATAACAACAAAATATTCGCTGATAAGCTACACTCCATGAAAGAACAACGAGGCTAATTATGTTCACATTATAAACACAATCATCGGTTAATCATCACAAATGGAAAATTTTTGATTTTATGAGTAAGTGGAGAATAGTAAAAAAAAACAATTTACTTAGACAAACATTATAACGCACAACAATTCGATGTTATGTTAAATTCAGAATGAAATGAATTGGAGCAATTTAGTACATTCCTCGGCTTTCTCAGTAGAGCCTCTACTACTTACACTACACGTAAAGTTAGATTGTGAAAGACAGTGAGAATCATCCAAAAAATCATGACAACTTCTGGTCCATTTGTTTTCGATTGAATTTATCAAGCAATATTTTATGACCCATTAGAGACTAAGTCTTGCACAGTTGCATACTTTTTCTTTATTTACGCTTTTGGCAGTCATTCAATGATAAACTGACAACTCTAAATGAGGAAAATGTTAGTTTATTTTAAAGATAATATGGATTCAATGGAGAAATACATTGTGAAATTGTGCCTGTTCTAATTACGTGTCGTTCGGAATTCAACCGTTTGCAATTAATTAGTAATTGAAATAGGTCAATGGATCATCTAGAAACAGGAGACATACGAAAGTAAAGTGAACAACACAAGTTCTAATCCGATATTTACCTTCAGTGAAAATGCATGTCGCAACATCATCTTTAATAGTTTCGTGTAATGAATAGAAATCCTACTTGTCGCAGTCTTCGCGTCGATGAACTCGTATATGAATGAATAAGCCATTGCCAATGGATACATTCATAAAATAATTGATACCATATGCTGCCTGTTCTTCGGCATACTGCGTTACTCTAACGATTTTTTAAATATAAAGCCATCATTTTTTGTGAACAATACATTAATTAGTATCGAAAAGAAAGCTTACTGCCAATCTGTCAATTGTTTTTCTCGATTTTTTTCAGTGAAATGATGTATTTTATTTTCGTGATGTTTTTTGTGTAATGCATGGATTGCTGCTTCTTTTATTTCTGGACGCTCCCTATAAGCAATTCGAATAAAAAGATATTCATCAGGATCAAAAAATTGATTTCTAATTTAAGTAATTTACGCTAGTGCTTGGATTTCAGGTGTTGCATCCTTTAACGAGAAATTATCAATGTCAAATATTGAATAGTTTTACTCTTTTCAATTTACAAACCATAACGGGACCCATGACATTGTTGTCTTCATCCGACATGACTGTATGCGTGTGTGTGTGTGTATGATTGGGTAGTGTTAAATAAGATACTCTCGCTGTAACTATTTGATTCTGTTTTTACAATAGCTTGCACATTATATAAATGATAATGTTGTGTGTGGTTGTCAAGTTTACCGATTTCGCTTATTTTATTTTCAAAACGTCTATTTGTGTTATCGTTCGTCTTTTTATTAAGATGTAAACAGTGAACGACGCAAAAAGAAATATATTTAGTAGTAATGCAACACGAACTTAGTGAATTTACTTTTCCACAGCAACTGAAAAATATGAATTTCTTTCTTCTACTTCATTTATTTTTCTATTTCTCTCTAATGTAATCAAGACAAATATTCAATAAAAAATGCTACTATTGCTCGTTTCTAGATTTAGTCAAAATTGCATCTCCAAAGCGTACTATAGCGTAGAATTTTAATGCCTCTTAAATTTATTCTAGACGGTGAGAGTGTGTAGAACTATCATAATATTGGCATTGCATCGTAGCAACGACAATTTTCAGATACACTTATTTCATATGGCGTAGATTGGAAGAAAATTTTCCTATTTTAAATCACATAAGGAAAAGAAAAAAAACATCGCCTTTGATTCGATTTGTTTATCGCAAATAAATGGCATATCATGTAGTATGTAAAATATTATTTGCTGATTATCAAGAAAACGCCGATGTGTTTTATTACGATGAAACTGCTATCGCATTGTGACCCGTGATTGTGGAAAATCGCGACCTAGTTACGAGTAACTATACTCTCTAAAAAAATAGGTTTAATATTGAACTTCACTGGTTCAGTACATTTGATCTAAACGGTTTTAGGTTCGGTAATGTGAAAATCGTTTCGTAGTAATTATGCAAAACTTTTATAGGTTCAGAAGAAAAGGTAGTTTCGCAATTTTTCAACCGAACTTACTAGTAGTTCCCGCAAACTGGTCGATGGCGTCGCACTTGAAATTCTAATCCCTTAAAAGTTCCTCAAAATTAAAGAAAGTTTCGTAGTATATCGACCAAAAGACGGATGATTCAGATTTCTTATCGAAGGTTCCTTCCTTCTTATTCAGAGCAATGAAAGGTTTCGCATAATATTAGAAGGTTTAAAATTTTTTCTACTAAACTTGTCGTCTTCATGCTATTGATCTTATGGTTTCGTATATTTTCCACGACAAATTTCATTTTTATAGGGATGATTGATGGTTTCATACAAACTATACGAAACGATTTGTGGTTCTCTACATTTTCTGGTGGTTTTACAATTTTCCGAAAATAACGTTACATTTTTTCTTAAAGCATTGCTAGGTTCCATGCACCTCGTACAAAACCGTAAGCGGTTTGTATTTGTGTACACATGTTTTATGCTTTTTCATCAATAACAAATGGTTAAACGTTACCTTTAGTAAATGGCTCAATGAAGGATATTCACTTTTAGAGCAGATTGAAAAATCGGCAAAACTAACTTCCAAAAACGAATCCAGCGTTTCAGTCAAGATAATGAATAAATCTTTTCTGGTCAAGACATCGACAATAAAAATCTCGTATCCGTTGTCTATACTCATGTAAAATATTGTAAGGTTAGTTAATCACTATCCGATTGTTAGTTCTTTAGAACGTGTATTTAACGATTGATAACAAACTAAGAAACTGACGCTTATTGTGTAGAAGTGTTGGGTATATATATAGAGTTATGGAATGGGAAGGAAATGACTAGAAGAAGATAGAGAAGTGAGAACGTACGAGAAGTCATATTTCTTTCGTTTTTTTGCATTTATCGGCACTTGTTTATTCTCGTAACTACTCAAGACATGGCAAGGGCAACGAACCAGGCTTGCTGCATCTTGGGTGTGTGGATGTGCGTATAGACAATTGAAAGGACACCCACACTCACACCCGGATCTTTCGGGTAATGAAGTACCTTAAGGTACTTTTAGGTACGTATTAGGTACTGGGATGGCTACCCTGCTGGAAAGCGTCTAGTAAATGGGTACTTGAAGGTACTGATCAAGTAGTCAACTTGGTGCTATTACACAATATGTTTAGGTACCCTGTTACCAAAATTGCAGTATACTAATGGTCGATCCTAATCTTTGACCTTTTTCCTTTTTTTTCTCTCAACGCAAGTTATTACATTTTTTCAATTTAATTTAATTTAATTTTTCCGATTCTGGCAACTTCAACAGGTCAAATTTTGGGATCTGACCAAACTTGAGTTGGTCGCATCTCCATCAGACCACTTCACAGTAGTTCGCTCTTAATTGACGATTAAGATCGGCACATTCTCGACTAATAAATAGTCAAGAAATAATCTAGAAAAAAGAATATAAAAATAGCTTAGTTTCTTATGTATTGCCGAGTTGTTTATAAGGAGCCGTTTGCGCCAAAGAAAACAGTGAATGAACAGTCGCTACACAGAACGCGACAGATCTAGGATACCCTGTAGAGCCTTCCTTGGTAAAATTACAGGTGCCGGTATCCAATACAGTATCTGCATCAGTATAATTACTGAGAATTTTCGAAGTACCCACATCAGGTACCTTGCTAAGGCCTTCTTAGTATATGGGTATCCTGAACTCAGTACATGCTCTAGGGTGGATATTTAGAATCTTTATTAACAATGATAAAATAACCTATTTAATACGTCCTTCAAGGTACATTTGAAAAGTTGCTTTTTATCTTGATAAATATTTTTATCGTTTTTTTTCAGAGATTTATGTCATAGTTTTCAAGAATTTATAAATCTTACCAGTTCATCAATTTATTCTCTTCGAGGTGCCCATATTAGTATCAGGAGTAATTTTCATATCAAAGAAAATCAGCCATTTATTAACAAAATTATTCCTTTATTTGAAATGTTAAATGTTACTCGTTTAAATATCGACTGCAGTCAAATATTTCTTAATATGTTTTTTTAAATCTTAAATTTATTACCGAATCTTGATTCAGTGAGAATAATATCAATCTCATTATCTGAAAAATTATTGCTAATTAATGAAAATTCCAAAATGTTTTATCTCTTCTTAGAGAATAGCAAAATAACTAAATTGTCTCTTAGAGGTATACCTCACTTCGAACAAATGTTTCTTATTATGAATCTTTTTTCACATATCAAATTACAACAGATTAGTGACTATAATGTTGAACTAATCATTCGAGGTGCTTTATAAAAAATTCAGATAACAAATAATAATCCTCTTAAAACGCTTTGTGTCCATGTTGACGAAGAATCTCATGATGAAATTGAAAAATTACAGAAAATGATCAATTCAGAAAGCTTACTCGAGGATTATATAATATATCGTCGACATGATAAATATTATTTAAAATGGAAATAATAGTAGCTTCTGTTTTGTATTTTGTTTTGAATAAAATCATTGATAAAATCGCTTTTACATTATTTAACATTCATTGAATTGATCAATACTAGCTGAGATCGAACAGAGTTTCCATGTTCTTTCAAAACAACGAAAATTGAAAATTTCGTAAATCAATAGTGCAGCAATGAAAGATAAGACAACGCATGGATATTTCTAGTATTATCTATAGCAGTTTTATTCTTTATTACATTTCTTGCTTTGTAATTGGGTGCTTTCACGCAGGTCCGCCGAGTTTTACATCGACTTTCTCCAGGCAATGTTTAACCATGCTAGTTTTGTAGCCCGTGTCGAGTTGTGTAGGAAACCATCTTTTGTTTATAGCAAAGTCATGCGCTAAGTCCTACAGGTAGGGCTCAAAATCAGATTTTCTAGAAATCCGATCCCCTAAACCAACAAGTTTTGGTTTTCGTGAACATGATTTTAAAATCTTTCTTAGACCATTGGATAGAGCATAAAAAGTTGTCTCTATGCAATCATTTTCGGGTGTTTACGTAAAAATCTCAAAGCGCCAGCGTACCTGCAAAAAATGGGAAAATGCGATTTTTGCTAAAATTGAGTACTCTAGGAAACCTACATGCGAACCTAGGCAGCATGAATTGTTAGAACCAAAATGGAGCTTAAGCAATGCTTGATCAGAATAGTTCAATTAGATTTTCAGAATACATTCCTTAGTCGAGATATTCGACTTTTAAAAACCAGAGATTTCTGAAAACCCCATGTTAGGCCTTCATTTTCTCGAGAACCAAACGTCAGAATTCGTTCAAAATTTTTTTTTCAGTATTCTCCAGTGAGTACTACCACACGCTAAAATTTCAGCTTCCCCATCCTGGAATTGTAAAACTTATGACGTCAAGAATTTTGTAAAATTTCGAAATGTTGAACCTTAAAATTTTTCGATTATGAATGTGAAGATAATAATTTCGATGATGCATACACGATAATCTTTTATGCTGAATTCACATACACTGATAGCAGCATCCAATTGATAGAAGAGATTCCTCATTTATAAAGAAAAAAGTAAAATAATGCAGAGGAACATAGGTTTTTGAGGACTTTTGTTTCTTTTCTAGTGTTCACCTTCTAATGAATCTATGAGATATTGAAACTTGGTGATATGTGTGTGTACTAATTCAAATAGGGAATATCTCTGCTTTTGCGGGAAAAAATTCAGTCAATATTCACCAAAGCGTTTATATATCTTAGCTCATAGATATTGCATAATTGTGTAGCTGTTGCGTGTACTAAATTTTGGATATTAGCAAACAAACATATATCACTTCCTAATTCAATATTGAGTTCGTCTCGTCTAACAGAAAATTTTAATGCTGTTCGTCGCCCGGGTGGATGTAGTAATGATATATGTAGGTCTTTTAAATAAGCTTCGAGACCTTGGACAACTGCTAACTATCAATCATATTGGCATTCGACACCAATATAATTAATAATGTTATCATCATTAATTGTCAACAAAAAAGATTAATTTTTCTTCAGCAAACACTATTACATATTCAGAGAAACTGTTTAAAAAAAACTCACGTATTACTTGAAAGATCTATGTTTGCCTACGGTTTTTTACGTTTCTCTCTATATATCAGAAATCTCTTCTATCAGTGGGACGTTTA